TTTATATATTTTTTTTTCATTTTTTTCGGTATATCGATAACTACTAACGTCAAAAATATTCAAGTAAAAAAAATCTCAGTAATCATAGGAACTCCTTTTGAGTTAATCGATGTAAAATATATCGGTTCGTATAAAAAAAATCGAGGCAGTATTTTTAACAGATTAAACAATTTTTTTGTCATTAGCTTTTACAATTTTAGTTAAATATTTTGTACTTCCAAAATCGTTATTATCAAGATTTTTTTTTTAATATTTAAAATAAATTGCAAAATTTGTGCGCTATGTTGATTTATTTTAGGACAACTAACGATCTTTTTAAAACCATTTCAGAGATTTAGCAATATTTCATCATGTGAATATGTAGTAGGTTGAAATTCAATTTTAGGAGATTAGTTTTTCAAATATTGAAAAATTGGGGGCGAATTATTAACCCACGGGCAAAAGAGCACATCACTTAGCATATTTTATTATTTTGGAGGGAATTAACAATTATTTATATGTGAAAACTAGAGCTAATTACCCTCATGAGATAAAGTCATCAGTTTTCTGGAGGGGATGAACCTATTAAAAACAAAATAATTATTTATTTAAAAAAAATACAAATTATAAAAAGGAAGAGGAATTTTTTTCTTCATTGGTTATTTCCTTTGATATATTTTTTGCCGTGCGGGGATACTAATCTACATCACTCAGCATATTTCAAGCGAAATGACGTCACCATTTGTTGGGGGGAATTAGCAATTATTTTAGCGAAATTAATACAAATGGTGATGAAGTTACACAGCGGTAACTTATTTTAGTATAAAAATTAGACTGTTAACTGTTAAAGTTACAGTTAAAGAAGCGAGATGTGAAAATTAGAGTTAATTACCCTCATGAGATGACGTCATCAGTTTCCTGAAGGGGATGAACGTATTTTAATACAAAATATTTTTTTATTAAAAAAATTTATAACTTATAAAATAATGGTGAGGAATTTTTTTGGTCATTGGTTATTTTTCTTGACATTTTTTGCCGTCTGGGGATACTAATCGTCGCCAGTTTGACAGTTTGACAGGTTGATTGAGATGTAACTGATTATAAATGAGCGACAAAATTGATTACGTGACCACGTTTGACAAGTGGTCACGTGACAAGAATCAACAGTTCGACATTATTTCAGCTTCTTGCGTGACTGTCCAGAAGGTCCTCGAATTATTGTTTACATGTTCGTTCCAAAGTAAAAGAAAGTTGGCAGTATTGAGATGATCATTTAGTTCAATTTCTAATTAAAAAAAGACAAATATTTATTGATCTTGTCGAAATTTAGTTAATTTAATTTCAGTTAATTAACAAATTCAAAATTAAGTTATACAAATAGCATACGATGGAAAAAAGTCCTCTAGTGGGCCATGAAATTTATTTTTAAAATAAGGAATAAGTGTCAAACTAAACAAGGAACGCGTTGGTGTTGCCAACCTCATTATTTTAAAAATAAATTCCATGGCCTACTAGAGGACTTTTTTTCAATCATACGCTGTCTTTCGCGTAATGTTCCTATTTCAAAGGCTACTGGAAGTCAGATAAAGCCAAACCTGAGGAATCGCAACATAGGTCTTAATTGTTAGAGAATTTGGAGATCACAAAAAGGTGTTGATAAATTTTTATTTTTAGAAATATTTTTTTTAATTGCAATGGGGTAAATTTCAAAAATTTTTCCTTGTTGAATTTTTTCATCTATTTGAACAAAAAAAAAGTGGAACGTCTTTCTGTTTCTTAATTTTTTTTTCAACTGTGGTTCAAAATTTTGAAATAGACTTTTTATTCTTTTTTCTCCTGGACGGTGCAATATTTTAAATTCCTCCAAGAAATAAGACCTCTTGTAATCGATTGAAGTAACTAAAACCTGATGAACTCGTGTTTCTTTAAATAAGAATTATCGATTTTCTTCAGGACTCCTAATTGTCCTGCTTGGAATTAACGAAATGTCATCTCATGAAAATAGACGAGGTCTATATTAAGGGCCTAAATAGATAACCACAAAATATAATAATTATTATGTATATTGTATATTAATTATTTTAAATAATTTTTTGTATTGTGATGGGTTTTTTTTTATTCTTGTATTCTACTCAACACAGATAAATATTAAATATTTAGTTTTCGAGAGACTTTAGTTTTTAATTTCTACATGAACAAAAGGTGTAAAGTAATCCTAAAACATTAAAAAAAAAATTCAATTAACTGGTACTGTGTAAACTTCATTCTAAAACGCGAAATCTCTATCAAACATACCCGGGAAGACGGTAATTTCGGAAAAGCAAGAAAAAACCAAGTGCTTGGGTAGCTTTAACGTACAAATAAATTTCCCTTTTTGTTTCTCTTAATACCAAAGAACAAGTTTTAAAATCCACTTCTCCGACGAACCCGCCGAAATATTAACTTAGTAAGTTTTTTTTAATGCGCTATCGAAACGATCTTGATAAGATCGTTCCAAACCAAACCGCACGTCTGTGATTATTTCGAATAGGTATGTCGAATTTTCAACAATACAGTGTCAACAACGGTTATTTTTGGCCTTTATTACTTAATGAATTTACGTGGTACGGTGTTCTTATTAAAATCGCACTAAAGATGGTGCTACACTGACTCATGGCCGGCGCGGCTTTCGGGATAAAAATTGTGTTGGTCTGAGGAGAGTAAATGAATAATAAACTACCGAGCACAATAAAGGTGAGATTTCGCATTAGTGCAAAATGTAAGCTGCTGAGGTGTCCCATTTCTAAGCTAAATTAAAAATATGATTCATAAACTATAAAGTCACTTTTTATTGTTGGGATGTTTCTCTAAGGATGTATAAAATGTTTTTACTACAAAATCATTTGCATGCATGTTTACTATTGTATTGCTTTTTTAATAAAGTTTTAAGATTGTGTCGTAAAAAGGTTGTTTAGCGAGTTACACATGAGGAATGGGAAATTATTACTAAACACGACGAGGAAAAATAATGAGACGTCCAACTGGACGCTGACAAAAGTGAGGATTTTTCAAAATAATATAGAACATTATGGTATATTAAATAAATTTATTCCTAAAATGAAAACAACTACATTTTTGAAATGAGTATGAAGGAGACTGGACCCCTTCTTGGGACCGCCACTGAAGCATGATAGGTATGTCGCTGGGAAAAACATAAAATAAATCTAATAGTAATAATACAACAGATGCATTTTGTTAAAATTCCTGATTTTATTGTTCTATATTATTTTGTTTTTTTGACTTCATCAGACGATTTTTTTGTCTCATTACGGTTAAAGTAGGAGAAGAAACACGTTCGAAGCGTTGACAAGAAACGAAGTGCAGGGAAATCGATAAACCCGAGAAAAAATTATTAATCAGAAATTTTGTTAAAAAATATTCTGTAGATTCAAGAAGCAAATAACACGCAGTAAAAAATTACTGATTCCGATACCAACTGCGGCAAATAGGATTCTGGCAAAAATTCGCGAATTAGGTTTATATTTTGCTTACAAGAATTAGTATCAGCGATGGCAGCTGTTACACTTAATCATATTAAACTTTAAAAGAAAAACCGTTATTCATTAATCATTACACAATATAAAATTAAATTTTATGCAAATAAACTATGACCGGAAAAGCTGAAATAGGCTAATAAAATATATTCGAAAAAAGTTACATTTACCTACTACACGAACGAAGATGAATAAAGTCGTTTTTTGTTCCCTCTTTTAATCGATTTTGAAAATATTGATTATAATAACTAAATAAAGTAAAAGAAATATGTACTTATGTGACAATTTTGGTCTTTTGACATCGTTTTGATAAATGTAAAACAGATCACTTTGTATGTTTACCACTACCACAAAAATTGGGTGTGATTACAGTGAAAATATATAAATCATAATTAGTGTAGCTTATTACTACGAAATAATGAATAAAAAAGTGGTCGGTGTGAGTTCAAAAATTAAAAACTTGTTTCTGATGATAATTAAACCGACATTCTAAAGATAAAAACAAAGAAGTGAATTTTACGTGACTGTTTTTTATAGTTATTAATCCTGTGATTAAAAAATCTGCTCAGAGTCTTCTGACAATTCAAAGCTTAGCCACAAAATTATTTCTGTTTAGAACTGAACTCGAAAACACAATTTTTTTCACGAACGTTTCTAGTGCTTTGTTTCTAATTTTGCGTAGTTAATGTAGTCCGAAAAATTTGTAACAAACTTTTTGGAGCAGCCGAGGTCCAACTGATACGAATTAAGCTATTTTTGCCTTAAGTTTTGGCATTAAGCCCACCGTAACGAACGAACTAAAAAAGGTAAAAAAGTCGAGCACACATCTAAACAAAGCTTTTGTTTTGTCCACTAAAATTTACTTTTTAAGTGCGAGTACTCAAAAAGTTTTTCTACAAAGGTACTATCACAAACACGCCATTTTTTCGATCATCAAAGGATCATCGAAGTAACAAATAGCAGTAATCGTTTTAGATGCGAATTGTCTAATCTTATCTAGATATCTATTGCTCTATTCAGGGCTCGCCTTATCTTCTAAACGATGAAGCGAGTAGTGTATGCATTTTTTTCGCCGCAAGTGATCGAAAAAAAGTGAATGTTTGTCCAGAGGAAAAGGGTGCGTTCCAAGAATTGAGTGTTTGTGCAGAGTCGTTCGAGATCAGTGTTGTTAAATAATAATCGTTAATCAGAGCGAACGCAAAAAAGCTTGTTATAAAGTAGCGATATCGTTTATTTGTTTAAAACAAAATTGAGCTAGGTCAATGGTAACTAGATTACGCTGTAAACTTTTCGTAATTTAATAAGATAAATTTTTATCAGTGAACAAACTAAAACGCAGCGTTATCTCGAAATTCGCCTACTTCTTTTCTATTTGTTGCTATTCTATTTGGTAAAAAAATCGGAAGGGGGGCGAGGAGGGCGCCGGGGGTGTCGCGACGAGCCGCCCATGTTGATTGGCCGGGAATATGCAGTTCTGATCTTTTCTTTATCGTGAAGTCGCGGGCGAAGCTGGAAGGGAAAAAAATCGAAAAATCCGTCGATGTCTCGCATCGACTGCATGTCGGCAACCGGAAAAATCCGGGCGTTTGTCGAAATAGCAAATTGTAAAATAGTCTCGTCGGAGGTGATGCAGGGCGCAGATTTGGTACGGTTCGATTTTTTTATTTTGACATTTTTAATTGCGGGCCTGTACTCGTTATTCTGCGCATTTTCATTCGTCGCGGGAGGGGTAGGCGGGCACGCACTATTTTTTAGTGCCGGCTTATTACAGCAGATGTCTCATAGCCATGTCCCAATAAAGAATAAGCGGCCCGTCATTTTTTGCGCGCTTGAATTTTTAATATTCGCCCGAATGTCGTGACGTACTGACGTCGGCCCGTGTTGTGTGTGATAACAGACAGTTCAGTTTCGTATTTGGCGGTCTAGTGTGCCTTGGAAGACGCTTCTGACATCTGTGCACCGCGACGCACAGTCGCGAAAATGTCCATGTGAGGAGAAAAAATGGATTCGCCGAAAAAACACCCGAAAACACACATAAATGACCGCAACTGACTCATACAGGTAACGAATTCCGAAAAAGCCAGAAAAAAAAATTCTTTGAGCGATCCTGGAAAAATCGAAAAATACACAACTCCAGTCGCAGGCGGCTGCTGTCAAAAAATCATTTTTTCCTCGTGGATTTTTTTTTTCACACTTACTGTGGATTAAACAAAACACGGTCGTCCCTGACCGACGCCGGTCGTCGCGGCGCATCTCCCGTTTCCGGCGCTTTCCCTTTCCGCGTATTTTTTGCCGATGGCCATGTTTTGCTCTCCCCACCCCCACTGCACACTATCCAATCAAATTTTTTTATGTAATTTACTTTTTAATGATTGAGCCGAGACGCGAACCCGTCTCCGGAGATATCTGCAAATGCACCATCTGTGTTTTTACGTGCGAATTTTTTTACTTGACAGTTTGCACTGTTTATGTTTGATTTTATTTATAGAACTTATCTCTGCTTTTATAAAACCCCATAAAATGTTAATCTCGAACTTATCTCTTATAATGCCGGCTATTATGGTGCATGTAAGTCGACAACTTCAACCCCACACCACTATCGCTGTTATATACCCGAACCCACATCCTAACCTCAAAATATTTTAGGGGGCTCCCGAAATGGACTTTTATCCTCATCGACCTTTTGTTTTTCAGGTGAATACTGATTACGATGGTAGATACACAACATTTTTGTCTGCGGTGGAACAATTACCAAAGCAGCATCACATCAGCTTTCGAGAATCTCCGGGATGATGAAGATTTCGTCGACGTTACGTTAGCATGCGATGGAAAAAGTTTAAAGGCGCATCGTGTAGTTTTATCGGCTTGCAGTCCTTATTTTCGGGAATTACTTAAGGTAAGATAATTTTTCACTCATGACCATAAATCTAAACCAGTTCTTAGAGTGCACTGAGATTAGTAATTCTTACGAAAACAACGAATTTTTTATTTGTACATAAATTTGGAAACCGTCGATAATGATTATATCAATTGTAACAATCAGTAGATCAAGGTTTAGATAAGTTATACAATATTTGCAGTCTATAACATAGTGGTTGCAGGAGGATTAAGACATCTATCTACTTGAGAAAGTTTATCTCATCAGAAAATGTGTTCCATCTAGATAAAAAGCATAAAAAAATACAATTGTATAAAGTATAGGCAAAGATTTCAGTAAAACAAAGTAGTAGTTTTATTGTACTACTATTTTTAAAATAAGTGGTTGTTTTCGTGGATTTGAAACATCCTAGAGTGTTTATTTCAAAGTAGTTAATTAAATCAGTTTTGCATTCTACTTCTTTTATTGTACCACTTTAATTAATGATTTGTTTTGTCAATTTTCTTAAGTAAATAATAAGATTAAGTTTGTCATTTTTACGTCTTTCTGAGTTGTTGATGACGACTTTTTTTTTGTACTTAAATAATAAATAACTCAAATTTACTTTATACTACTCGAATAAGACACTTTCGTAATAAGCAAACAGTAATTGATTGCTTTAAATTTAAACAACCCTAAGCAAAAACGCCCACTCCGTTATCTCTGCCACTAAGTAAGTCCTCGTTTTAGTTTAATTGAACAAAATTCCACTTTTTTTTCGTGGAATTTTTAATGTGGTACAAGGAAAGATCATTGTTTCTCCAGCACAACAGCGCAAAATTTACAATAACAGACATCACAAAACTTTTCAGCATATTTTTTTTTAATTCACAAAAGCCGGTTGACATGGCAACTCTCCTTGTTGTACATTGTGTTACTGAAACGAAAAACAATTACTCCAAAAAAAGTGGTCTCATTTAAAAAACAAAAGTGCTCTTCACGGTGTGAAAGAGGTGCTGTTCTCAACTTAATGATGTCTGTAAATAACCTGTTTTTTAAGTTTTTTATTGTAATTTTTTTTAGTATAGATAGGTGGTAGTTTTATAGTAATGTTGACAGAATATTTTGGTGTTTTGTTTGAAAGACGTAGTGTTCAAATTTATTGTTCATAAAATTCACGTTTGCAAAATCTGCCCGACGTATTTCAAGAAATAAACTACGTTTAATAGACTTTTTCGTCGAAATAAATTAAAAAGCAATAAAACAGTAATATTCTCAGATTATGTATAAAATTGGATCTACATTTGATTAAGTAAACAAAAATTCGTATCACGTAACTAGAAGTTTGCCTATAATTTATTTCTAGTGTGAATACGCTTTTTTTCTAACGTAATTTGAACAATAAAATGGTTTATTTTTTGAAAATTTTCAGTATTTGTTTCGGCACCATTTTGAATTATATTTTGATAAAAAAAATATATAGTTTTTTCCAAAGCATGTTACATGTGTTGTAAACGTTGCTGACTTTTTTTAAGTGAACTGTACATAACGTTAAAAAATTTGAACGAATCGTATGTTAGTACTTTTTATATATTTTTTTAATAATATATGTACTTGGCTATACTATGAATAAACTTAAGTTAATTTAAAAGTTATACTTTGGATACCCTTACTAGTTATAACGCGATTTGATTTTTTTTTTTAATTAAAAATTGCCGAAAAGTACGAGGTTTGTTAATTCACTGAAAAATTGATTTTTTTTTGGCCAGAATGACTAAGTTTAAACTGAGATAAGCATTTCAAGCAGTTGTATGAATATTACAAGCTCCACTTAAACATAATATGACTGTGACCGAAAAAACTTTCTGTTTGTAAGCATTTTTACGACTAAAACACTTTCATTGTTGATAAATTACATTAATACTATATTAGTTTACATATTGAGATATTAGAGTAATTACTATCGTTGGCGTTAATGTTGGTAGAAAAACCAAAAAACGTCAAACATATTTATTAGGGGTTATAATTATCTGGATAATAACGAAAATGGAAATGTATTATAAATGTAGAAAATGGCTGCCGCCAGTTTTGGGTTATTGTACTGTTTTTTTTATTGAATTCTTCCTCTTATTCTAGACAAAAAAAAAATTGAAAATATCTGGAAAAAAAACAAAATGTAATCAGAAATAATAAACTTTGTACTTTTTCATCATGTCTGACATTTGTTTCACATAATATAGTTTTTACATTTTCCTTACTACAATAAGCAATTTAAGTATTGCTAAGTGTAGTAATTTTCATTTGGTAAAAATCTGTAAATAAAATTACCATAAAAGATTTTTCTCACGGAATTTTAGCTCATTTACCGGCTGTAACCCGTGAAATTTTTACACGCTGAAAAAAAACTAAGAAATTGTGCGTATTTTAGTTTGGTTTTGATGTAAAATAATTTTTTTTCATTGTTAGACATGTTGAATGAACCATAGGAATCAAAATAATACATAATATTATACATATATTAAATATTGATGTCACTTGGAAATTGTCATACTTGTTCTCACAGTTTGATAAAAAATAATTTGAAATCCAAATATGTATTTTTTCTATTTAATAGTGAAGTATGTTTAGAAAAAACCTAAAATATAGTCGATGACAGCGGACAATGTGGAATGGTACAACTTAACCTCACTTTTTCGTATAATAAATTTAACACTTTTGGACAACTCCGTCAACTGTCAATTATACACACCAGTATGGATTAATAAAATACATGTGTGTTTTGCAGTTTTCCTTTATTTTTTCATAGTGTACTAACTTGATGTGACTTGTGTAGTTTAACCAATCTATTTTTTCACTTCTTCCAAATTACGAAAATATAATGCATATTTAGGGACTTTTTAAAAGCAGTTTATATCAAAATAACGTGACTGATTAAAATAAAATAATTCCAGCAAAATAAAACCCTAATTTTCTTTTGATTTTTTACTTCCCGAGCGTAAGCTAGGGATCTACTGTAATTTGGTTCATCCGGCGAACGGATAAATTTGTCTGATCATCCCCTGCAACAATTTGATCACTTAAATATTTTGCATGGTAAATTCGTCTCGATTTCTCAAATTTATACCAGTCAGAAAATAATTTCCAAAATCAAATTTTATAATTTTGTATAAACAACTGGAAGCTATATTTGTTCGATTGTACTTTAGAAACGCGGGAAGTTCTGTCCAAATGCGTAGACCAATTTTTATTTTAAGAACAGCCACAATAAAACATTAATTAAAAATAACCGAGTAAACATTCTAAACAAAAATAACTGCATTACTATTAGCAATTTAAATGAAAATAAATTCTCTTTATTGCTCAAAACTCGCAGAAACGTGGAAAATGAAAATTCCAACAACTAAATAAAATATAAAACGTTATCAAAAACTGGGTAAACATAATTAGAAGTCATAATTTTTTATTTTTCTTGGTACTTTTAGAGTTTTAATTTCAAATAATTGAAAAACTAAAAAAACAAAAATTATATGATGTAAAAAAACTGAACTAGTTACTTATTGATGGCCTTCTTGCTGGCTGACTAATAATGATTAAAGCAAATTTTTGGATTGGCAGTTTGAATTATTGGCCAGTGTTCACAGTTGTCAACTTTTTTTATGAATTGTAGTTACATATTTCAATAATTTGAGTTTAGAATTGTAAATCATGTTTTTTTGGGTATATTAAATAGAATGTTTTATTAATTTTTGGGGAATATAATACTTTGTATAAATTTATTTCATAAAAACATATATCCGTAGTAGACTTCTTTTAATTTTGGCAAGGTGTTGTAACTGTACCAGTTGCAACATCTGATATTTTTCTGCTCCTGTCTTCGTCCGACGCACTGTATTTACGCAAGTGAAAAATGCTCGCACTTCTTAGCATTTCAGGGGCGGAAAACGGAAAACAGGGTCTTTCCTAAACGTGGGGCAGAAATTCAGAGAGTTATTTCTTGGATTATTAAAAAAAAAATCCTTGTATACTGTGGAAACTGACAACGTTACTGTTTAATTGTTACACTATAATTTTTCAAATGGTTTTAGGAAACATTGAAGTTTTCATTTGTTTATTTTTCTCTAAACTTGAGAAAATATTTTAGTGATAAATATAAGATTTCATTTGAAATAAGGAAGCCGTCAATTGTAGAAAAATCAGTTTAGATATAATGTCAATAATATACAGGGTGTCTCTTTTATTTACCTACAGTTCTTTGAGCAAATTTGTATCATTTTAAAAGATGTAAGTGGTGGCAACCTCACATTTTTATTATCACTTCCGGTAGAACCGGAAATGACGTCGACTTTATTTTTTTAATGGAATATTGAGTATATTTTTTCATAAATGGAATGACTGATTTTTTCTAAAAAATAAAAAGCAAATAATATTCTTAAATCAATACTTAAAAAGTTATTCAATAAAATAGACGTAAAATCCATATTTATTGTTGACAATCTAGTAACTTGAAAAATTGACACTAATGTCAGTGATCTTTTCAAATGATACAAATTTGCTCAAAGAACTATAGGTTTATCTTTAAAAGTAAAAAAATTACAAGAGTCGTATCAAATAAAAAAAAAAACACGTGGTATATCATTTTATAGATCGTGTAATTTCATTAATTCCAAATGCCTTAAGATATTATTGATATTAGGATAAAACAGGTACACACAAATTTATTCATTTCAAAAATTTTTAAGTATTACATCAAATGAATTAGTAGTCTTAGTAATCTTAAAAAGTATGGATCATTCTGCTTCAAAATAAAGTTGATGTCATTTTCGAATAACTGAAGCCGATATAATATTGATGGTACCGTATGATCAAAAATTGTCTTCTAGTATAGGCTATTAATTCTATTTTTAAAATAATGATGTTGGTAAGACTAACGGTTTGAGACTTGCCATTATTTTAAAAATTAAGTTTATAGCCTAGTAGAAAGATTTTTTTGATTATATGGTATCATTTTATAGATTTTTTTTTGTTAATTAATTGTTCTAAATTTTAAACGAATCTTTTTTTCAAATAAGTGGAACAGGTAAAAGTAAAGTGGGACATCCAATATACTTTGCTTGGTAATAAATTTTCTTTAATTTTATGCACTAATTAAGAAATAAAATTTTGGTGTGCAAAAATAAAGGCAAAAATGAGAGAAAAAATTATTTACTTGTCTTTGCATTCTTAAAAATCTTATGAATATATACAAGGTGGTAAAAAAATAACGTACCAACTCTGACAAGTTGTTAAGGATTGTTTATAGAACAGAGAAAAAATAATTTAAAAAATTCTTGGCCCCAAATGTCGAAAATATAGCCCTTCAAAATGTAACTTTTATCTTCAATATTTCACCATATTCTAATTCACTACGTAGTGTTGGATACATGAAATCAGTTGCACTTCCATTATTAATTTTGGAGGTATCTTGTTTTCATCCACAGTTTTCTTCATTTTGTAATATAACAAAAAACTAGAATGAATTGGAAAAGTTTGGGTAATTTTTAGAGTATTTTGACTTATCGGTCTAAATCCATATTTTATTTCTGTAAGTGACCATCAAATTGACGTAAGAATTTTTTTTAAATGATTTTTCCCGAACTTAGTGATCCTGTATAGAGAAGGTTATTATTTAAAAAAAAAATCATCCTTGGGTGATTTTCGGAAAGACGCGTTGATTCGAAGATACAATACTTTATTAATTCATATTACATGTAAAGAATTATTTCAAAAATCCAGGATTTCACCGTAAATTACATAATTATATATATTTTTTTATTGTACTGTATAAAATTTATTTGATACTGTCTTTCAACATTATAAAACACATGTGTGAAATGTTGTAAAACCGAGAAGGAATCAGGTTTTTACGGAATGACTACAATTCACTGTTTTACTATCGATTCTGTGTACGTAGTAACAGCCTTAAGCCTTTTCGACTAAATAGGTTGCTTAGTTTTTGCTGTGGAAACGCTCGGACTTGACAAAACATTTTTATAATGGAATCATTGTTTTCCATGCTTAATTTTATAAGTTGATTTTTACGGAAATTAATTTTGTAATTTAATTGTAAGTAAAAATATTAAGCAGTGTTTCCTAATTTTCGAGTAGTTTACTACGGTTTGATGTAGTTCCTTTTTATCAGTAGTAAAATTAGTAGAAAATGAAACTGTTCTTTGTCTATTTGATGCGTAGATAATATTGATTCGTGTCGCAGCATTCGCTAAAAGGGAAAAAATTTGTCCTGTGATATGTATAGCCTTTAATAAATTATTTACGTAATGTATGTACTGCGTTTTCTACGCAGTTTCGCTCACCTTAAATTCTACTCAACATCATTTTCTCCACTTCTTTTAATATTTAAAAAAAAAACGACGTAACTTTTACTCTGAAATTAATTAGTGAATTATGTCTGCACCAAATCTAGAGGGGTTTTTCAGTGCATTGACATTTTTAAACGCAAATTTATTAAAATTTTTTTAGTATAAATTTTTAACATCAATCGAATTGCAAATTTGTAGATTATTATTAATTTTCTTTGACTGCTAAGAACAAACATTTTTTGTAATCGTGGTGGACTTAGTAACTGCACTAAAATAGCATCATTTTGCGATTACATAATAACAGATTGTGTGTTCCAGAATGAAATCTCGAAATTTCAAATTAAAGTTCTTACAATGGAAGATACCTGTGATATATTAATATGAAATGTTTTTCTTGATTTAAATTTAAATTTCTTGCGTATCTTACTTTTGATTTTTCAACAACTACAATGCACCACAATAGACTCTGAATTTATTCACGTGCGTTAGAAACAGTTACCTACTTAATTATGTCAGATGTCTGCTAGAAATTATGTTGTCTTTTTCATTTCACTGAAAAGAGAAACAATATACGTACATACATTCATAATCTTGTATTTGCATGAACCCGTTTTATCATTAAAAGCGTTGAAACTGCCGAATTTTGCTGTCACGTCAGAGCAAATAGAGAAGTCAATATTTGATCTAATTTTATTGCATGTGCGAATTCGGCAAAAAGCACAAATGTTTTTAAGCGAAACCTCGAAACGCCGTATTATTCCTTCCTCTATCGCAGAAAAAAATCCCAAACGACCAAATTAATAATTATTACAGTCATCGCGAACGTTATTACTACTAGAGAATTCTTAATCTTTGACCTCTAATCGGTTTTTTCTACGGTTTAAATAAATAACATCTTACTAATTCTAATAAAAATTATCGCAATGCACTTTATCACGGTTTATCTGTTTGGACAGCGACTACACATTTTTTTTATTTATCGTGTTGAGGAATGGAAAAATCGAACAACGATGACGCAACACTTTCAATAATTTTTCTGTGTTTTTTTTTCGACAGTCTACTCCTTGCAAACACCCTGTGATAGTCCTGCAAGATGTTGCGTGGACGGACTTGCACGCTTTGGTCGAATTTATTTATCACGGCGAAGTCAACGTGCATCAGCGTTCCCTGTCTTCGTTCCTCAAAACGGCGGAGGTGCTCCGGGTTAGTGGGCTCACGCAGCAGCACGGCGATGACCGTGAACAGGTTAGTAAGACGCTCTGTATTAGATAGTAGGGGAGGATTTAATGGAGGCAATGCTAAGATTGGGTGGAAATTCGAAGGAAGTTAAACAGGAAATGATTTTAGATGAACTCATAAGTCGGCGTGAATGGAAAAGGAATGCCGACTAGGTTTTTTCTTGTTTGTCGTTAAATAATATTGATTTTTAATGTTGCGGAAAATCGTCTGTCAGAGTCAGGAGTTTGTAATCGAAAAAACATGGAAGAGTTGCTTTTTTAATTGAGCCGCTTGAGAAATGTTATTAATTTTAGGATTTGACGGTCAGGTTAAATTTCTTGAGATTCAATCAAGTTAAAAAATTGAGGCAGGCCAAATACATATATACCACGAAATGGAAATTTGAACAAAAGGTTCTAAAAATTAAAAACTGATATGGTTTTTGATTAAAATATGTCATTCATTACCTACGGATTAAAGCCTGAATGTGAAAGATAGGGTTAACTTTATATTTCGTCGACGTTTCATGGCTCTCAGAATATGGAAAAGTAGGTCCCCCGTTTCCTTCTTCGGTCTGTATTGGATGTATTTTAATAGTACTGTGTGCATGGTAAAACGCTGCTCAAAAAACTATAGAACTTGAAATATACAGGGTCGCCAGAAAGTATGGAAAATGAAGAAGCAGTTATACACATCAACTGAAATTAGGTAAAGGGGTACAAGAAGTTGTGTTCTAATTATTCGTCAAAAAAAAATTTTGTTTGCTTCATTTGTTTTCCGAGATGCAAGCCTAACTTGTTTTTTTTAATGGCACCACCATATAATTAATGCATATTTGAATAGAGCTTCTTTTACTGAATTCATTGATGTAACACAATCATACTTTCTTTCTGATTTAGTAATTATTAATTTTAAATAAAATTAAACAATAAATAAATTGACTCATTCATAATTTTTTTCAGTCACCCTGTATAAGCATTTCAAAAAAATATGAATGGAATGATAAAGCACAAGTATAGAAGCATCATATTTTGTACATTTTAAGTAAGATTTATTTGGCAAAATTTTGAGATGACGTCATTAGTTCTTAGGGGGGTCGTAAACGGATAAATTGTGATTAATGATTTACCATGTTTACGATAACCTTAAAATATTTGAAAGGTTTCAGAGCATTCGGTTCTGTAATTTCAAAGTTAAATTGTGAAATGTTTTTATAGAATTTTGATTTATTTACTAAAAACTGGATGTCCAGACTAAAAATTCAACACGGATTAATAAACTACAGTTAGAGGAGTATGTTATTTTATAAAATTTAAATCACATTTACTATTGTGAAACTTGGAGATGACGTAATATCATCTTTAGTGGGGATGATCCGAAAAATTTTGGTCACCACCTACAGGACATTCACAATATACATAAAAAATTTGTCGGCAATCAGTTGGGTAGTTTCGACGAGAGACCTATGTTTTCGTGTTCTAGGGATCAGGAAACGTCGAGAAAACTAAAAGTAGCGAGTCGCCAGATGGAATCGATTACAATACTTCCTTAACTACGCTCTTGTTCGAAAATAAGAACAGATATAAAAAGTATGTATTTAATAATTTTTTGAGATGACGTCATCGGTTTTTCGAAGAGGAGCTGAATAGATTTTTATTAACACCATTCAAAAGAGTCAAGCTTTAGCATTTTATCTGTGGAAATTATAAGAAGTCATCGAAAATTCTGGCGTTAATGGGTACTTTTTAGCATTAGAAATTTAACCTACACTAGTAATTATGTTATGTAAATAACTTTTTTATATTTAAAATCCACTTCAGCAAAATATATTTTCCCCTTTTATTTGAATTATATTTTTATATTTACAGTTGCTGATACGTACTCAGCGATAAAACTAATATTTTCGCTGATAACTTTTTATTAAGACACGCATTACCGAAATGTACTTTTTTTTTGGTGGAGTAATTTTAACGATTTTGTTAGATGTATGGTCAGTGCTTTTTTTTTAAATGGAATGCAATGAAGTAATCTCTCCGCATAATAAATCCTTCATTGTAGTGTAATTTATTTTTGTATGTATCGACTTTTTCCTAAGCAGTTGATGTCATTTTTGATCCGGCGTGAACCAAAATAAGTTCAACTTGTTTCGTTGCTAAGCATTATTGCAAGCCTCAGGAGGCCAACGAATTCGTTCAGTTTATTTAGGATTTAAGTTCGAATAATCGGACGATTGTGTTTGTTAATTTGCAATGATTGTTTTGTTGTACACTACATTAATTTAGTACTATACCCCGGAAATTTTTCTTGGATGCAGTCTTTCGAGTTAATATGATATCTAAATAAATAAATGCCAATAAATCATGATGTCAAGTTAAGTAGAGCTGACTTTGTGGTTCTAAGGATTACTTTTGAATGGAGATAGTTGGAACTGAGTTTGATCGTCAACGGATCTATATTTCGAACGATCTCTTCGAACTCGACCAGATAAGATTACGAAAAATTTCCACTCTTGAAGCTATTCCAAGAGACTCAAAAAGATTCCTTGAAACTTTTTGCCGGTAATTATGTGTGATAATAATTTAAATTCCAATTAATCGTTTTAGTTCTGTTGTTGCAGTAACGTGAACAATGACGTGATTTTTCCGGATTTAGTGTGTTTTATTGTGCGTGCATTTTTAATAAAAATTTCGAAGTATCTTTCCCAAATTGGTTAAATCAGTTTTACAGGGACAAATTTCAGCGGCAGGAATCGTTTGAAATCGTTCGGATTTAACCTGACACATGATCAAAGAAATCGCAAGACACGATGGATAGAAATTGAAAAAGCTGCTCCGATTTAAATTTCAACTGTTCTGGTGTTTAATATAATAAATGTTGGTGATGTAAAATTGTTCAGATTGATAAATGAATTAATCAAAGTGCAATAAAATTTGCAAAAATCGAAGAAAACGGTTGCTTATAAACCCTATTATTGGTGTTGACACGGATGTCAGTGTGCATTCTAGCATTTAATCCTCTTCTTCCAGTTAACGCATTTAGGCCCGGTTTACCAAGCGCTTAATTACTCTATTAACTTAATCACGCAATTAATCGAACACGTGATCAAATCCAACCAATCGGATCCTCAGATTAAATTAACATTCTAAGTAGTATGTAATTAATTCATGTGCCATAAACTGACCCTTTATCTTTGATAATACAAAATAGTTCCGCATTGTTTGTGCCTCACTAATATTTTTTAAAATTTCTTTTACCTACTTCAAAAATAGCGATAAAAACCTCATTTTCGAGCTTTTCTTGTCCGCGTTTCGTGCCGGTTTGTTGCCTTCCGCAAAGCCGCCGAACTATAAAATGACTCGGTGTTATCAAGTCCTTGCCGAACGAAATAGTAAATAGTTTTCATTGTCGCGACCTTAACATTGAGACAGAACTATTCAGCGCTTATCAGAGATTGAGCTTTTTGTTTGAACCGCGAGACCGTCACGCACCAACACAACCCAGCCGTTATTTACGTCTGGATATCGATATCGGCAAAACTGCATTGATTTGACCTGAACTTTCCTCGCCTACGAAGCAGAATCGAAACCGGTGCGTCTCGGCAAAGTTTTTTTTTTGCGAGACGACGTATCAACTTTTTGGTGTATTAATCTGTTTATCAGGATAAAATGTTTCATACTAGAAAAAGCTTGCCCTATGTTAGCTACAAAATTTCGGTTTTGCGGAAACGATACAAATGTGCACACTTGCAAACAATAAAGTCTCTAGGGGGGCGTGGAAACAATTGTTGTTTATTGGAATCGTAACATATTTCATCGTGTAATTACAGGTTGGTCTGTTACAAAATACATAAACATAAAAAAATGCAAAGTACATAGTGGACTTGATTTAAGTTTCCTAATCTCGCCATTTTAGTATTGTTTTTATTTTTATCAGGAAAGTTGTCTCCGGCGAAATTATTATTTTTTTTTTAATTTGGTAGCCAGTGGTATCCTTGGCATATCGCAATAGTTGGATTTAATGCAATATACAGGGTGTTTTCATCAATAACTGACTTCTTATATTTGTTTGAATCTGACAAGTTGCGTTACAATCTGCACGACTACAAAACTATTTCATGCATCCTTAACAACAAATGAGTTCTGAGTGATAACTTCGCAAATGATTTTAATTGAATGAAACAATGGAAATGATTTTAATTTCAGGAAAAAAACGGGACAAAAAAACTTGAAAAATCAACATAGTTTGTTATAAATACAATCAGTGAGTGGTTTCGCGGCCGATCCGATCCAAAAATTAGTTTAGAAGACATTTTGCAACAAACAAGTGTCCTGTTCGAATGAACTATAAACTAAAATTGTTTAATGGAAAATTCTGAATGGAAAAAGTAGCAGATTATTTGATTGTTGACTCCGAATTTACAGATTTATCTATTTATTCAAATGAGATTGCGAAACAAACTTAAAGATTTTTTGGTAAAGTTGTAGTTTGTAAACTACGTGTGTTTAGAACTATTACGCCACGCCGACTTCGGAAAAATTAAAAATAGAGTTCCTTACAAGTGTCCTTCGCCAGACGTTCAACACATTTATGAAACATCCAAACGTTTAATTCGCAAGTTCCAGGATGTGATAGTCAAACGTACAATAAGATTCTGTCTAGTACAGGAATTCCATTCGATACACGTGAAATGAATGATTATACTAAATTTCAACCGATATTTTTGAGTCAGAGTTGAGTTTACTTTGTTATTGGAATATATTAGAATGTAAAAACAAACGGAATTTAGAAAGACCTATCGCATCATATCATGTCAACATCCAGATTAAAAGTGATTAGTTAGGTTATGTTGTCGTGGATTTACGACTGGGGGCAGTGGTACCACCCTAAGCTTGATAGGCAACGCCAACTCTAATGCATTTTTTGTTACTTATTGAAAAAAATACAATTTCGTGTTTGTAGTTTTTTGTCGTTGGTTTCCGCTAAACCTAAACTAGATGTACCGAAAAATAAAATTTTCTCTATCAATGTGACATATGATAAAAATTATTTTATAACAAAATTATGACTCATTTAATTTGAAGTTAATCTAAAGCAATAACTTTTTATTATTCATAAACTTTGACATTGCTTTAGATCACAAATTAAAAATGGCTGCATTTACATGAAACACACCAATTATTACATTCTTACATACTATGAGAGAAAGGTTAGTTTTTTGACCATGTACATCCAGCTACCGCGGGATTGGGACTGATTATCAAGTTTTATTTGTGTTTTAAGAATATCGTGTGGATTTGCCTGGTTGTCCCCACCAACATTTTGATGACATCACCTAAAAATTTTGCGTAGAATATGCTATTTAAATTTTATAAAATAACAATTCAAACTTGTGGTTTATGAATTTGCCTCGTTTTATTTAATTTATCGGACTTGAAAAAATAAAAATCGCAAAATAAAATTTTCTCATTTTTCGAAGAAGCGAAAAAAAAAACATTAAGAAACATGATCCAAACATACCACGAAGTCGCATACTTGTCAATGTGTGTGAATACGTGAAAGATGAAAATTAAAATAACTCAAAATATGTCGCAAACAGAATTAACGTACTACAAACTTTTGATTTTTGTTGCTACTTTTAGAGTTATAATTCGAAATAATTGAAAAACTATTAAAAACATCGATTTTTTATTTTTAAACAATTCGATTTTTTTCCAACCTTGCTCAGCACCATTTCCAGTAGTCAAGTCTGTGATCTGTTCAATCTAATAAAGTATTACGTAAATTTATTTTGTCTTGTCGTTATTAGTTGTTATTTATTGGTCTATAATGGCATGGATTTAAAGTTCGTTATTGGCCAAGTAATACCCTAGGGCAGTGGTTCGCAAACTTTTATTATTGATGACACCCTAAAATTTTAAACAAAATTTGGCGGCACCCCACCAAGAACAGTTTTAATTGTAACTAATTTATTATCAAAAACACTTTACCACATGTTTGTATAATATGTAATTGATGTTAAGATTGTTTTATAAATATTTGTTTTTCATAATTTAAGCTTGTCTTTTAATGCCAAAATTTTTTCACTGCAGGTTAAAATATTTTCATTTCTACCTTGCATACTTGAATGTACATATTTTATTTAAGTGTTCAAAAATATTAGTTTAATAGGTCAAAAAATTGTTCAATATTTTCTGATTCAAAAAACGTTTATATCTGTTTTCTTAATTCCCAAAATCGGGAAAAAACACGGCCTTTAGATAGCCATCTTACTTCAGTATGAAGAAAATTAACATGTTCAGAACACATTTTCCATTACTGAACAGTTGTACCACATTAATAAAATCAGATCATCAATTATTATTTTTTAAAGTTGGTTCTGTGCTTATATTTACAAACATCATTATAAAATTTTCGCGGCACCCTCTTGGGGGATCCGCGGCACCCTAGTGTGCCGCGGCACCCAGTTTGCGAACCACTGCCCTAGGGCATTAAGAATAGTTGTCATAATAACGTGAACAGAAAACGCAATTGGCTGGAAATCAACTATTAATTAGTGTATTGCTGGTTGTGTTCCAGAAACTTCCAAAAACCCAAAAGATACAAAAAAACCAAAAAAATAAAAAAAACTAAAAACCAGAAAAATCCAAGAAACAAATCCTATTCAAACTACATGAAATTCTAAATTTGCGGCTTATCAGTGCATTTTTTTTTCTTTTTTAACCAATAAGACTTTTTTATTAAATATCAAAAATTAAATCGTAAGATTAATTACTATTTGCTTATTTTAGCTTATATTATTGTTGTCTCACTAGAATGTGTTGTCAGTCAAAAGTATTTAATTGAGTAATATATAAAATTAATCCAATAATAAATTATTCAAAAATTGGTGTAAACCGGTTCGGTAGTTTATCTGTCAATAAATTTCCAAGGGACAAACGGAAACACGCAGTGTATATTCTACGTATTGTATGACTTATAAAACGCTATTATTATTATTTAATAGAAAAAAAAAATAGAATTTCGTCAGGGCTGGAAAAATCAAAATTCAGTTTTTTTTTTATAATTTTTTGTTTTTTCGATGTTTTTTTTGTGTTTCAATTATTTGGAATTAGATCTTTAAAATTCGCCCCCAAAGTACAATCTAACAAAATACACCTTCCAAAAAGGACCAAATTTGATTTTTCTATGATAACTCCCACGGAAAAGAAATATAGGCGGATTCATAAACCATAAGTAATTTAAGTAGCACTTACTATGCCAAAGTATTGCAAAGTATTTAAGTGACGTTATCAAATTGTTGTTGGGGATGATCCAACAAATTTGGTTTTTATTTCACTATACACACGAAACTGTTAAAATACAAATAAAACTGTCCTATAAAATCCACACAGATGAGAAACGAGGGGCAGAAATGGAAGACCTATTTTTCATACTCTGGGAGACATGAAACTTCTACAAAACAAAAACTTGCCCTCGAGAAGCAAAAAGTCCAAAGGAAATTAGCATTTTATTGTGCGCTTTTGTTGGAAATATTTTATCCAAAGTCAGTGTTCGTGAAAAAAACAATGTAAAAACAAGAATGATTTAAATCAGGCCAACCCTGACTGTTGTTATACGATTCACGGCTACTTTGAAAAACTTGAAATTATTTTGATGTCCGTAATATAGGTGGCATTAATCAAAACGTCAAAATCAAATTCGCTGTAAACTTGTTTATTCCTTTGTAAAATAAAATGTATGTAAACAAACAGTTAACGATTTCCTTTATTTATAAACAATATTGATTGGCTTGGGAATAGCCACATAGCAACACCAATCAGATAATAAAGATAATTAACCGTGTCACGCTTTTGCTTTGGCTATATGTTGTGTACCATGCATTCAAAAGAGTTTAAAACTACAACTTTTTTTCCCGGTAAACGGCTAAATTCTCGAGTGTGTCGTCGTCTGTTGACGATTTTATTAGACAGATATCTCCGAAACAACTGGACTGATCGTTGTAAAATTTTAAATATTTTAGAAATATGGTGTCGACGGGCAATGAAAAAAACAGGAAAAAAATAACCTTGGTAACGGAATACCAGTAATTTCACCCCTCTTAGGTTGTCAATCTGCTAATTCTCATCAGAGTTGACATTTGAATTTTAAAACTCCACAGACAAGAATTATTTCCTCGCCAACAGTTTGTGTTAATCACTGTAAGTTGCGATTGAGCAATGAGTGAGCTTGTACGTAAATATCTTTTCTTTTGCGTTCTTGAAAACACTGTTGACAAGGCAAACCTCAACATGATTTGATACGTCAGAATATCAAGTGACAGAATAGTAATTAAAATGAATTACTTACATCCACCTTTGCAATTCAAAAAACTGACATGTAGTTGTGGTTAATGAATCCGTTTAATTTTTTTATTTTTTTTTGGAATACTGACTTGGGGAATAAAAACGAAATTATGTAAGAAAAAATGGACTGCTCTGATTAAATAAAAAATGAGTTGCCCCATTGTCCGGAAATTTTGGAAATACAGTATTGTTGTTAACTGTACTTATCAAATCATGAAAAACTTAACTTGAAACGTGTTTTTTTACTTCTAATGAAACGACTCCACGTATTTTAATTTTAGTTTACAGGGGTTTTTAACAAAAAAGAAAATTCGTAAAATCAAATTTTCTAATTTATCGATGGAACTGAATTTATCTAAATGTATTCAAAGGCGAGGGAAGTTCTGTTTAAATAAATGATGTATAAGGTTGAAAATTAGGATGGATAACTAAATCGTAGATAGAGTAAGTCATTCTGAGGTGAGGTCATCAGTTTTTTGGATGAATTAAATGAAATTTTGTTAATATTTGGTAATCACTGCATGAGTGTTAGTTAAAAAATAAATGTTTAAACGAATCTGGTATGCACTGTAATCCGTTGTTAAGAATAAAATACAAACTAGAACCACTATATATATTATCAATCACAAACGGCGTTGGATCTTGGGTTATATTTTTCGATGAACATTCTTTTTTATCATTTTTGGGATAACGCCCTAAGTTTCTAATAAAGGGGATAAATATAAAAAAATTGAAGCAGTTCTATAGTTTTCACCATAATCTGTGTTCCTAGGTTAAAAGTGTGGACACTGACATTTTCGTACTTCTCAAGCTGTAAAATTGCCTGAAATCATGAAATCAGACGTTTATCAAATCAATCCTGTTAATACTTCATCAGTTTGTGATTAATATAGAGGAATGAAACTGATGCGTTTGTCTTTTTCAGTTGGCACAAGTACAAAGCCTCGTGCGGTCCCAGCAGTCGACGCCAACGGCGAACCACCACCCCAGCTTCACCGAGAAGTTAGTCGAGGACGCCCTGTTCACGTCGCCGTCGTCGCCGCCGCACGGCGCCACCGTCAACCAGCTGCTGCGGCGGGCGGCGATGCAGCACCGGCGCGAGCGGCGGATATCCTCCGACCCGGAGAGCGAGCACAAGCGGCCCAGGTCCGAGCACAGCATCATCGGCAACAACAACAATAACGAACTGAACCTGTCGCACACGCAGCCACCCCAGACCCAGCCGGCGGACTTCTCGCCGAGCGCCATGAAGAACAACGCCCTCAACCTGAACCTGAACGCGACGACGGCGACGCACAAGGCGGACCCGCTGCAGAACCAGGGCCAGAACGAGGGCAACAACGGCATCACCAGCACGGACAGGGAGAACTCGCCGTGCTCGCCGTCGCCGACGCTCAACTCGCGCCTGGCCGAGGACGCCGTCAAGACCGAGCCGATGGAGCTGCTCTGCCCCACGAACCAGGACGAGAACAGCAACGATTCGGGCGAGGCCCCCAACGACAACGGGCCTAATAATCTACCTCAAGGGCCGCATTCCGGTAGTTCGGCCGGGGACCACGACGACCACGACAGTCCGATTGGGCCGTATCTGACGCCGTCGGAGAGCAAACTGTTCGCGACGGCGGCGGGGAGTTTCAATTTTAGCATGGCCGCCTTGGCGGCCGACCCGACGGGACTTGGAGGTTAGTGTCTGGAGAGGTCGCCAGAGGGACCGGTTTGGGTTCATATCGGGATCGACGGTATTTGTAATCGAGTCGTCCTTGGAAAGGATTTAGCGTGTCGGTGATTAAACCGCACTGATGAATGTCAAAAAATGACGTATAAAAGCAAAATTGGTACAATATTTTTTTATAAATAAAATATAATGATAGTAAATGTTGAAAATATTGCCTGTTTTGTGTAAGCATAAATGAGCTCGTCATCTAACTCCATACTCACATACCTCAACATCTATACATTTTCTTTATGTCTCCAATTTCTTCTTATTCTTAACCTAAATTCCTCCAAATTAGACAAAAATGTTTAAATCTGTATTTCGACTAATCCGATTTTCAAAAAATTCCCGCTATTGAGGTTCTAACCCAATGCGCTGTAGCCTCGTCTTGTTACAAATAACTTACTTGTTGTTGACTAATTGCAAACATCTTTTTTTGAGGGTGAAAGGGAGTTTCAACATCTACATGTGGTGCTCCCAAGTTCTCATATTTGTAGTCAAGTGACCAGGTTTTCCAATATTCTGAAATTTTCTTATCTTTTGGCCTGCCATTTTCTTCCTTTTTTTTTGTAGAGACGAGGATTCTGGCAACTTTGTCTCACATTGTTTTTCTGAGTTGCAAAAATGAACCTAGTCGACAATGTTGTTGGGAAATTCTTCGCGGAATTCATTCCAAGCCACTTGAATCGATATTTCCACACTTAACCGTCTGTGCATTTCAGAAATACGACTCAATCACAAACGCTTTCTGCTCTAATGGAAATATCATTTTTAAGTGAATACACAATGAAGTTCCAAAAAGAATTGTTTTTAAGGTAAAGATTATTACTCCAGGAACAATTTTTTGAATGTCTATTTAGGTTTACACAATTATGGGTAATTAAGATTAATTTTGTTGACATAACATTTTAGGGAAGATGACTCGATTACAAATTATGTTGATAGCTCGATATTTATTGCTTCTTTCTCTCTTTCTATGCGTATATGGGTTGGATTTTTAAAAGCGGTACTTGAGACCTCTATGCTACAAAAATTAGCAATATACAAATGGCTGATTATATTCTCAAGGCTATAATAAATAAAGTGAAAAAAAGGGATTCCTTTTTTGCAAATGTACTGATATATGTCTGAGGGACAAGAACATATTAAATAAAATTATAGCCATCTTTAAACATGACTATACTTGCATTGAAAATAACAAACCTACATCTTATCGATAATTTCAAAAAATGTTTGAATTTATAATTTATGACCCTTCGCATGGCTTTGTGCATGGCAATCCGACAGTTACCAGTCTTCTACGGCATAAAACCATCAATTTGTATTTACCCCGAAGAAAATAGTTTGTTCGTTGTGTTGAATACAATTCCAAAGAGTTTTATGTTGGTTCTGGGGTACCGCAGCGTAACATTTTAGGCCCCTTCTTGTTCAAATTTTGTTAATGATTTTGCATGTGTATGCAGTTGACACAAATTTTTGCAAAGATCTTGAAAGAAATGACATTCGGGTGCAAAATAATCTTGATTTAGTTTTTACCTGGTATCTTCAAAGCAACGTTATTATTAACAAGGATAAATCTGGGATAATGACGTTTAGCTTAATGAAGAATCTCAACTTGTTTCCACTATCATTTAAATAAAGATTTGAGGCCATTTCTGACTTTGGTGTTATTTTTGATCATAAGTTATCTTTTACATATGCTCTATGCTCTATGGATGTGTGTTATTTGATTTCCACCTATAAGCGTTCCTCAGTCTGATCTGTTGTGACCATTTTCTGTAATTAGTTTGTTCAGCAGCCGTAAGAGGGCGCATATTGTATTTATTATAAAATCTTGTGGTTTCGACACCATAACATCTGTCAGTTTCAGCAACTACCACTAGAAAATTTCACTTGTGTTTAATGTATACAGGGTTAGTCACGAGAGAATTACTTCTGAAAATTATTTTTACGCAACCCAAAATACTAATACCCTGTACCACTTGATATTATCTAAATTTAAAATGAAATGCCTAATCCATGATTGCTTTGACTTTGGCAGTGTCACTTTGACGTTAATTAATTTTTAACATTTTTTTTCATCGTTGACTCGCCTCTAGAGCCCCATTGGATCGACGACATACAGTCAGATCAATCTGGGCTATACTGAAGCCGTAAGTGCTCTACCAATGTTGTCCCCCGCTAATGTGCATGTGTTAATTCGCCATCTCTGCGTCACCTAGAGCCTCTTCGAAGTGCAAATCTGCAACCTCTGGACTTCTTCGGCCATCCATTTACAAAAAACCCGTAGCATCTCCCAAAATGCCCAACATTTTCAACAGATTAGTAGTTAAATTATTTACTTACTTGTTTGAGATTGTGTTGTAACCTTTGAATAAAATGCCGTAAAAGGAATTTTTAGAAATAATTTTCTCGTGATTAATCGGTTGCAAAAGATCAAGAGGCACACTGACAAATTTATTAGCGGCGCCGGAGGAGATTTCCGACTGGCTGCGGTACCACCATGGAGACTCGCGTAACCTCCTTTTCCACAATTGTCAAAATGAGATTGTCAAACTCAAAGCAATCATGAATCAAGCATTTCATTTTAAATTCAGTTAGTATCAAATGGTACATGGTATTCGTATTTTGGGTTGCGTAAAAATAATTTTCAGAAGTAATTCTCTCGTGACTAACCCTGTATAAACTCGAATAATGCCCAACGGTTGATGGATTTTTTACTTCATCACTACACACAATTACTTCTTTGAATTTTAATGGAATTTAGTCAAATAAATTATTAATCAAGTTTCCCACCGTTCCCCAAATATTCCGTAATTGGGGCTCATCCTGTGGGATATTTTAATAATAATAAATATAGTAGGAGCAGTTTTTTTAAGTCCACCTGTTGCGTTCTATTATACTAAATAAACTCTCCCGTCGCTTAGGGGAATCTGCACAGTTTCTAGATATCCAACAATGTGGCTAATACTTTTAACACATAATTTTGACATAATTAAAACTATACAAAAAAGCTGTATTACTACTAAAGTTAGTTGGCTGTTATAAACTTGTTTAAATTTATCTGGAGACTTGGTTGAAGTATTAAGTTTGAAAAATCCCATTTAAAGAATTAACACAATTTTTTTAAATAATTACATCTTATATGCTGCAATACTACAATAATGCTACAATAATTGTGTGGACGACTACCAGGATGTCCAAACTAAAGGATCAATTAGATATTGATTGCACAATTAAAAACTTTCGCACTATTTTGTACAAACAAACTAAAATTGATCGTAATTCTACCCTTTCGTGGTAAACTTTATTAACTGCGTATTGTTCTCTTCTCCTAGCCACCTTTTCATATGATATGTTAACCTGGGAACATTCATGTCATCCACTAGGGTCTTCAAACTTGAAAAAAGTTACTAATTATATTGATCGAATTATTGAAAATTACTACGATCGAAATTTTTTTAATCTGCCAAATTAGGTAAAAAAATCCACTCAAAATCAGTTTAATAAAGCATTAAAAAACTTCTTCGTAGGCAGAGCATTTTATTTCTATGTAATAGGTTTTTTTTTTTGGGCACTGAGTTTACCTATGATTGGTGTGCTTCTAGTAAGCACTGTGATTTAATTTTAAAATAATGTTATTGGCAACACCAACGCGTCTGTTATTCAGTTTGACAGTTAAGTCAAATAACTGTCAAATAAGGGTCAAATAACTGCAACGCTTACACCATTATTTTAAAAATAAATTTAAAAGCCTACTAGACGTGTTTTTTTTTTCAGTCATATGCTATTATTTTGACGAGTATAAAATTGTTTAGTTAAAGAACAAATAGATCGAAAAATTAAATAGACTTGTGACTATAATTCAATAAACAGCTTAATCCTGTGAACGAAACTATAATTCTTCTAGGCAACTGACATTCTAATTTGGTCGCTTTTTTAAAACCGCCCAACGGAAGTTATTTTGTGGTTTACCTTCATGATACCAGTTTGACGTTGTAGTATAACTTTATCCTTTTTCGTCGTCCAACACTTCATTTTCTCTAGTATGTCTCTATCTTTTTGGTCTTTTTCATCTATTACTGATACACGTTTCTTCACGTCGTTTATTATTTTCTGTCAACTTATTTAGTTTCTTTTTTATTTCCTCATATATTTTGAACTACTCTCATGTTCCTCCTTTTTGCTCAGAAGTTGTGTCTCTTTTATTTGTTTTCTTTTGATTTGCTTTCTAGATCGTTCGGTAGCCTTGCGTTGTCAGACGTTTATGCCATTACTTGTAATTATCACCTAGTTTTTACGGAGTTACAAGACTTATTCAATGCTTGGATTTATGAAGAGGTTGTAAAGAATTTGTCATCAAATAGATATAGTCGCTAAAAACAAAAATTTAAAGAAAAGTACTGTTGATGAATATATCTCTCAAAGAATTTCGACTTGAAAATATAAAATATGGCAAAAATTGTATGGTATCAGTACCGTGAAATGATAGGACCACCGTCCTAAATTGTTGTCTATAAAATACAAGGTGACTGCGAAATACATGCAAAAAAAAAAATGGGGAATAGCTCACAATATGATTATGTCACTGGGTAAAATTCACGGTCCTAAGTAGTAGCAGTGTCTAGAAAAAATTATTTGAAATTAAATGTAAATTGTTGTACGCGCCGCTGGACTGTTTTGTGACCTACATACTTACTACAATGAATGGAACAGAGCGAGTCGAATTAATAACCAAAAAAGTTACTTTATCAGGCACTTTTTTAATCGCAACGTGAAAAACACGAAAAGGGCCAGTTAGCATCGAGCGGTCGGTGAAATCGGTTTATGGTGGAGTTTTCCCATGCAGATTGTGTCGAAATGGTAATTGGTGTGCGTGAACATTTGCATTAATGGTACAGCAACTCCGAGATCATGGTACTTTCAACTTCAAACTCACGATCGTGGCCGTGATGGGGCAGAAAGGAGAATTTGGATTTTCGCAGCTTGTAGTGCATCCTACATTAAAAGAATACGGCCACATCCATACCATGTTGACAAAGTACAGGGTTTGGAGCCTGCTGTGTCCACGTTGTGTAACTCACTTTTTGTCCGATGGAACTCCACGTAGTCGTCAACAAGTACGATTTCAAGAGACGGTTTTCGATAAATGTGTATCAGTTGGATGAAACAGTTCGTTTGTGGAAATCAACAGTGTCCAGAAATTATCGAAGAACTTCAACAAGTGAAAGTGGCAGCCGCTACTCCGGTGTTTTTTTACCTATCAACAAACCTCTTGCGACGCTCTGAGGCCTGTATTGCTAGTCAAGGACAACATTTTCAACATTTCTTGTAAAAAGGTAGTAGCATTCTAAGTTGCTCTTATTTCTGTTCCAATAAACAATGTAAAATCGTTGTGACAAGGACCAAACATCCGTCAGAATCAAAACTACCAAAAAACTTTCACACTGACCTTTAGCGATGAATGAGTAAATGAATGAACGAATGATAAGCAGCAAAAAGTCGGTTTTACTTTTAATTGAAACTGAAAGTGTTTAGGTCGTTTTTATTCGAACGTTTTTCCAACTCTGTTTACAAGGTGGCTCAGTGCCTTCGTATCGAGGCTGGTTCATGGGGGTTTTGCCCCATTCGATTTTTAATTTGTTTTTTCTATATTTCGGCTCTACTAGGGTGGGGGATGCCGTGGTTAAAATATTTGCACTTATTTCGCAGTCACCCTGTATTCTTCACACACCACTCTTGAATACTAATGAAATTTTGCACCTTATTGGTGTCATTTGGATTGAGAATGGAACCAAATCCATCACAAAACCTTTGTTACTATGTGATATATTTATAAATGTAGCTGTATATAAAAACGAACAAGTTAATTCTTAATTCATCTCAGTGAAGTGCATTGCAGGGTAGAAATATCCGGCTCTGTTCGGCATTTGACGACCACCAAGCCCATAGACCTAAAGTCTGTAAATTTTATTAGCAGAGTTAGGCAAAGCCGTAGTGAGGGGGAATCAATCAAAACAACTTTGTATTAGTGTCTTTCACTTATTATTATTTATTTTTATTCGAAGGATTTGTTTGTTAGCTTGTGTGAATCGATCATGTTAAAAATATCTAAAGCTCTTTTTTTTGTTCTGTTTTATTCTGAATAACTCGAGAATCACCTTAAATCGCTAGTTTGCTGGTTCACTCGATTTTTTTATTTTGGCAACATGTTGTAAAACTACCAATTACGACATCTGAAATGCTTCTGTTTCTGTCGTCATCCGACACACTTTGAGGATATGTCATTCACTAAAATCAGTCTTATCTTAGCACTAGCTCCGCCCACCCGTCCTCTATTTTCTTAGAGGGTATATTATTTGCCAAAATCAGTCTTATCTTACCAAGTACTAGCCCCGCCCACCCGCCCTCTGTTTCCTTAGAGGATATGTCATTTGCCAAATTAATCTTATCTTAGCAAATACAAGCCCCGCCCACCCGCCTTATTTTCTTAAATGGTATATCATTTGCCAAAATCAGTCGTATCTGAGCAAGTACAAGCCCCGCCGCCAACCCGTCCTCTATTTTCTTAAAGGGTATATTATTTGCCAAGTTAGTCTTGTCTTAGCAAATACAAGCCCCGCCCATCCGCCCTCTATTTGCTTAAAGGGTATATCATTTACCACAATCAGTCGTATCTTTACAAGTACTAGCCCCACCCACCCGCCCTTTATTTTCTTAGAGGATGTTATTTGCCAAAATCACTTGTACCTTAGGAAGTACTAGGTAAAGAATGCCCGCACTTTTAGCATTTTAGGGGCGAAAATGCAGTGTGTTGCCAAAATTTAAGGAATTCTACTATACAGGAAATAGAAGCGTGAATTGTAGTTGAAAGTTTATTTTAAATTGTTTAAATTATAATTAAATTATGTTATTTAACTCTCAAAAACTTTCTTTCCGATGTGTTTATAAATTGTTTAAATTGTGCAATGTACCACTTAGTAACACACTAAGGTGCCCTTTATCCACAGGAGGAATGAACTATACTTTATTCCACGCACATGCAATGAACGCTTTTTTTAATAATTGCAAAAAATTATCTAAAAATACTAAATTTCATACGTAACTTTAAAATTTTAAGTTATTCGACCTTTCTGCAATTTGACCTTGCAAATATTTCGTGACACGATAAGAATGCAATTAATATTTCATTAGAAAAAAGTAAAAGATAAAAGATTACGTTTTTGCATCCAAACTCGGTATTTTTAAGTTTTTTTTTCTTAATTTATTCTTTATTACAAACCGGGTGTGCGGTCCCAGTTTTAAAACATTTTTTTTCATCTTTTATTAATAATAATAATAATAATTTTTTGATAGAAGGAAAATGCGGCGGTTGGGAAAAGTGAAACACACTGTATGTTTTGTTTCCCTAACTACACCGTTGTTATAACTAAAAGGTCGCTACCCTATAGTTTTCTGATCAACAGTATGTTCATGAAATTTGTCGTTTGATTTTAAGACAAAATTTTTTAAAAAATTACTAAAAATTCGTCCAATCGAGACGTTTTTCAATTTTAATTTAAAAGATAAGAAAAAGTGTAACACAAGATAGTATTTTTCGTAGTTTACAATGAGCAAGATATTTGTATAAGTATGTAGGCAAACTTATCAGACAATCAATTGTTGACTTCACTTTTATATTAAAAATAATAATAATAATAAAGTTGAATGTGTCAAGCTCTCATAAACATATTGTAGCACTTTATTTGTTCGGATTTATCAAAAAACTCGACAAATAGTACTCGAGATTATAAGTTTTTGTAAATTAGTGCAGTAAGTAGGGGTTTGGGTTTTTTTTAGCCGACAAACGTACTTATAAAATTTGTACATTTCGCAAACTGGTTTAGAACTTTCATTAAAACAGCGAAGAATCTGATTTTGACTTTCAGACTTGTAGTGGGTTAACACTACCGGATTATGATGTTTAAAGAAGATTTACAACCTTGTTGTGCTGGTTGTATTTAATTCGCGGAAGATACAACTATAGACCATCAAAACAGGGTTAAAGTCGTATTTAAACCTCATAATCCGCGTAGGCGTTCACCCATTGTAAATCTAAAAATGGAAATCCCATTCCATCGCGTCTCTACTATACCAAAATACAAACTTATTCATCCTGTTATAGAATTCAGCCGTTTGCCTTTTTTTACTACCTGATAAATAAAGACTTGTATAGTTCCATTCACGTATGTACTTAGAAATCGATCAAATTAAAATCTGTAGTTAAAGATAGTACGATCTGTTATACGATATGTAAATCAGGGGTACCTGAACGTCTTAATGAGGTGTTGGATACTGTGATAAAAGCATGACACACGTCTTATTTTTTCTTCTTATAACTTGAAACCTTCTTTTTCTTTATTGTCATAATATGTACCGTACGGTCGAAAATACAACGAATTGGAGTTGGCTGTGAGAGAGTAATAGTAGAAGAGAGGCCAACTCTAATTCGTTTTATTTTCAATGGCACGGTATATCTGTTCTCCATAACAGTGAACTGCTCAACTAACTCTAAAGACTAACAATTTAACATGACTAGAATGTCAAAAGAGCCAGGCAGTTGACTGTTTAGTTAACTGCGTTTAAACTCAAGTGTTGTTCTTTCCAGGTTTAAATCAATCTCTACAGGCGAACGCCGACAGTCTAGCAGGCACTTCACAAGGTAAGATTCGTTGTTCCACCTCTATTCTGTTAAGTCCAGTTGTTTTTGATTTTTTCTTCTTTCTTTTTTGAAAGAGATAATTCAATAAACAACAATGAGGTTCCTTCAACGCCGTTGAAGTAGCTTCATTCGGGCGATTCGTAATAGTGTCGTTTTTTGCTAGTAAGTGTAAAATTACGAATCGTCCAGCACACGTTTTGGTTTTGTTTGGAAAAAGTAACGCTATGGGCCTTCAGTGTTTTTCTTTTCACAAGCAAAACCCGATGAAGAGAGCTTCCGAAATCGTTTGTGTTCGTCGTGTTTGTTGTGTTTTTTTCTTTTGGCAGTTCTCTTTGTCTGTACTAATGTTTATGTTTGGAATGTCTTAACATGTGTGTTTTTGATTTGATTCGGTTTATTTGATTTTTGTTAATTTGTCCCTGGTCTGATTTGTGTTGTTATCTTTTCATTGCGATTTACTTTTGAGTTCTATTAATTTGGGGAAGCCAACTAAAACGAGCGGAAAGCCAGAGCTTATAGACGAACAGAAATATCAAGCTAGATTTCTTTGTTGTACACGATTTGACACGCAATGACCGCAGCGATGTTGTAGTAGTTGCGAGGAGCGAGGCAGGGGGCGCCCCTGCGTCGCCCCTCGTTTTCGAAATTCTTGTTGTCACTCTGTGTTACGTACATAGGCCTGGTCTGAGCCCCCCTCCGATGTTGCAGAGTCGTCGGGGGGCGCAAGACCGGGCAGGACGGCGTTTTGCGACATATGCAATAAAACCTTCTCACGGTTTTGGTCCCTACAACGTCATCTATCTGACACGCACTATTACACGCCACAAAACCTACAATGCGACGTATGCGGAAGATCGTACAGATCACGGAACTCGCTGATCAGTCACCGGAGTCAGTATCACAGGGAAGGAGCCGAAATCAAAATCGAGAGCGACTGCTAGAGCCCGGCCGACCGAAACTAGAGGAAACGACGATTTTTCGTCGACTGGGTTTGCTTTGTTGAGTTGTTGAAGGTTTGAGATTTTATTTTTTGAGTCGACGGAAAGTCTTTGTTGTTTTTTCTAGTCTAGGTGGGGGGCACGACACCCGACACTACGCAGAGGTGTGTAAGATGTGTGGGAAAGTCCTCCGGAACAAGATCAGGAGGCATGTCAAAGATCATCAAGCACAAACCGAAGAGTTTTGCTGTAAGATCTGTGACAGATGTTACAGAATCAAGAATTGTCAGTCTGTCGTGCACACGTGCGATTATCACCGACAGAAAAATCGGCGAGCGGAAATGCGTACTAATAGAGAGAGAACGAGCGAGTGAGAGAGTAATGTTAGTGGGTGTTTTTTTTTTTTATTATGTTTTTTTATAAATCGACGAGATACTTAGCATATTTCGATGAGTGAGGTATGAATGAAGCGCCATCTATTGCCAGCATGTTGATGTCTTTGCCATACCAAGTCTGCAATTAATAGTAGATCCTACGGTTGAAGTACATAATGAATTTTTTCTATGTATTTATGGATGTAAATTACCAAATTTAATTTAAATTGAAGTGTTACAAATAAATGGATTATGTGTTGGAGAACACAAAAGATAAAATTCGGCGTTCATAATCTTTCTACCAATAGAGATAATGGAAAAAGACAAACCCGTTGTACAAAACAAATTATAAGCTTCACTTTCTTTTAAATAAACTCCCCAGATAATTTATATCAATATTTTTTTGATAAACGTAGTTTCTTAATAGCTTCACAAAGTACGCTATGTGTGATTTGGTAGTAAAAAATTGCTTAAAATATCTGGCAGATACATTTTCCAAGAAAAAAAATCACATTTTGCTATATTTTTCTTATTTGTTTTTATTTTTTCCTTATCTTTTTTTTATATTTATATTAGACTGTTAGTGTAAAATATTTAATTAAAAAAAAATGCCTATAACAACAAATGATCAATTGAATGTCACTGAGTATTCAGTGACACTACGAAAGTTAAACTCTTCCTATACTTCATTTTTTAAGGGCGTGGACAAAATTATGCAACATAATATACTAATTAAGGGTGGCGTTGATTATACAGCCTGGTATAAAGTCGCGGAACGGTCGAATAACTTTATTATTCGAAAAGCTTTTTTTCTGAAATTTGCTTTGGATATATAGTTAAACATGACGACTTGATTATAACATTTTTACTTTTTTTATCGCTCTCAGTTTGACACACAAAGCCGCCAACTTTTCTTTTTAATGGAGCACCCAGATTTTTTTGATATTTACTGAAACAGAATAAAAAACTACTTTCAGAAATTGTTAACATGTTTGTTTCTACTAATACAAAAAATAACATAATTTATTGAGCTGCCAAATTGTAAACGGAGAACACAGCATTATTTATTAGTATTTTTTGTTTTTTTTTTTATATCAGTAGAAATAAACATGATCAACATTTCTGACATCAGGTTTTTATTCTGCACCAGAAAATGTCAAAAAAATCGGGGTGTTGCATTTAAAAAAAGGCGGCCTTGTCTGTCACACCGAAAGCGATAAAAAAGAAAAAATATTGTAATCAAGTTGCCATGTTTAACTATAAATCCACACCAAATTTCCAAAAAAAGCTTGACAAAGTTATTCAATCGTTCCGGGACTTAATACTAACCCTGTATTTTCAGTTGCAATAAAATTTGTAATGAAAGATTCCATGTTAAAACAAATGAAACAAAAAATTTTAGGTTAACATGTGACATCTTACGAAAACAACATTTTGGAAAACGTCAATCTTCACGTTTATTTTTTTGTTTGCAAAACATAAACGCATTCAAAATCGTTTAACACCCATAAAAATTAACTGTGAATTGTTTATTTTGGGTTGAGTGAATTTTTTCGTGCCTGTAAAAAATGAACTATAATATTAATTTAACCGAGTCAATCTCAAATTATTAAAAATGAAAGAAAATTTGGTTCAAAAAACAAAATAACTACTCAACAAACTAATTCTGCTTGAGAAAAACGAAGTTTCTAATTTGTTCTACGAGGTTGATCTGACCTTTTGTATCAAATCGGTGAGTCTTTAAATCGAAAAAGTACCACAGTGTGTCGACAAAATATTTGTTTAAATGTTTTATGAGCAACAGTTTCGTCAAATTGGCTACTGACGCGCACACGAGCGAACCGAATGCACCGAATGAACAGAACGCATCGGACTGGCATATATAAATCGAAATGCTTATGTTGCACGTGCATGAGTTGTTTCCACTTTTAAATCAACGGCAAAAAAATGTATATTTGTATTGTGTGTCTCTGTGCGCGTAGTCTAGTTGGAAAAGAATAGATTTTTTATGCATACTCACCGAATTAAACGAATTTGGCATGTGCGGTTGATTGTTTTTACTGTGGTGTAATAAATAAAACGTCACAAACACGAACAGTTTTCAAATAATTATCGAAAAAAAGTTTTTCCTTAGTTTGACTATAGAGCTTCTTAGAATATTTGTGTCGATAGATTATTTGTCTTTTCTTAAAAATGTTTGCTTGTGTTTTGCTTTGAAAAAAAAAGATTGAGCACTATGAAAATTTAACGAATTATAGTGAAACTCACAGGAAATATACAAGTACATATTTTTAATTAAACAAAAAGAGAATTGGAAAAAAGAACAACCAGTTGACATTTATTTGCATTTCTAACTAATCTTGAATAACAGCTGCATCAATGAGTAATATTGAATGGAGCAGATAACCAGATTACTAATAAAAACAAGCCAAAGATGTTTTGCGACCAATAACTGCAAGCCAATCGATCTCCACAGTCCGAACTGTGAATACAACCTACCAAAGACTTTAAATAAGAAGCATGATTTTCACATCATTTTAACTGACCAGAACGTCGTATAACTGGTACAGAATTTATAAATGACAAAAACTAACCCAGCAACAAATAGTTAACCCAGAATTCTTAACACGTTTTCTATTGGATGACAAGAATTACGGTTCTGTTGCTGCAAGTTCCATGAAAATCTAATAACTTATGAAACAACTGAAACAAGAATTGCTGTAGCAGTTGTTTCGAATACGTCATCACACAAAGATAATTAATATCATTGGTACAAACAACTCCACATAAGGTCTTAATTACTATCAACTTCAACACTCTATACATAAATTTGACGTACTTGGTGGAAAAAAGCTTTTGAAACGCCCGCTAAATATGTATGTCGTAAAATGAATAAAATTCTGTTGAATATATTCTTGTATAAACAGAATAATTGTTTGCTTACTTCTTCAGGGGTATAAAAAGATTGTGACGGTTTTTTCAACGTTCATAAAACTTGTATAGTATTACATCGTGCATTTCCTACGTTAACAGCGCGGCGTTGGTATATATCTTTGATGTTATCACAGAGACTTCCACGCGTTCTTAAAAAAATATATACAAAGACTCTTGTAGTCTGTCCTGTGCTAGGGCACTATCTTGTTAGCACAGATCGTTCTCTTGTTTCCACTGTATGAGAGTGGTGTCTTTTTCAACGTTGAGAAAGGCAGCGTTGTTACTAGAGGGCGACTTTTGTAGACTACACTTTATATATTCATAATAATCACGTTTATACGAGAATCTTTAGTGGATTTGAGTTTTTTTACAGGCTTAACTCGATCTTTATTTAGTGCATTTTTTGTTGTTACGTTAATTTAGCAGTTTTATGATTGCTATTTGTTTTTGCCCTAATTATGCTTTTTCAACTCCTGTTTTCTTGGTCTCTCTTTTATTTATTAAAACGAACAACGATATTCCAAAAAAACAACTTAGTACCAACATCAGGTGATGACACGTCAATTTTTATCGCAGAAACAGCGTTCGAATTGACAGTTCCGACAATAGATGGCGCTCGTTGAACTAGTGAATCATTAGTGAATCCGGCGGTCGATTTTTCGCTGTAAATATTTGAAATTTGGTACTTCACACATGACGAGCGAAAGGTTGCGAGCGGGCTCCGGCCCAAAGTCCTAGTTTAGAAGTAGCTGAGCGCGTGTATATAAGCTTTGAAAGCGGCTGAGAGAGGCTAATGGGGCCCCTTTTCTGCCGCCAGGTGGTGTGGACGAGTTCCGATGTCAACCCTGCAACAAAAGTCTGTCCTCCCTGACGAGACTGAAGAGGCACATACAGAATGTGCACATGCGCCCCTCCCGGGAACCAGTCTGCAACATTTGCAAGAGAGTATACAGCAGTCTTAACTCACTCAGAAATCACAAGAGCATTTACCATAGGAACGTTAAAAATATCAAAACGGAAGATATTATGGCGCCGCACTCGTTCTATCTATGACCATAGCCACACAAAAAGACTTGTTCGTTCATTATTTAACACTTTTTTCTTGAGACAACGTACAAATTGTTTGATTACTGGTTAACTTAATTATTTAAAGACCGGCGAGGCCGCCTCGGGGCGATTTAAGGGTGAAACAACCACTTGAGAAAGACGAGATGATGCGTTGTCAATGTGTGTCAGAGTTGTTCTATCCTTGAACTGTCCCGCCAATCTCCTGGATAAGTGAACAGCTTGCTTTTCTCACATCCCTGTATAAATGCTTGATAACAGAGAGGAAAATTGAGCCGAAAATTGGGGTATAGCCCTATGGGTTTTAATTCGTTAATAATAATAATAATAAGACTTGCTTGACTTTTGAGCGGGGGCCTAATTCGGTGTTGTGTTGTTCTCGGTGGCAGCTAGAAGGTTCAGTCTTCCACTTCCACTGATTGCCACCCATCGCTGTGAGGTCTGCGGGAAGCTGCTCAGCACCAAACTGACACTGAAAAGGCACAGGGAACAACAGCATCTTCAGCCACTCAACAACGCCGTGTGTAATCTCTGTCAGAAAGTGTTTCGGACGCTCAATTCTTTAAACAATCATCGCAGTATTTATCATCGCAGACCGAAATGAGGTCGGATCTGATCTGTTATTTAATTATTAAAAGACGACAGTCATCACCTATGTTAAGCCCCCGCTGCATTATACAAGTCTTGTTCCGTCAAGCTGTCCATCAAGTGCATATAACATATTTAATAATTAATTACTTAAAGTTAGACACATTTTTCTGTAATAGTAACAGTTAGTATCTCGCTACTTTTTTTTTCTCTTAACTTTTACATAACTGTTGACTGAAATAATGGAGATCGGTCTGGCAACCACTATGTGCAAATAATTAGGGGACAGCGTTTAGTAACTTGAAAAGTCTCCATTATTTTTGTGACTTGTTACTGAATTTTTCGCCCCGTTACATTTCGGTTGTATGTTTTGGCTCTGTGATATATTTTTTTGTTGACGTAATTCTAAAGTTTATTTCGTATGTGTAACGAGGAAATGCAGTAATAAGAAGTTGTTCATTGAATGAATCAAAGCCTTTTTATATTATAATCGGTGAAAGGGAATTCTTCCATTTATATATACATATTTAAAAAATATAGAATAATATATGTTTATTTATCTATTAACTTTTTTTTATTATTTATGCTCTGGCTGAATCGCGGAGCGTAGTTTGTATTTTAATGAATTTATTGTTGTACTGAGAGACAGGACTTAAGTTTTTAAAAGACTGAAATTAGTTTATTTTGCGGTATTTTTTAAGACTGAATATATATTTTTGACTGATTTTTTTTTTCTTTTGGTAAGAAAGATTGGCAACCCCTGAATTATCATGTAATGTTTTAAATTGGTCCTGTGTAGAGAAAACAGTTCTTTTTTTTTCATTTTTTTTTTGCATTTACGCATGTTCATGTTGTTTGATGCAATATTTATCATATTTTATGTACTGTTGTATAACCTTTATTTATGTTTAAATATATTTTTACAATTTGCAAAAGCAGCTTGGGTTTTATTTTGCTTGTTTAGAGATGCCTTATTCCCCCGTATATGTTTGTGTTTACCAAAAAACCTTCCCAACACGAGAGTGTTGCCACCAGGAGACTTTTACTCATGTAATAGACCCCGCCGCGCCACCCTTCGTCCGCACACTTCGTCATCGATGAAACGCATGGAAAGAGAGAAGGTCCGGCAGTCGGAAAAGTAGGTACGACACCCCGGCCCGGCTGGTGGTAGACGATGATTGACTAAGACTAAGAGTACATTGTACATAATATATATCTATCTAGCTGTTTCATTGCGTTTTGTCGGGCAGCGGGGTCGTGTGCGAGGGCTTCCAGGTTGTGAATCCGGGGGCGCGGCGGAGCAGCAGCTGGCGCAGAAAGATTAATAAGATTTAGATTGATGATGTCGATGATGCGTGTGTGTTGTGGCTGCGAGCAGTAATACTGAGTTCGCGTGGGCAGATCGCGAGTGTGCGGTCGGCACAGACAGTCAGACAGACAGATGACGATATCAGGGGCCGTCCGTAGAGGCCGTAAAGACCGTAAAGACCGTGTGTCTGCTGGTGGCAACACGCGCGGACCAGACCAGAGCGAGCTTGGTTTTGCTGTTGCAGGGGCGTCGCCCAAGAAGGTGTTCACGTGCCAGCTGTGCGGTAAGGTGCTGTGTTCAAAGGCGTCCCTGAAGCGGCACATCGCCGACAAGCACGCCGAGCGGCAGGAAGAGTACCGCTGCGTCATCTGCGAGCGCGTGTACTGCTCCCGGAACTCGCTGATGACGCACATCTATACATACCACAAGTCGCGGCCGGGGGACATCGACATTAAGTTCTTTTAGCCACCGCACGCCCCGCTGTGCCGCCGTCCGGCCACCAACACCACCACCACCACCCTCCCAGGTACACACCACCAACCATGCCCCCACCCCGCTTGTGCTGCCGCTGTCTGTGTAGTAATGAGTTGTGCTGCCGCTTGCGAGCCTGCATGCCGCCGCCGCCGGGGCCGGGGCCCCGCCTCGAGCCCTGTCTGTACCCTGGCTGTTGCAGGCGCGGTGCGAATGCCGCCGCCGACGTCGGGAGGCATCAACGAGCCCCAGGAGTGCCCCTACTGCCGGCGCACCTTCAGCTGCTACTACTCGCTCAAGCGGCACTTCCAGGACAAGCACGAGCAATCCGACACGCTCTACGTGTGCGAGTTCTGCCACCGGCGGTACCGCACGAAGAACTCGCTCACGACGCACAAGAGCCTGCAGCATAGGGGCTCCAGCGGCATGCTCAAACGTCTGCTCAAAACGACGGCCATCAAGAGCGTGCTCGGCACGCCGCCGCCGCCGCGCCTCCAGTGAGCCACCCCCAAACGACTACCGCTGGCCTAACTCGAACCACAAGTACAAATCACCCAGAAGTATGTATCTTTACAGCCGTCGTTGACAGAGCCAACAATCTAGTTTTTATACGCCTCTATAACAAAAAATAATAATAATACAAAACAAATATTCATATTATACACGCAGCATACACCCACCCCTTATCCCCTAGCTCCTCAACATATCTCTGCCATATCAAAAATAACAAAGTGCTAAGTAATTGCGGCGTCACAGCCAATTCATTCTCCAGCACCCGACATGCGTGCGTCAATTCACATACATGGTTCTGTGTGTACGTCTGTGTGTGTATCGTGATCTGCCCAAAACATGCGAGACATTCCCAGTGTTACTGTGATTCAGTTACATTCTCTTTCCCAAAACATAATCACATCGTTATTACCAACCCTCTCGGCCCCCGAGGCGCGCATATATACAGTATTGAGCTAAACTATTACATAAACCGTAGAAATTATTCGAGACAATTTTTCAACAAATACAAACGTGGACCTTTACTAGATAATTGCATTGTTAGGTGAAATGGACACCACCCCGTCATATTAAATATCAAAATTTTTTGCACATACAGCTTTCACAGGCCATTTAGACCCATTGCTGAGTAACCTTTCTCCATTCCTTCTATCTCTTGCCGTCTTCAGTTTCTAATTTGCTTGGACTCTGAATCTTCCTTTTTATATCTGGTGTTTTCCATCCTCTGCCCTTGACTATTTCAGATGATCAACCCACTTAAGTCAGATACACAGGGCTATGATGTATGATACAGTTGGCCCTAAAACAGTTTGGCATATTTATTTGTTCGCGTAGTTAAGTACAAAATCAGTAGAAACTTCATTCAAAAACTAGTACTTGGTGGGGTAACCCTTTGACTACCCCAACACGTCTTCCCAACTTATCCCACAAATGTTCGATAGGGTTTAGATCCGGAGACTGACTGGGGCACTTCATAACTTGAACGTTTGCATCCGTAACCGATTGGGTTACCAATCCAGATCTATGTCCAGGATCATTATACATTTGCTTTTATTTTCTAACCACTTCTAGATTTTTTATTTTCACAGCATCCGACTTGTCGAATCAGAGCACTTTTGACCATTCGTGGAGGCCCCACAACAAATGATTTTTAGCAAAGTCGACCCTAGCTTTACAATTCTTGTTGCTTATGATCGGTTTTTTACAGGAGTACATCTCGAAAACGACACCCAACAGTCCAAAGTCTTCATTAGTTCTTGCAGTCTTTAGGCGATTTATTTTTGTTAGTCCTGTCTGTTCTAATTGTTGATTTTCTTGGTCTTCCACATTGCCAGTGATACTAATTATAACTACCAAACTGTCAAAGAAGAATCCCAGCCTCAAAATAGACAAACCTTTTGCTCTAAGGAATCTGTCACTTCTCTCCAAACAATGTACTTATCCCATGAATATCCAGGTATTTGTTTTTATCTAAACGTGGAGTCAGGGTGTTTCGTATTTATGCAATATTTTTGCTCTGTACTGTACCTCGATCGGGCTAGTCGTGCCACTACTACAGCGTCACGCTATAAACCAGCGGGAGCGACTAGTAACTTCGACGACGAGGACGACGACGACGACGACGACCGATTAAGATAGATATGCGCGCGTTTTTGCTCATTGTGATTCTTTCTTGAAAAGTGAATGATGTAGTGGATTATTAAAAAAATCTACAAAAAAGTTAAGAAACAATTCGTGTTGACCTGTATGTATTTATGTTACGATAATTTTAAACTTGTGCTACTAGTTAGTTGGTTGATGAACTAGGTACAGGTTAGCTGTGAGTTATTTCACAAATTTACATATCTTTCCAGGGTTCAATTGTTGTAAATAATGTGCCAATCTTTATTATTGCATTTGTTTTCATTTTTTACATTATAATAATGATAGTTATGTATTAACTGTAATGTTTCAAGTGAGATTGGTTGTCTGTATGCTCCATTGGAAGTTCACTTATTTCGTAAAGCGACCTATTTTTGACTTTAATAAAGTACGAAAATCTGTTAGTAGTGAATTTTTGTTAAGTTTTCGTTGCTCTAGCAAATGAGTGAATTTTGAATGAATTTCGTTCATGATTTTTTTGATCTGATTAAGGCACGGTTACGCATTTCGGCAACCGTTAGCATACATTTGACTGTATATTTAGTGCTGTGACTAAAAGAAGATAAATTGTCTGATTAGGTTTAAAATTATTTATTTCTTTTATTTGTGATACGGTCGAACCAAAGACATTTCATTGAAAAATTAGTTTCGAAAAAAAATATTTTTTTAAACGTGCCATTAAAATTGTAATGTACAAGACATCAAAATGTCAGTTAATTATTTTCCGGTTATTATTCAAATTTTGTAGTGATTAGCGTAGAAGTAAGTTGACGATATCAATGGTTTGTTAAAAACAAAACATAAAAAAATTATTGCATATCTATTCATGCCAACAATTATTGTAATTGTGCGAAATTTAAATTATATGATGATATATTGATGAGATATAAATTAAACAGTATTAAAATTTGTACCTAAAGGTAGCAGTTTAGATATTTTATAAAAAAATTATATACATTTTAAAGTTTATCTTTCTAAAAATTGATATTTGGTCTGTACAAGAATTATCGTAGATTTTGTTACTGAATGACAATTTGGCGTGAAGTAGAATAGTGTATGTGGTGTTAAATTGTACAACTTAGTAAATGAAAAACACAAAAAAAAAAGATAAAGTCAATCGTTTAGGTTGATTTTCTTTCCAAAGTATTGTACCGTTTGTGTTGTATAATGGTGAACGGTTGGCTTTATGAGAAATGGTTTAGAATTAATCTGCACTGCCCCAGGATGTCGGTCATTATTTGGTTCCGTTCCCTCATAATATGCAACAAGATGCCTTGACACAGTACAACAAAAAAAGAAATACAAGCGATGATAAAAATTACTGTAATACCTCAATACTCAGACAAAATCCACAGATGTACTTATATTGTATCGTACTAGGCTAAGATAAAACATGAATCGTTAGCTTTTAGATCATGCTTTTCTAATTTTTTCCAACTACATTCTATTGATTCTAACAGAATATCTGTCATATCACCAATAATAAAGATGATATCACTTGTTTACAATCATTCAGATGATATAGTTTTTTAACAGTCACGGAGAACTAATAGAATGTAGAGCAAAGCAGTGTATATTTTTCCATTTTTAACATAAGTGTTTGGTTGGAAGGGTAATTCAGTTCTTGTAAATAATGACGATGCTTGTGGGATTTTTTTTAAGTTAGCTGCTACAAATCATACAGAATGCTTCCATGTTAATTTAGGAACTATTATTTTTTATTTAAATTTTATTATTAAGGATAACTTTTGTTATATAAACTTATGAATATATTATGATATGATTGTTGGTGTAATAAAATATTAAAATTGCTACATTAGTTTTATTGATGTTGCGATATTTCATTTGTAAAAATTCCATTTGTACAAAACAAAAACGAACAAGTGGAAACGAGCAACTTGCATTTTCGTATTCTACGGGCAACGAAACGCAACAAACAACATGAAAGTGGGCATTCGTCAAAATACCTTCTTTGTAAGATTCTCTTGAAAACTAAAAGTAGTTCCGTCGTTTTAACCTATTTGTTGAGTATTGATTAAAATGCAAGGTTATAATAAATTTTATAATATAATTTATTTAATTAAAGTGACTAATTATTTAATGGCGTGAACCTTAAAATCTGTTTGTTGTTTACCTATTTATTTCCTAGAAAGGGAAATATTGACTCAGAACTCCATTAGCAAAATATAACATCCGCTTTTAATCTGCTCCTTTAACTTTAATTCAATATTTGCAGCAGAATGTATGTAATTTTGTAGTAACTTTATTGTGTATAATGCATAATTGGTGTTATACAAAGTGAAATACGACAAACAGGAAACAGCATTATTAACTAGCTACATTTAAGGTTCGGAACATAAATAAAAGCCATTCCGCGTAGTAAACAGACTAACAAATCAGTTGTTCCTCCAAATGAAATCCATTTCTAATGACGCTATAAAAAATTTAGTTGCAATATGTACTGTGTTAACAATATTAATAAACTTTTCACAAAATACGTGGTCAATGAATGTGTAATATATCAATATGGAAATTCTCAGTAATTTTACTTGCAACTTCCAAAGTATCGTGAAAATAGAAAAAAATTGGTATGGTTGACATGAATAAAGAAATTGTTCGACTATTGACGAACTGCCCCGTGTTCTATTTTCGTAGAATACAAAAATACAAGTTACACTTGTCTGCTTCAAATCTGTTATATGGGTGTTGTTCCAAAATTTACCAACCAGAAGGTTACTACAACAATGAACTAATTATAAAAAGTAACCGTCTTTCATGGGATTTTTTTTAATAATAAAATAATTACAGTGTTCGAAATTTTGACCGTGCACATGTATGCACCCAACTGCATGTATTCTGTCTATTAGAGTTTCCCTATTTGGTGGTGGGTTATGGAAGACCATATGTTTCATGTGTCCCTTAAAAGGAAATCCAGTGGAGTTAGATCTGGGGACCTGACTGGCCAATACACTGGTCCATTGGATCCATTCAAGGAAAATGTTCTTCAATCTCTGACTCGATTCAACACAACTTGCACTTGATTTTGAAACAAGTTCAAAATTGCGTTATGGTTTCCCCGGTTTGGTGGCTCAATAGGTCCAAGATGGGAAGTGGAGTTCAACTTTTGAGTATACTGTAAAACCGGCTTCAAGATACATGTTTTTAGCCAGGTAGGAACGATAGGTTAGTTGATCATGCGCTTATATTGTACATCTGTTCGGCGCTTCTAATATAATTAGATTAAACACATGTTAGCAAAAAGATGCTTTTTGTTGTAAGTGGAAACGGCAATCAGTTTTTAACGTTTTATACAGGGCTTTTATAAATGTTTCTTACATCCCGACGTGTGAAATTTCAAAATATTGCAGATTTGCCAGTTCTTAGTAACGATGTAGACATTTTTAAGGTTTTGATTAATATATGTCATCTGTCAGAATAATTATAACATTTGAAATATTACTTTATTGGCATTATTTCCATACTCCGAAAGAGGCGGAAGAAATCAGTGTCCAGTCGGATGTTAGATTCTTTTATGAAAGTCCTGTACCTTTATACTATTATTATGGATAGAATGTTTACAGAAATGTGTATGTACATTTAAACATTTTTTTTGTTAATAAAACCGTAAGTTGTCTTGGGCCATAATGGATAATGGATCTCTCGGACACTTCAAAACGCCAGAAAAAAATTTTGTGAATATGTACTGGATGTGGAAAGCAGACATTTTGAACTCAGCTTTATAAAACCTATTAGGTATGTCGTTCATCGGTATCCAGAGAAGAAGAAATTAACAAATAATTTTAATCAGGAAACTGGTGTGGCAGGATATGACTCGCGCTCATGTACAGGGTGCTGAAAAAATGGGGCACCAACTCAACGTTACATTGTTAAGTTTACAAGTCCAAGTTCGACAAAAGTCATAAAAAATTCCTTACGTCAATTTGGTGTTCATTTACAGAAACAAAATATCGATTTAGACCGATAAATAAAAAATATCGGAAGATTAGTCACTTATCCAATTCATCCTAAACAATTTTTCAGTTTTTTGTTATATTATAAAATGAAGAAAACTGTGGATTAAAACAAGATACCTCCAAAGTTATTTTGAATAATGTAAAATATGGTGAAATATTGAAAACAAAAGTTAAATTTTGAAGGGCTTTATTTTATGAATTTTTTTAATTATTTTTTCTCTGTTCTATAGACAGTCCTCAACAACGTGTCATAGAGTTGATACACCATTTTTTCTGCACCCCGTATAAAAAGAAGATGTAAACAATTCAAATAATTTTAGACCAACAGCTCTCCTTCCCATGATGGTAGCCAAAACTGCAGAAGATATGTTATAATCAAATAACTACTTGACAAAAAACGAACTTTGTATCAGCATTTCAGTTTAGTTTCAGGAAAGATGCTATCCAGCACAGGGTAAATATAATTGATCATTTTGTCTTTTTTGAATTTTTGCAATGCATTGGAATATGTTGTCCATGCTATTTTATTAAAGAGATTATCCGCGCACAATGGATGTATCAAGTCTGAACCTTCTATGGACAATTCTCACGTGGAGGCCTCCCGCAGGGCTTAGTCTTGGGACCTTTGTTATTTATACTTGTTGTTAACGATATAGTCTTGGTAAGTGAATCATCTTCAGTCCAGTCAGTGGTTGATATGAATATTGTGTAGCAGTCGGTAGTTTCGGTGGAGTTTATAATAGAAATTTGCGCATACTGAATCGAAGTAAATCGACGAATATGCCTCTTTTGTCTCACATGGGAACAAAACTCTTCTAACTATGAATATCTACAAGCCTAAACTGTGGTGAAGTGTTCACGGGAACCAAATTAAAACAAAAAGCTAACCCTTTTAGAGGTGTCATTAAGTAATGCTAAATTATTATTTCTTTTTGAAAAACTTTTGAACGGTGTACTGATATTTTGACGTTATATTATTGAATTGACCGATTTTTAACATTTGCACTTTACAGCGTGTCCATAAATAATTCTGGTATCAAAGGTAGTTTTGGAACGTTTTTTGTTAACTAAGCTTTCGCTTTTTTACCACAGTGAGATACATCTTTGATATTTTAAAACCGTCCTTACATCGTACCCGAATCATTTATGGACACACTTTATATTCCCCGTATGTATTGTTACGATGATCTGCTATACCGCGATTATGTATAAAATAATTCCGACTCGACTGGAGTGGATTTGACTCTGCTCAACTTCTCCCATTGTCCGGACTACTCTGCCTGCTCCCGACGGTCGTTCCCATTTAAAAAGCCACGCGGTTCTTCTCGAAACGTCTCCGTCACCGCTTCTAAACTTGTCGGGAGCACCAACCGCGACTTCCGCTTCCAGGCTCTTCTTTAGCGAATGCCGTCCGGCCGCCGCCACCGACGATGAGTCACCAATCATCGCCGCACATACTAGAAAACCCATAAGCGTCGTACCGGGGCGGCGTATGGGTTTATTTCGTGACACTGCCCCCTCCTTAGTTAAACACCAACGATGTCACTGTGTTCGACTCTTGTATTGAGATGTCCCTAAGGTCGGAACGTGTCTTCATTCACGCGACTCTATTCTCGTGGTGCAGTAATTCGTAAACGCTGGGCAGCTTCTCCTGTAAGCCATCGTGGTAGCCTTTGACATTCTTCTTGTACTTGTTCCCTTCTTCGGTCACTGGGAGGGGATCCACTATATCTCCTGCAGTTCCTCCAAAAGGCGAACCGACGTTCTGTGGATGCATCGGCTCTCTCGCCTTAATCTTAAGTCTTTTAACCACCGCACAGGTCTTACACGTCTTGCACCAGCTGTCGACGTCTTCCCGGCAACGGACCCAGTAGAATCTATCCCTAACTTTGGAAAGCGTCTTGTTTATTCCAGAATGAGCACCAGAACCATAGGTCCGTTGTGCACTTCTTGAAGTACTTCCTTGGTTCTAATGGCCGGAACCACTAACTGCATAGTAGTTCCGGCCTTCTATCGGACTTTCCCAGGCTCGCTTAAGCAATCCGTTGTCGATATGCAAGAAGTCCCATTGAGACCATAATGCCTTGAAAGAAGGTGACACGTCTGATATTTCCGACCAACTAGGCCGTTCTACACCATCTTCTTTCCATTTGAGGAGCAGTCCATGTCTTCCTCTTGGTATTTTCTAAACCGAGCTGTAGTCCATTCAATCTTACAGACCTCGCTTCAATACAGCGCTGATTCAGCTTGAACTCTTCATTTCCAAGACGTAGGACTTCCCTCACTGGATCAATTGTCAATCCATGACGGGTAATCAAAATCACTCCCAAAATGAAGTCATCTTCCATGCTAGCCACGACAGTCCGATGTCTTATCCTCAACTGACCAATACCGATTTCTGCCGATGCTTCGCCCATGATCACCGTTGACATGTCCATTTACAGTCTTCAATCTGCTCATTTCGGGTAAAGCTTCTACATCTTCAGCTCTCACGAGTTCTTTACGTACAATAATTGATACCTCAGCACCAGTATCGATGGTGATTGCTGCTGGATTTTCATAAATCTTCCCCGGTATAGTTGAACAGCACTACCTCTGGGGAAACTTCGCTGGCGGCCTTATTCTCACCAGCGAACCCATTCCCCAAAGTACGGGCTCCTTTTAGATATCGGTGAGGTCTTTGTTTTGTGCTTTTTCTTGGAACTGGTAATCGACCACGACAATCATGTTTGAGGTGTCCCTGGCGCCCACACCTATAGCATTCCACGAATCATTCTCCCGTCTTCGAAAGAGGTCATCTCTTTGCTGTAACAATTTTTCTAGCAGGTTCTCTTACTACGCTGACTTTGTAGCACGTTCTTGAAGAACTGTACTCCGCCTCCACTTCCAACGCACGAATCAAGGCATCAGATGCAGTGGCGGCTCGTGACTTTTTCTGTTGGGGGGGCAAAATTAATACACAGTATTATGCTAAAATTAAAATTTATCCTAGGAGGTGGACCTAATTCCAGACTTCCCCAACGGTGATGGGGCGAATTCAAAGTTCCTTTTAAATTTGTTGGCATAAGAAATATAAATAAAATTTGGCTAATCGCGTGTCCAGTAGATGCAATAGTTATCCCCCACTTTATATTCTTTTCAGTTTTTTTAATTAATATTTCTATATATAAAATTCATACGTCTTTCTTTGTTACGAAGAAAATGTTCTATAACTAGTTCATTGACATTGGTGGTTTCTTGCACTAGTTTTTACTTCCCGAGCGTAAGGAAAGGAAGTATTGTAATCGAGTCCGTCGGCCGACTCTCTACTTTTACGTTTTCTCGATCTTTCATGACCCCTAGAAGACGAAGAAATAGGTCTCCCATTTCCGTCTGTCTGTCCGTCTGTAGGTCTGTCCGTCTGTCCGCCTGTCCGTCTGTCCGTCTGTCCGTCCGTCTGTCCGTCTGTCCGTCCGTCTGTCCGTCTGTCTGCCGTCCCGGATTTTTATTAGACAGATAATTTCCGGAAGTACTGGACCAATTGTTGCGAAATTTTGAACTTATATTTGGAATATAATGTAGATGGTAAAACTCTAACCAAAATTTGTCTAATCATCCCCACCACTAATGCGATGACGTCACTTCAAAATTGTACACAGTAAATGGGTTTTAAATTGTATAAAATAACATAGACCTACACAATGTAGTTTACGACTCCGAATTGAGTTTTTACCCGAAAAGTCCAGATTTTTGGAAAAAAATCAAAATTATAAAACAACATTTTGCAATTTAATTTTAAATCTGCTAACCCGGTTGCTTTGAAATGTTGCAGATGTTTTAAGGCTGTAAAGAGCATCATAAATCTTTGGTCAAAATATATTTGGTTATCCCCTCCAAACACTTGATGACGTCAGCTCGAAAATTTGCCGAATAAATCCTATCTAGAATGAACAAAATATGATGAGTCTGTACTTGTGATTTATCACTCCATTCATATTTTTTGGATTTCCATGTACAGGGTGACTCAAAAAAAATAATGAATGCGTAAATTTATTTTATTGATTTACTCAGGAACTACAAAACCGAATGCTTTGAAATCTACTGCGAGAAAAAAACATAATAGGCATGCAGTCGTCACGTTTCCGACAGCGAGGGAAGTACTGTCGAAACTCTTTAGAGCGATGCTTTTTCACTTTTTCCCCCAAATGTTTTAAATCTGTGATTCCGGTTTCAGTCCAAGCTTTATCAACTTCTCCGTTATTCATAAGGGTACATACAAAACAGAAAAGAGGGTTTTTCACGTTGCCACCACATAACCACCACTCACTTTGATACATAGTCTTATTAAATTTTCGATGCACGATTTTGTCTTTAACTTTAGACGACACAACAATATCCAAATCGGATCTTGGCGGTCCAACGTTTTTTATTAATAGTTTTTCATCATGGCTTAATTTGTTTTCAGATTGTAGCCGCAAAATTCTTTCAATTGAATTCATATTGATATTATTGACAACTCTAAAACACAGTTTTTTAAGTTTCTTAAAATCACTGCAAACGCACAGACGACTAAAACTGACAAAGTTAGCAAATTGCACTCCACCGTTTTGTTCCAAAATCGATGACTAAATCGATAAAAGTATATGCAATCGTATATGCATTTAAGTACTTAAGTTGCAGTATATAGGTAATTAAGAAGCGATTACTCCCTGCCGAGATGTTGCAATATCGTGCATTTGTGTATATAATCGCGAAGATTGCCAAGTACGGGTCAATGAAAATATTCACAATTTGGCAACATGCAGGACGGGCAAAGGTGTATGATACCCTGCCGAGATGATGTCAGATTGTGTTCTGAACATAGGCAACTTGTAGATTTCGTAATTAAATGCATTTTGATATTTTTAATAGCACGAAGTTCTCACATTTAAGAATGTGCTTTCAATTTGGTGGGGCATTGCCCGTTTGCCCTTCCTGCACCAGCCGCCACTGATCAGATGGTGTCTGATGCCTCGATAGTTGTAAGACCCTAACTTCAACGTAGCGAATGCCATTTACGAAGGTGTTTCTGTCGCAAGCTTCTCTATAATAGTCGGTGGTGCTTCGGAGAATGCTAGACGAGACGTACCATTTTTTTGACATCTGCTGCAAATTCTTGTAGAGATTCTCCAAATTTCTGTGTTCTTGTCTTTAATCGGGCGTCAAAAACTTGCTTTAGATGTTCATCTCCAAATCCCAGTTCTAGAGCAGTAGTTAAGGTTAAGGCACTATATTTGCTTATATCTTCGTCTGACAGAGTTTGAAGTATCTCTAGCGCTGCACCTCGCATAGCTATTACCAAGGTCCTAGCCTTCTGTTCTTCTTCCCAGAGATTCGCTGTTGCTGCTGCCTCCAACTGCTTTTTGTATGATGACCAAGGTAATAATTTCAGAGGCTTCCACGGTCGGAGTCAATTAACAAAAACAATTGCCCTCTCACACCCATCGTCAGTACTTTAGAGTCTCCTACTTATAATACAGCCCAATATCTCGCCCGTATTCTGAAAGAATATACCGGAAAAACCTCCTCGCATATTCTTAACTTCTCACATTTTGTCCAACTGATCTCGGAAATCTCTCTTGATCCCGAAGATATAATTATTGTCAGTTTCGACGTAACATCTTTATTCACAAAAGTCCCTGTAGCCGAGTCCTTAACATTAATCCGTGAATTGCTTTCCAGTGACGGACAACCTCCACTTCTTGGCGATCTCGCGGAGAAATAAGTATTTTACCTTTCAAGGCCAATTCTACAAATAAATCTCTGGTACTCCCATGGGATCTCCTCTCTCACCAGTCGCCGCCAATATTTTCGTGGAAGTCTGGTTCCGACACACTTGTCATATGGCCCCATGGTCAAAACACCCTTTCAGTCTTTCAAGATCATCTCAACAGTCAACACCCCGACATTCAGTTTACCATGGAAGTGGAAATTAATAATTGCCATCCTTTCCTTGATGTTATGGTAACCAGATTACCCGAAGGTTTATCGAAAACCTACTCACATCGATCGATATCTTCACTCTACGTCTCATCACCAAAAACGATCTGTCATTGACTGCCTAATTCATCTAGCCATTACCATTTGTCAACCGGACAAACTCCAAAAAGAATTAAAACATCTCCAGAGATCTCTTCAACAAAATGGATACGACCACCATACTATCAAGTCACCCATTCAACGTCGGCTTAATCCCAACTCTGACAATACTTCAAATCGTCAAGCTGATCTCGTATCGACTGCATATTTCCCATTCATTCCTCAGGTCACCGACCGTCTGGCCAAAATACTCAAAAGGCAAAAAGTTAAAATAGTCTTCAAACCTGCAATTAAAGTTGCACAAATTCTTCCTTCCGTCAAAGATTCCCTCTGCTCCTGTGGTGTAAAATATATAGGAGAAACTGGTCGGTCCATAAAAATTCGAATTCAAGAACACAAACGTTGTCTTAAAACAGGTCTTCTGTCCCACTCTGCCGTAGCTGAACACCAACATGAAACCGGTCACGCCGTTCTGTTTGAAAATTCCCAAGTTCTGTCCAAAGCACCACATTTCTATGCCCGGAAAATCCGTGAAGCTTTTGAAATCCATAAATGTCCTCATAATCTCAACCGAGACAATGGTTATTATCTGTCACATATTTGAAACCCACACTGGATGCAATTGCTCGTTTATCTCCCCCCACTCCGCCCGGAACCGGCCAATCAGCTTCAACCACGTCTCTATAAATAGGTCGCAACCACATTCTTCCCTCCAGAAGAGTTTTCGTTTCTGGTATGGTTGAGGTACTGCGTTGCCGTGGTCTCTTATTCTTAACCCTGCACCTGAAGATGCCACTTACGAAAGTGTGCGAAACGGTAAGCCCAAAAACTCAACTAACACGGTCCCAACCCGGAAAACGATCATGTGATGACCAGGGTGTCCGACCATCATAAGTGGGGACCGACGTCACGAACGTAACATGAACCCATTGTTGCTGTATTTTTTATTATTTGCACAAATTTCTTCATTTTACTCTCCATTCGATCTTCTATACATTCCACTGATTTTTCTAACTGACTTTTTAACTGATGTTCCATAGAAACCTTTTTTTGTCCTACAATATTTTCCATAATTTCCAAATTTGGTTTTACCTCCATCACGTCTTCTTTGAATTGTTCTATTTCATTCTTGTTTGCTTCTAATTCCTTTTGGAACTTTTTAGTTAAGTTGGTGATTATGTCATCTACTTTTTTGTCCATCTTTTCCATTCTTGAGTCCATTTTTCGCCCATTTCTTTGCTTCTTGCATTTATTTTTTCGTCTATTTTTTCCATTCTTGCTTTCATTTTTTCGTCCGTTTCTTTGTTGCTTGTGGTCATTTTTTCGTCCATTTCCTTGTTTCTTGCATCTATTTTTTCGTCCATTTTCTTGTTCCTTGCATCCATTTTTGCAAGCATAGCCATGATCTGTTTCTCAAGTGCTGCAGTCCTTGGTCTAGTCTGGTTAGGCATATATTCTTCCGAATTCTTGTGCGATCTGCCCAGAAGTCGTAAAACCAGTTATTAATCTCAAATCCCACTTCTGACACCAGTGTTAGGATGATCTGATTAAACTCGACTGGAATGGATTCAACGTCTCCCAGTGTCTGGATTACTCTGCCTGCTTCCGACGGTGGTTCCTATTTAAAGAGCCACGCGGTCCTTCTTGAAACGCCTCCGTTACCGCGACTTCCGCTTCCAGGCTCTTCTTTAGCGAACGCCGTCACCGACGATGAGTCACCCATCATCACCGCACATACTAGAAAACCCATAGACGTTGTACCGGGGCGGCGTATGGCTCTATTTCGCAACACTATATACACATAAAGTGTTTCTAAAGACAGTTGGAAACAGAGCTAAATACTTTTATCACTCAGCGGGATATAAATGCCCCTACCATAAATGTTTCAAAGCCCCGCGCCGCACGTCACGATTACGCTCAACAGCAGGCAGTTAAAGGTTGACCAAGTCTAGTGACCAACGCGCGGAATTGTATCTCATACACTAGAACCAGTGCTGTCCCGGCAATAGTTTCATTACAAACTTATTTTTCAACATAATATAACATTTCAAGATCACAAATCTGTGGTCCTGTGGTTGAAAAATTAAAAAGGGCATCAAGTATTATTATTTGAAGTAATATAGTAATATAGAAGTAGTGTTTTTACTAGCTGTAAACACCCCTAGCGACGCACTGGCTACGACCTTGTGGACCAGATCAAGGCGTCCCCGCTACTCTCCGTAAAACACACCTTACTTCAACTGGGGGATTGCAGCGGTGAGATAAATTCCCGCGTACTGCTAAGGGAGGGTATTCTATGCTAATGACACTCATAAAGTGATTAACTCTATTTCCAAATACTTTTAGAAATACTGTACTGAGAAAGCGCTATAGACCCTATCAACGACATCAATGGATTTTCGAATGTTTGTCTTTGATTGTTGCATTTTAATTGTCAACTATCAAATTGACAGTAATGTGACGAGACGAAAATTCGGTCAAAGACAAATCTTCAAAAATTAATGGCTGCCTTTAATAGTGTTTATTACTGCTCTCTCGGTATTACCATTTCATGACACGAGCTAAACGTTTGTAAGAATGCTCAAATAATAATAATAATATTAATAATCTGTTATTGGCTATTATTATTCAATTTTATAAAAACAAACCTGCAAATTTCTCGTAGAATCTCCGAAAATATTTCACTTAGCTACTAATGCTGTAATCAGCAAAATGTGGATCTTTGAAGGTATTATCTGCAAAAGGGAAAGCCAGGGGGTTTAGTAACCTCTACAAAAAGAAAAACACAGACATATGTTTCACCGTTTCTGGACAGTAGATATCAACATGCTCAGTATTTCACACAGTGAGAAAAAATCCTTCATTTAAGAATGGTCTTCATCTCTGAAACACTCTATTCTAAATCGACAGCAGATGACTCAGTACTATTAATTTTCGAGGCTATTCTACTTTCTCTTCTAAGAGGAATTGATATATGATGAATGTGATGACCACTGTCCGGCGAAATTAGTGTTTACCCTGGGCAGTCGCCTAGATAAATGCGTCGCAGTGTATCCGCGTGATGTTGATCAGTGGCTTTGAACGCAACCAATCTACTGTGTCAAGAAAAGAAGTATACCTACACTGAAGCCTCGATGGAAATAGCTAAAGTTACGCTGTCAAATGCCAAGCATAGGTCATTGTTTTGTACCTTGGTGATGAGCTGACTAAAATGACTTTTCAGAATTGAACGAAAGTGAAGAAGACGAAATATTGAAAGAAATGAAGAAAATTTTGAGATTTGAGGGAACGATTTGAAGGAAATACTGAACCAAGATTTTAGACTTGTAGAGTTGGTAAATGAAAACAGGTAATCAATTAAAATTTTATTACATAAGCTATTTTCGATATCACAAAAAAATTACAGGTAATGTGGCAGTATCGAGGCAAAACCATTAACGTCTACATTTTTCCAAATGTTCGTTTTGAAAGTATGTTTGACTAAGGACAACTCAAAGGGAACTTACCAAATTTATGAGGTTTTTCATTTTTCTCTTACCCTATAAGTAGTTGAGGTGAAAAGTTTTTTAGTTATAGTGTATGAATGTCTTATATAGATTTATCTTTTTTTATTTGTGCGATCATTCGTAGTTTTAATTAATAAAGATGATAAAAGATAATTATTGAATCGTATTATGTGTCTCAATTTGCCCCACATTCCTTTATTCTGAAAATTCGCTTCTTGTTTAATAACGTGTAGCATTTAAATAATGACAAGTATTTTATTCACTTCACAATTAACAATTAAGAAGTATGGTTCGACTTCAAATGTTGCTTTACGAGCTCATGACGCATTCGGAATTATACTAACATTGCAGACCCTTTTTTAAGTTCTTAAACTAGGAAATATATATAAAAGAATAACAAATACATATATTAATTATATCAAAAGCATAGATATGTATTTTTCTCTGTGTGTGACTTCGAATTTGTTTGTTAGGTTGATCTCATGGCCGGCCATTCGCTACAAAAAAAATCTATAATTTATCTAACAGATCGCGACGTACCAGCCTCTCTAAAATTATTGAATCAGAAAATTTAAAAAGTGATTAGGTACAGATGTTATCTAAATAAATAATAATTCAAGACACAACCAGAAATATAACTATAAAACCATTTTTGACATCCTACTTATACCATTAAAAAAAATTGGTCTAAAGAGTTCCGACTGTACGTCGCTCGCTGTCGGAAACATGACGACTGCATGCCTATTGTGTTTTTTTTCTCATTACATTTTTGTAGTGACGCAATTAAAAAAAATGCGATGACGTCATCAACATTTTGCCTTATTGTTTTAATATATGTGTAGATTTCTATTTATAACATGAAACTTCAAACATGTTTAAAATGGAAAGTTTGTATAAAAAGTCCATATTTCCTTGCAAAACTGTATCATTTTAACCATGCTTTAAGTTTCTTGTTGTGAAAAGATGGCTATGTATATTAAGCAAAATAAAAGGCAAAATATAAGCCCCGCCCGCCCGCCCTGTCTCAATTGTGGTGATTTTTTTATTGGTCGTAAGCCGAGGGGCAGAGCTTAATTGTAAAATCCTTATTTTTCTTATAGAAGTTATCATGTGAAATATGTTTTTAAGTAATAGTGTTATACAAAAAAAACTAAAAGGAAACCAAAAGAAAAGTCCCACCCATCCGTCTCGTTCTCAGTCGTAATGAATTTTTCTATACAAATTTACCATTTTAAACATGCTTTAAGTTCCTTGTCGAGAAAAGAAGTCTACACATATTAAAACAAATAGGCAACATATAAACCCCGCCCACCCACTCTATCTCAATTGTCATGATTTTTTTTATTCGTCGTGAGCCAGGAGGGCGGAGCTTAACTGCAAAATCGTTATTTCTCTGCGACAAATTAAAAACATGTTTTTGAGTACCGTGTTGTTCAAAGGATACAATGTATATTAAGAAAAAATTAAAGCCAAAGATCAAGCCCCACCCATACCTGCCTTGATCTAAATATGTAGTAATGAAGTTTTCATTCGTTGCCAGACCTAGGGGCGGGGGCTAATTTCAAAATCCATATTTCCCTACAAAAATTTACCATTTTGAACGTGCTTTAAGTTTCTAAGAATAAAAACATCATCACAATTGAGATGGGATGGGTGGGCGGGGTTCACATTTTGCCTTTTTTTCTTAATATATATATAGTATTCTTTGAATAACACGCTACTCAAACCAAGTTTTTAATTTTTTGTAAAGAAATAAGTATTTTGCAGTTAAGCTTGGTTCACACTGAATAAAAAAAATCATCACAATTGAGACATTGCTTGGATTGATGTAGTGTAATACTAAAAATAAAAGTACTGTATTCCCAAATTTTCGGGAAAATGAATTGGGTCGTCTTGAATATTGATTTATAATCAATAAAATAACGAAACAATTTACTTACGTATGCCGCTTGTATTAGCAGAGGCGACTCTAAATCATTTATGTATAAGCATTCTCAATTTAAGACAACAAGCGGTAACTCTTGTTGAGATTGTACACGTGAGAGTCAAACAGAGAAACTGCAAACAATACCAATGGTCGACCAGACTTTTTTATTGCTTCGACTTCCGCTTATTATATAAAACATTGGATTTTATTTTAATTTTTGATGGTGTAATTCTGTAATTCACAATTGGTTGATCATAACTTGTCTATACCTCATTCACGGAACCTAGTTAGCGCAACGAAACAAATGCACGTCTGTAATGTTAAAGTAAGTGTAAATAAGCTTGCTACGACCATATTTGAAACGAGTTTTTACTTTACAAAATTTTGTGTCTATCAAATTGGGTTGGTGCAATGTAATACTAATAATAAGAGTGTTGTATCTCCAAATTTTCGGGAAAATGGAGTGAACTATTCCTGATTTAATTAATAAAATAAATTGACTCATTAATTAATTTTTTTGAGCGACCTGTTAAGTAAATCTAAAAAATATGAAGGGAATGATAAATCACAAGTACAGACTCATCATATTTTGTACATTTAAGATAAGACATATTCAGCAAAATTTTGAGGTGACGTCATCAATTTTTTAGGGGGGAATGAAGAAATACACTTTGACTAAAAACAAACATCTCCAAGATTTCAAAGTATTTGGTTTTGTAGCTCCTGATTAAATCAATTAAATAAATTCACCCATTCATTAATTTTTTTTTGAGTCACCCTGTATATGCAAATCCAAAAAATATCAATGGAATGATAAGTCACAAGTACAGACTAAACATATTTTGTACATTTTAGATAGGATTTATTCGGCAAACTTTTGAGGTGACGTCATCAATTTTTTGAAGGGGACAAGTAAATATATGTTGAATACAAATTTATCATGCTTATCATAACTGTAAATCATCTGAAGATTTCAAAGCATTCGGTTTTGCAGATTTCAAATTAAATTGCAAAATGTTGTTTCATAATATTGTTTTTTTTTTTTAATCTAGCGTTTTACCATCTACATGATATTCGTAATACACTTCCCACAAAAATTATCGCACCACCTTCAGTTCTAGTGAACCGGACTACATGTAGCTACTCTATACAAATCAGGAATAAATATATGCTAGACAATGCCAAATAATGATAATGACAATATTTAATGTGATACCGATCGATATATGTTTCCTCTACATATATTCATATTGTAAATATACAACATTTTGAGGGTGGTGCGATAATTTTTGTGGGGAGTATTATAAATACAAAATTTCACAACAATCGGTCCAGTACTTTCGGAGATTATCTCTAATTGTCTAATAAAAAACCGGGACGGCAGACAGACGGACAGACGGACAGACAGACGGAAACGGGAGACCCATTTCTTCGTCTTCTAGGGGTCATGAAAGGTCGAGAAAATGTAAAAGTAGAGAGTCGGCCGACGGACTCGATTACAATACTTCCTTTGCTTACGCTCGGGAAGTAAAAAGTAAAACAGCTACCTGTTTTTTTGTTATACCACGACTATATGTTAAAATTGACATTGCGACAGTACTTATTGATGCAAAATGTACCTATTCAAACAGTGAAAAGACGATACGATTTATATACACAGCGAGTGCAGAAAAAAATTCGCTACTGCTTCACGTTTGTATAGACGAGATTGTCCGGACAGAAGCTCGACGAGCTTTTTGTTTTGAATTTGTTCGTTTCTGCTTTTAATTAAAAAAATTGAGGTTTGTTTCCAAATTAATAAAACCATAGAGCTGTTATAAGTATTTAAAAAAAAAAGGTGTTATCCCGTTGTATTGTTGGTTGCGTTCTGATTTTTGTAAGTGTAGAGGCACAGTCAGCGCTGGATTATATATGAGGCGCATGAGGCGCGCGCCTCAGGGCCCGGGGAGACAAGGGCCCGACAGCAAGCGAACAACAATAACTTAAGTTCAAATTAATGCTTAATAATTTAGGTTCGCTAATTCATTATTTTAGGTTGTTTTTGGTTTTTGTTGAGAGGTTTGTGTTTATTTTATACTACAGGAAAGACAGGAAATATGTTTTTGTTGTTTTTATGAAAAATATATTTTATTCTGATATTATATTTAGTTTGTTGTTTTTTACACGTAAGTCATGTTAAAAAATTTGACAACAATCGACCCAGTAGTTTCGGAGATTATCTGTCTAATGAAAATCCGTGACGGCAGATAGACAGACAGACAGACGGAAAAGAGAGACCTATTTCTTCGTATTCTAGGGGTTATGAAAGGTCGAGAAAACGTAAGAGTAAAGAGTCGATCGACGGACAATACTTCTTTCGCTTACGCTCGGAAAGTAAAAATTAAAACTAATAATGTCAAGATGAAAGGGGCCAGGGGCCCAGTATTTTTTGCGCCTCAGGCCCGAAGATTCTTTGATCCGGCCCTGGGCACAGTATAGATATCAATACTGTGCTAGAGGTATTCGTGAATAAACCTGAGATCTGATCTGATTTAATCTGACCTTATATGAACTAATCTGACCTGCTGACCTGATCGCATATTTTTTACTGCTTTAATTAAGTAAACAGATTAAAATATATTTTAATTAAATTCCGTTCTACATCAGTATGTTATGTTACATGGAGAATTAAAGTTTGTCATTAGATAATTTAAAACCATTTTCATGTTTTTCGTCGCTATTTTGTGTTCTACCCGTTCTGCCGTAACACTACCAACACAAAAACATAAGAAAAAATGTATTATTCAAATTCTAGAGGGCGCCGCCAGTCAACATGTTGATAATACCGATTCCTACCTTGTTTGTTTTGCGTCGTGAAAAACGACAAATATGGCGTCGTAGCTGTCAGTGTTTGTGTTTCCCCACAAAAACATTGCTTTTTATTTCGGAAATTCTGCGATAACGCCCAGTTTTATCAGAATTTCAGTGACGAAAGTGTCTCATACTTATTGCCAAGATGTAGAGGTGCGAATATTGATATCCACTTTTAGTGTTACTTCATCCTTGTGAGTGATTAATAGCCTCTTATTTTTGGTAAAAATGGAAAGTATCGGGGATTACGAGTACAACACTAAAGATATAATAGGGCATGGAGCCTTCGCCGTCGTTTTTAAAGGACGTGAGAAAAAGGTCAGTGACATTACCATAATTAGGTTAAGTTGTGTAAACTTTGCATACCTTCACAGAATCCGTCGATGACTGTGGCCATTAAATGCATAACGAAGAAGAACATCGCGAAACAGAGCTTATTGGGGAAGGAAATAAAAATTTTACAGGTTTGCAGCTGCCTTATGGCGAACTTAAATCATCACCTAACTATTTCAGGAACTGACCGAGTTACATCATGAAAATGTCGTCGCTTTGTTTGATTGCAAGGAGTCGGCCAACAGCGTTTATTTAGTGATGGAGGTAAGCAAATTTTGTGATTTATTAGAATCAATATGATATAATGGACATAAATACTAATTACATAAATAATATAAAAAAATCGTGACTTATGTTCTCACAGTCGTATCATTATTTGCCGTTTCGGGCGTTTGTTCTGGCGCTGAATTATCTCGCTTCATATCAACCATCTCAACTTCTTTGGTGTCACTCATTAAAGGTTTCTTTTCTGGCTCGTCAGTTTTGGCTAAATTCTGCAAACTTAGCTTAGTTACTGGAGTCCTTTCCGCGCGCTCTAAATCTGCAGATTGGCGTTTTCTCTTCTTTATGAAATTGTAACCAAAAGCGAGGGCTCCAACAACTACTACTGCTACGAACAAGAAAACTAGGATAGTGGTGTCTTTACTGCCAGCTTTTTTAGAAGATTGGGCAGGGCTATCCGCATTTTCAGACTCTGTAGCGTCCTCTGCAATAAAACAGAAATATATATTTATTTTTTGTGAAGAATTTGATGTATAGAATTTACCTTTTATTTGCATTTCTTCACTTTTCTTGGGCGGAATCAGACTCTTACCTTCGGTGTTTTGCTCAGGTTTTGAAATCCAGCCTGCTTGGTTATCATTATCACTTTTTTGTGGTACGGTCATCTCGTCGTTTGGTTGTTGTTTTTTTTCCTCGTCAGTTGGTGGCTCTGTTATACTTGCTGCAGTTGTGGTTGGAATTTCCTCATTTCCATTGTCGCTAGTGGTTTTAATAGTGGTTTCTGTATTGTTATTCTCTGCATTAGTGTCACTACCCAAATTCCCGTCTGGTACCGGTTGATTGACTTCATTAGAGGGAGTTAGAATTTCATTGTTATTTGTCGCGGGTGGTGTTAATGGTTGTTCAGATGATTCATTGTCAATGTTTCCATTTTCTGACGAAGAATCTGGGCTTTCTTCATCCGTTTCATTCAGGTCTTGTGAGATATTTGCTTGCCTTAGCTTCGGGCCCTCTTCTGATTGCATAGTTGTGTGTTGACCTAGTTCGTCAGTCGTTTCATTTTCTTTCTTTTCTGATACGCTTTCTGCATCACTTATTATTGGTTGATTTGTGTCTTGGTTATCCGTTTCAACTGTCTGTGGCCCAGAATTCTCCATTTCTTTTTCTTGTTGATCATTAGTTTTTTCTGTTGGTTCCAATGGCGTTCCAGTATGTACTGTTTCACTTGCTTCTTCATTCGTTGCATTTGGCTTGTCTGGTTCTGAATTCCCCGTTTCAATTTTTGGTCCACTCAATGCATCATTTATTTTTGGTTCCTCCGCTGGCGTTTCAGTATTAACTGTTTGAATGTCATCCTCGTTCGTTCCATTTGGTGTCACTATTTCTGAATCTTCTTTTTGATTGTATTCTGATGCGAAAGTTGGTACTGGATCATTTATTTCGTCTCCGGTGTCAGACTTTAAATTCTCATCAGGTTCACCGGCGAAATTTTCTTCAATGTTATCATGTGTCGGTCCAGAGCCTGACCCTTCAACTTCGTCCTCAATCGAACGCTTGATTACTTTTTTCGGTGCATCTATCGGCCGATCTCCACTATTGAAAGCTTTGCAATCAATTGTAATATCCTCTTGAAGGATGTAAACTAACGTGTCGGAATCTTTGCATATTTCTTCGAGCTCCAGCCTTGATATGCCATCATACACAACAACATCGGGCTGATTGTCGGTATTCCAAATTTCGAAATTTTCCTTGAAGTCGTCGACGGCTTCCTGCAGATAGCAAAAGAATCGTTATCTCAGATTGTGCAGGCTTCAATCCAAATATTTAAACAGAACGGTGAAATAAAACTGTTTATTTAGTAATTAATTTACTTACGTAGCTTGATAAAGAGTTCAGATCTGTTTCTTCCCCGATTAGAGAAAAGCTGTAAAAATCGATAAAAAATTAATTTAGGGCGTTTTATCGCTAAAGTGACAAACTATGATATATTATTGTACACGGTGTTATCGAGGAGGACATGTGTAAGGGGCTATTATTAACCGTTATATAACGGAGAATTTTTGCGAGCATTTCGAATCGGTTAGATATCTATCCGTCATTTAAACGTGTAGGTGGGGGCATTGTGACACTACGTACAGCGTGAGCTATAACGGTTGAAAATTTCGGAATAAAAGAAAAATTTAACGAAACTTACCCATTTTGTATTAGTGGCGCCAGAAGACAAATACAGAGAATGTACATTGCGAATTTTCGTCTATTACTGTGCCAACACCATGTGATTACACCAAGCAAGATGAATGATTTGTGAAGCCAAAGTTAGGCGGTGCAAGATAAGATAACAACCTTATCTTTATATTATTTACCTATATACTTTCGATTGGTTAAATCTACCTTTAGATGTTCAAATTTCCCAGACGCTTCCTGTGATGAGTCACTCACGAGGAGTTGTTTCAGTTAATTCGATGAGGAAGTGGACTTTCCTTACTCGATTGTTTTTCAAAAATTTTTCACAGAAAGTATACTTCGAATCTATTTTTGCTGTTTCAGCGTCCTGTAACGTCATAATTGTAGTGAGTAATAATTATGAAAAGATCGATTTTTTGTAAAATTACAAATCGTCATTAATTTTATATGATTCATCGAATATGGCAGAAGCAATATAAATTTTGGTTTTTAGAATCGAAATCTGTGATCCATGAATCTGTTTTGAGTTTTCACCCTAGACATACAGATTTTTGGAAAAAAAAATTTAAATGTTCTGTTAACTGATTTTGTACAATATTTTTAGTATTTGGTTTTTATGAAATCAAACTAAACCTTTGAGAAATTTGTTTTTATTTTTTATTAGAAACTTAAGTGTAATCCAACTAAACCTAGTCTTCTTAAAACCCAAATTGGTTGGTTTTTAACTTTTCATAAATCTTTTAATAACACCAAATTTTATTGTTTATAAAATCACAAATATCACTTTAATTACAACATAAAGTACGTTTTGTTTTTAAGTCCACCACCTGTTGTTTTGTGTTGGCTGTGATCGTCTAATAGAATGGAACCTACGTTGTATTCGTTTTTTTTGTGTGGCGGAATGCGTTCAGATGCAAGTGATGGACCCCCAGGTTGGAAAAGTATCGCTAAATAAAACATAAAATGCATGAAGGACACAAAATTATTTATTCCTCCACTGACAAAAAAAAAGAAAAAAAAAGCTGCGACGAAGTTGTGCCGGTTGAAGACTCGGCTATAAAAAAAACTTGCCTAACTTTGAATGAAATCAAATTAAACGCTATGAATTAATGCAGATATTTGAAAACCACAAATTTAATAAAAACAAAGAAAAATCTGAATTGAAGTAGCTGGATGCAAATACACAAATCATTACGGACGTGTGGCGGCAAATTTAAAAGTGGCAGTCAACAAGAGAATAAAATTTTATTACAAAACTCTATACAGCGGCAGCGGCACCAGAGCACTCTAAGACTGTGGCGATCGAACTATATCAATTTCATTCTGGAGCACACCAAAATTATTCATAAGGGGCGTTGTAGCACGAGCGGAGTTTGGGGCATTCGGTTGTGGCTGTTCTCCTACCCACGACGGCGATTCTATTCTATCACAAGCACTGCCGCACAGCACCTCTCCATTACGAACATGCTGTACGAGCACTCGTCGTTGAGTCCCGGCAATGGACTAGGCCTGCTGCATCCTTTGTGCAGATGGCGCGACCGCCAGCTCAACAAGGAACCGTGCACTCCGCTTCCGCCACGTGTGTCTGTGTTATTTAACCTCGATTCCATTTAAATGTTCAATTCTTATAACTCTGATACTAAACCACAGCTAAACAACATTTGAATTCGCCATTCACTCTCGTGAAATATTTAAACAGCAAAGAATTCTTATCTGAGATTAAGATTGAACATCAGACAATTTATATGGTGGAAGCATTAATCAACAAAATATTTACATGGAAAAAAACTAGCACAGATTTATAAAAACAAAAAAAGATCTGGTGTGAAATAAAACTTGTGTAAAGTTACGTGAGATTAGGAACTGCAGCGCATGAAAGTTTACGTTCAATTGAAATTATACGACAAAGAAAATTACTGAAGTTAAAATTGTGAGATAGAAAATGTTGTATCAGGTGGAAAATTGTAAAGCTAACAAAACTACATTAATATTTTATGTCCATTCGAGTTATTGGTTAAGTTCTTCAGCTGCATTGTGGCCCATCGTTTTACATTCCCCCAAACAAACACATAAAAACATCTGGAGGTTCAAAATGGCGTCGGACGAATGCGTCGTTAAAAAAAATGAGTCAAAAATATGTCTCCCAGAAATGCGATCAATCCTGTGGTATTGTGGAAATAATGGTCTAATTCAAAGGAATAAAATGCACGTCTCACCTGATCCACAATGTTGTTAATTTGTTCAACGAAGAATTTACCTGATGTTCAATTATGCCACACTTTATCAACGATTCAAACAAAGAATTTACATTATGTTGAATGATGCCTTGATCCAAGTGCCTGGTTACTTAAATTTTTGTTAGCAAAGGCTCCCAATTTTTATTAACTACTAAACTAACTAAACTCAACCTAGCTAACTCATCGCGTGTTTTCACCATGCTTTCACTCACAAAAACCAAAACAACAGTGTCGCGTCACCTCCCTCTACAAAGCAAGCACTAGATACTACTAAGAAAATTCCTAGGAGAGCTATCAACTGTCCAAAAAGAACTAAACGTGCACATGGTTGCCTATGTTTGACGATTTTCTTGATTGAATTTTTTTTTCAAGTTCAAATTATTCAAATGCGGTTTCGCACCGCTGTTAATTTTTTTTCAGAGCGAAATTTTAATTCAAATTCGGTCACCACAACATTTAGTAATTGATGACACCTTTGTCAAGCACCAAGAAACTTCAAAATTTAAACATGCCATTCAAAGAAAATTGTTCTCGCATCAAGATTTGGTTTTTTAACATTAATAAAACGCTATCTAAAATTTGACCAATTTTAACAATTTGATGACGTCATTTTTTTTTTTTTTTTTTAGTAAATGCTATTTAAATGTTATAAAATAGCATACTCCTGTACTTGTGGTTTATGAATCCGCCTTGATTTTATACACTTGGCATCCAGATTTTCTCAAAAAAGTCCGAATTGTATGATCACGTTTACACCAGTAATAGAGTACTGACGTGTTGGTGAACTCCTTGTTGAATTACTGACATAAAGGCCCCTGGTTCGATTGACTCATGGATCACAATTTTTTTAATTGGTCAAATCATAAACTATTTTTCATTTTCTTGAAAATTTGAGAATACAGTAATGTTGCGTCCACCTATATTTCATAACGATAAAATATTAATATATTCAGAACGTTTTGCTCCATTGTCACTTGAGGCCAATTGTTACGTTTGTCGTATGGGATTTTCAAAATGTAATACCTCCATTATTAATAGATTTATTGTTGTGAAATTTTAAATTTAACCTATTCTTAACTTCCTCTACATAACGCAACAGGAGTTTATATTTCCTGAGCGTAAGCCAACGCTTATCAAAATTTGGCTAATCGTCCCCATCACCAATAGGATGACATCATTTCCAAAATTTACTATAGATTTTTTTTTCCATAAAATAAAATACTCCTACATGTGTGGTGTATGAATCCGTCTTGAGTTTTCACCCTGACATATAATAAACCATAATAACACTTTACACAATTTGAACGCTCTGAAAACTTGCAAACGTTTTAAGGTTATCGTAGTAAGTTTAAAACGCTAATAAAAATTTTACCGAATAAATACTCTGGAATATGCAAATTATTTTGACACTGTACTTGTGGTTTATCAATGCACTCATAGTTTTAGGATTACTATACAGGGTGACTTAAAAAAATGGTCTGAGATTATTTGGATAGAACTTTCCTCGTCCCTGAAGCTTCTTTGAAAAATTAAAAAAAAATATTTTGCCAATTTTTATTTATGGTAACCTCTACACATTGAAGCAAAAATATAATAAATCGATAAGTAATATCACCCTATAAATGTGTTTTGACGTGCTATTTTTTTTGACATTAGATTTTTTTTAGATTCTTGAATTCATTAATGTATTATACTTTAATCACCAATAGCCCATCACTGTCTGATTCGAACGCATTACGTTACGAAAACCCACTTGTCTATATTTGGTCTGTAGTGACCATGATAGGAAACGGATTAGCAATTGATCTGAAAATATATACGAATGCATTGATGAAGGCTAGGCCTGTGTTAGCGAGTTGGCCCATTTAAGAATGTTTCGATCAACATTATTTCAGCATAGACACGTCTGTCAATAATAGTTAATATCAATAAACAAAAAAAAAACATACTATGTAGTAATAAGGTATATAAAAACAAAATTCTCAAAATTATTTTTAGAAAATGTTTGTTCCTTCGTATTTCAGATATGATGAAAGTTCTATCTAAATAATCTTTATTAAAATCTTTTTGGTTTAAATATGTACTTCCAAAAGTTGTTTGTTTGCAAATGATAATTTGCCTTATGTAATAAAATGATCGTACTTGGTGATAATTTTCGTAATAATTTTTTTTCAAAACAGTGTTTGAATGCGCCAGCTGTCACTTTGGTGGTAATCAACGTTTGTGTGGTTAGCATCTTGTCTCCTACCTAATTGTTCTTGGACTACAAATAAGCTTATAACTAATTTTTCATTTGGAAGTGACACATCAACCACATGTCAACCTTTACCGCATCATTTTAGTGTCATGTGTCATTCTCTATCTCAAATAAATAACACGTCACGCCGAAATTCGTAAGAATTCTGTTGAAAGCAGCCATATTAGACGTTGAGTTCTGACCCTAAGTTCTATTTTTTCAAATAAGTTCGTAAATCTACAACAATCAGTTTATAAAACTGATCTCACTTATAGCATAATTCATCAAATGTAGAAACAATATTGCATTTAATAAATAAATCGCCTTATCAAGTCTGAGTGGTACTTTTCTACGATAAAATGTCACTTTAGATATATATAACTTTTATGTAATTGCAAACTGTGATAATAGATGAGATCCTTAATCTAAAAAGAAACCTCTTGTTTAATTGAAGAACTTAAAAAATAAAGAGGACATTTTTATCTTGAATGGCTTCGACAGATCTTTACTTCATGCACTAGCATCAAGTTTTCTCCCCCAAATTAACAAAAAATGGACCCGCCCGGAAGCTTTTACGTCCACTGTGACGTTTTCTTGGAGTTTTTCTTTTTTTTTTTTCTCTAAAAGTATTTCCTGCTTAGCTTTTCCAAGAATTTCAGGTCATATTTTTGTGAAACATGAGTCGCGCTATCGGTTAAAGTTACTTAGTATTGATTTTTTGTTATCGAACACTTTAGCAGATTAAAGAAACCTGATCGAAATATTTTCTTAGAACATAAATCAAGCTGAAGAAAAATCCCAGAAAAATGATCGTGATACTTTATTTACAAGATAAAATCTTATACTGCTCACAAGATAAAATCTTCAGCTATTCGAAATATTCAAGAATTCTTACAAAAAGAATTAAGTTTTAGTCCAAGTTGGTTTTTTATGTGCAAATTATTCAGTGCATCATATAACAATGATAACGGTGTACTGCAATAATTAAATGAAGTAGGTGTTCTTTTCCTTGATATATTGTTGATCTTAGGAGATTGTCAGATGGAATAAACGTATTTACTCACGATAAGAGATATGTGTGAGCGTAATTCCTAAAAACACATTGCAATAGAATAAACAGTTTGTAGTCAAAATTTTATCGTTAAAAAAATTTGCATCAAAGGCGAACCCGTTCTAGGAATGGAAATGACTTTTCTAGATGTATAAAGTTAGCATTAAGAAATATGGTGCCGAAAACTAAAAACGTCCAGTTCTTCATTAATTAAAATTTTTACCAATTTCCATTGTCTTTTTATATGAACCTTTATTATGTCAGTTTTGAGAATTTTTAAATTTAGCTGTTGACTGACGTTTCTATTAGCTTTCAATTGAGCAACCTTCTCAAAAATGAGATCAGATTCAATACTTGTTGACAAAGCAATTAAATTTACTCTAATAAAATTTTATGTGTACTATATTATGAAAAATAACAAACTGTGCCTATCTACAACTGCTGGTTGCTATAATTCTAAAAGTACAGGATTCTACCTGCCACTGGACAGATTTAAAAGAATACTCCAGAACAATTTTAAATCGTCTTAAATTTAAACAGAACTTCGTTCGCTTTATTCCAGTATTGCAAAGGGGGCGACTTGGCCGATTATCTGGGAGCCAAAGGCACTCTAAGCGAAGACACCATCCGACTATTCCTCATCCAATTAGGTAAGTCGACATCTTATCTCAGCTCAAAATCTGACATAACCCTCTTGAAGCCGGAGCAATGAAAGCTCTATCAGCCAAGGGAATCGTCCACAGAGACCTGAAACCGCAAAATATCCTAATCACTTACGATGTACCCAACCCTCCGCCGTCTCAGATTAAATTGAAAATCGGTAAGGGAACTTGGGAATCGTCGTTGGATTTATAACGTCGGATGTTTTTACAGCTGACTTCGGTTTCGCGCGATTTCTACAAGACGGTGTAATGGCGGCCACGTTATGTGGTAGTCCCATGTATATGGCACCGGAAGTGATTTTAGCCCTGCAGTACGACGCCAAGGCGGACTTGTGGAGCCTCGGGACCATCGTGTTCCAGTGCCTGACGGGGAAAGCGCCCTTCCAGGCCAACACGCCGCAGGCGCTCAAACAGATATACGACACGACGATGAATCTGGTGCCAAAGTGAGTTGTTCAGTATTTTCTAAAGTAACGGTTACAATAGTACTGAGAAAACAATAAAAAAACAATATCCCACACAGCCCTAGATTTTTCACAAGATGAAATTCTCTTAAAGCGAAATCCTCAAAAATCGATGGCTTGCCTTGTTTTGTATCGTTCTCTCTCTCTCGCTCTTGTTTGTCTCAAGAATAGGATTTTATATTTTGTTTTAAATTATTTGTTATGGAATCGTAAAGTAACTCAAAAGAAATCAAACTAAATCATTTTAATGTTTTGTGAATCTGAAATAGCTAAAGTAGCAATTATTTTTTTGGATACTTGCCGAGTTTTAATGTTTCTATAAATAGTAATTTTTCCAAGGTGTGATCAAAATTCTATTTTTTACATTTGTTGTAAATCGATAACGAAGATAACACAAATAACAATAGTTATCTGAAGCTTAATTTCACTGCTACAGATACTATAATACATTATTACAACATTTTTATCCATATGTCATAATTCATTAAATGTTTTGTTTGACACTTATAGTTTATAATTACAATAATTATATACTCTACCAAAACTATCACATTTTCTGTAGTGACTGAAAGACTTAAGAGGAGTCCTCACGTTTTGGGTTTATGGATTGTCAATACATTTTCAGAATATAGTGTCTCCGTTATTAACAAACTTATTGTTATGAAATTTTAAATAAATATAACATGTCCACACGTTCCACTATACAGGTTATCCATATTTTTAAAAATCAAAATCTCAATTAATAAAGTAAATTTTGGAACGCGGTTTTCACCACTGTTTTCATTTTACAATATTCTGTAAGAAAATAAACGGCGGGCGACTGGGGTTAGTACTGCTGAGATAAGACTGATTTTAGCAAATGACGTATCCTCTAAGAAATTTAATTAAATTATTATAAGAAAAGACACTTGAGGCTCCAAAGCACTTTTAAAACCTTTCCAAACAGGAATATTTGGAACCTCAAGATTGTTTTAAATTTTTCAAAAAAAAAAACGGGGTCTCAAAATTAACTCAAAAACAGGTCAGGTCAGAATTTTCCAAAAACAGAACACCAAAGTCCCTGAAAATTGTTTTAAATAATTTACAAAAAAAAATAGAAATTTCGAAAACTGAAAATTTGAAAAATCGAGTAACGAAAATCGAAAACTAGGGAAATCAAAAAATCGAAAAGTAAAAACGTTGAAAAATCGAGAAACTGAACAGAAGAATTGAATTGAAAAATCGGCACATTTGAAAATTCGAATATCAAAAAATTGAAAATGAGAAAATTCGAAATATCGAAAAATCGAAAATTCTGGTTAGTACCTGCTAAAATAAGATCGATTTTGGCAAATATATATTCTATAAATTTCATGGATACATTGTTGACATTTTGTTTCGAAAATGGGATACACTGAAAAGACTTTGTGGTCCAAGAATTTTCTATTTTGTCAAATAAAATTGACAATGTTTTCCATTAAATTTATAGAGTTTTATGAACTGAAACCAGTGGTGAAAACCGCGTTCTAACATTTCCATTAACAATTGAGATTTTGATTTTTAAAAAAATTAACCAAATTTAAAAAAATGATAGTAAACTGTTTTTTTAAAAAAAACTGTTCCCGTGTTATACAGTACTGAGATCGAAACGGATGGGTGGGGCTTTTCTTTGGTTTTCTTTTTTAATTAATACATTTGCTTTTCTTTGTATAATACGATTACTTGAGAACATAATTCACATGCTAATTTCTCGTAGAAAAATAAGGATTTTACAACTAAGCTCCTCCCTCGACTTACGATGAATAAAAAAATCATCAGAAATGCGACAGGGTGGGTGGGTGGGGCTTATATTTTTTTCCTTCTTTTTTATATACATATAGCCATCTTTTCACAACAAGAAACTTAAAATATAGTTAAAATGACACAGTTTTGCAAGAAAATATGGATTTTGCAATTATGGGGTGCAGCCTAACTACAAAATTGATATTTCCTTATACAAATTTTCCATCTTAAACATGTTTTAAGTTTCATGTTGTGAAAAGATGGCTATGTATGTAAAAAAAAAGTCAAATATAAGCCCCGCCCACCCACCCTGTCTCAATTCTAATGATTTTTTTTATTCGCTATAATTTTTTTAATACTTTTCAGCTATCATTTCAAAATATTCTTTGACAGGATTTATAATTTCCTAAATTCATTTCAATCAACATATTCAAAAGCAAGATCTTCATCCAAATAGCACAAAATTGAGACGGTAAATCTACTTTATTTGTTGATCGTCTTTTGTCACTGAAACGTATGTCTGTATTTACATCGACATGATATGCAATTTGATGGTTCTCTGGGACCCACGTTTCAGAAAAAAAAATTTTAACGACTTTATCAATCAATCAATCTGTTTTTGTACAGATTAAAATGTTCATACAGCACGTTCGCAACAAATTTTTCCCTTTTTCTTGATGTTTCCTTATTTTTATTGTATTTATTTCTCGAATTATATTAACGTCTTGCTTTTTTAGCCGTCACTCATCGTTCGTTTCTATTTTTGCCATATTACATTTTCTGCTCTTCCTATTTCTCTTTTTCTTCAAATATTCAGCTAATTTCTCAAGACCTCCCCGTATGACTTCCTGAGCCTAACCTAAAGAAGTATTGTGATAGAGTCCATCAGGCAAATTACTGTTTTCATGGTTTCCCGACGTTTCAGAGTACGAAAAAATAGATCTCCCGTTTCCGCGTAGATAGTAAAACGCTAACCAAAATTTGTATAATCATTCCCACCACCAATGAAATGACGCCATTTTCAACTTAAATGGTAAATGTTACTTAAATTTTATAAAATAGTATAGTCCTCCACTCATAGTTTATGAATTCGTGTTGAGTTTTTACCCTAGATATCCAGATTTTTGAAAAAAAAATGTAAAAAATGTAACAACATTTTGCAATTTAACATTGAAGCTACAAAGCTTCATCAAAATTTGCCCCTTCTCAAAATTTTACCAAATAAATCTAAAATACGCATAATAAGTATTCAGAGTCTGTACTTGTAGTTTATCAACGCATTCACATTTTTTAGAACTACTTATACAGAGCGACTCAAAAAAAATTAATGAATGAGGCGACATGTTATATTACCCATCCCATTTTCCCGCAAATGTACAGTACATCTAGAATACAATACTGTTATTAATAGTATTACACTGCACCTATTCAAATTGACGTACGTGTCCTTGCTAAAATGTTGATGACATCATAAAAAAAAAATATGTGGAAAAACTCACTAAAGACATATGCATGCGATGCTTCTTAACCGGTAGCATATTTTAATTTTAACTGATAGGAGTCATCATAAAAAAATTTCAAAGTTAAGTTAAATTTTTCGAAGCTGTATTTGTTCGACTGTACTTGAGGGGCGAGAGAAGTTCTGTCGAAATATTCTTCGACTAATTTATTTTAAATTTTTTATTTCGATTATAGGGAATTAAAACTCTAAAAAGTAGATAGAAAAATTAAAAGTTAGGAGTTGTAATTATGGTGAAATTCACAAGCATGCGATTCGCGTATGTTTGAATCATGTTTCTGTGAGTTTTGAGTAATAAAGAGAATTTATTGTAAATAGTAATATTCTTATTTATGTTTACAAACTTTACTCGAATATATTTAATTAATGTTTTCTTATATGTATATACCTGTTCTTAAAATAAGAAATTGGTCTCTAGGGTAGTAGACCACTTTCCTCCCCCCCTGAAATACACTCCAACAAGTACAGCTTCCTCAAAAAATTATAAAATTTTATTCTGCGATTTCTATTTTTTTATAATGACCCTTACAGTGAAAAAAATCTAAGCGGATTATGTTAATATAATAATAAAATTTAAATAACATTTACTATGAAAAGATTTAGGTGACGTCATCGAAATGTTGGTGGGGATGATCAGACAAATTTTTGTTAGTTTTACTTTCTGCACGATATTCCTAAAATACAAATAAATTTGGTAACAATCAGTCCAATAGTTTCGGAGATGATCTGTCTAATGAAATCGACACAGGCAAGAAACGACAAACAGACGGAAAAGGATACTCTAGGAGTCATGAAACATCGAGAAGTAAAAACAATCACAAAATTAACGTTTTATTTTGTTGGAAATACCTTATTCAAGTCTGTTCAATTCATTTCGATTTAAACTACATTTAAAAAGATCGTAATGTGCGTTATATTTTGTAATTTGAAAATAGTGATAAATGAGCAAGTTTTTTTAATGACATTACTTGCTTTAAATCGCCATCTACATCAAGCCAACCCTGATTATTATTATTTTTATTGTTTAATTCATGTTATTTTTTAGAACATGCATGCTTGGTGGATACTTTTGATCTGCCGCCGCTTATTCTGTACGTGCTTAATAGTCGAACTCTTGCAATGTACCGTCGGTTCGAAAAAAAAAAAATCTCACACCCATAGCTGTCCCAGTTTTTCGCATATATCATTGTGTGAAACGCCAAATCGATTTAAATATACTACGAGCTGATTTGAAAAATTAATATTTAATGTTCATGTATTTCTGTTTAGGATATTCAACTTCTTTTTAAATCACTTACATATTTTTGTTAGAGATTCTTGTACAAATTTTTTTAGGAATTCATTCTTGTATCATGATGTCACATTTTATTAAAAAGTTGTGCTACAAATTAATTTAATTCTTGTGAATTTTGAATGAATATTAGCACAGTCATTTGCCTACAAATGTACTCGTAGTTATTCATGCTAAAATTTGTGTTAGTAATTTGTGTAACTTTTGTTAACATACAGAAGTATTTAAATTTGAAAATTAAAATTCTTCTACACGAAAATAATTCATTTAGTACAACATTTTATTGGAAATATTAAATTACCTATGTACATATTAATGTCTAAAAACATCGAATACATCAGTAAATTCAGAAAAAAATCTACAAGAATCTCTAAAAAATATATAGGGCGTCATTTAGTAAAAACTTTAATGTCGTGGGCAAAAACAAATTAGCGTTAAAAATTAATTTTTCAAATTAAATCGAATTTAACGGATTACAATGCTCTACTCGAAAAAATAAGATTGCTGCGGAGTTTGTTTTTCGAACACACGGTATAAACAGTCGAAGTTATGGATGATAGGTATCTGTTTTATAAATATTTTTATGTTTTACGGGTATTTAAAATCGGCCTGGGTAAAACTCAACAATTCATTTCTCAGTGGAGTACTAATTTACACGACTAAATAGTATACAACGATTTTGTACAGAATAATTTCGACTCGACTGGAATGGATTTGACTATACCTAAATTCTCTCACCATTGATTGGACTCGACTAACTTGCTCCCAAAGGTGGCCTCTATTTAAACCCATACGTTCCTTTCTAGATATTTCGCAATCGAGATTTTTTTGGAGTACCCGTCGCGACTTCCGCTTCCGGGCTTTTCTTTATTCGAATGCCGCCGTCACCGATGATGAGTTACCACCGCTCATCATCTTTCAAACTAGAAAACCCATAGGCATTGTACTGGGGCGGCGTGTTGATTTATTTCGTAACAATATTTATTAATGTCCGGGTCTATGCGGACTGCGCCCCTTGGACTGGGCGTCCTCCACGGTGCAGGGACTACCAGGGTGTTATTTACGCCATTACGCAGCGTTTTTTACCTGTAGTTTAACAGTCCACACATATCCTTATTTTAAGTTACAGGGCTGACCATAAAAATCGTTTTTTTGAAAAAGCTGTATTTTTTTTAAGTTTTGGAATAAAAAAATGGGATTAGAAACTGATCCCATTTTAGGTTTGGGTTTCATTTTACATAGAAGTTTTATAGTGATTTTAAACGTATTAAGTCGAAATTATTTTCGGTATTTTGATGTCAGCATTTTTATTTGTGTACATTAGAAATTCTGCTTAGTCAACAGTGAAGGTTTTTATGTGACGGTGTGATAGAATTGATTTAAAACTTCATAACATTATTTTTATGTTTTCAAATATATAGTGTGCTTCATGTAAAAGTTCCACTTGCTCTGCTATGTTTAAAGATGGAGGTCTGAAATTTGCATAAAAATTGCGTATATGTTGTCCAGGATTCCTCACGGTACCAGCCCTGAATTGACCGACCTTCTCCTGGGTCTCCTCAAGCGCAACGCCAAAGAACGAATGAACTTCGATCAATTTTTCAACCACAGATTCTTGAAGAGGGTGGAAACACCAAAAGCTACCAGCCCCCTGCAAAGTGGTAAGTCGCACTTTTTTCTAAAACAGCGTTTCATAAGAAGCCCTAGATATGCCTTTACCCATCGGCACTCCACCAAGTACCTCCACCGTGCCAGTGAGCAGTCCGCGCCCCGTCAGAGGCAACTCGGTTTCGCACCCGGACCCACCAGGTTTGTGTGTTTCAGATTTTCTACTAATCATCATTGTGTTACATCATCTCATCACCTCTCTTGACAATATTAACAAATCATACTCATCATTCCTTGTAGAATCTCCACGATCTACAAGAACTGCTCTTAGTTCGAGCCCTGAAGATGATTATGTTATAGTGTCGAGAAACATCCCGGACCAGTCAACTGAAAGTGTGGAACTGGAGAAACAGTGAGTGGGTTGTGTTTGTTTGTAGATCGGGTAGACAGTTTTGGTTTATAGGTTTAAAATGACGACGGTGAGGTCGCCACCGGCACCATGTGGTCCTGTTGCGAGTCCTGTGAGACCGACCTTCTTGCCGGTAGCAGAACCGGTTCCTGTACCCTCAATGAAAGATGTATATTTGCAGATGACCAGTCAGACTGAAAAGAAAGAAGAAGTGCAAACTCCCAATAAGGTTGTATTTTTTCCCACAATCATATTTATCCCCTAAAACGTTTTATTAGCAGCCAGTTGTAAATAGCAATGTGCCGAGATCACAGCCGATCAGTATGAAACGATCGGAAAACAGGCCAATGCAAAATGACATCGACATTAGTTCCTTGTCGCCACCTTCTGTAAGTATTTTTTCTCTGAAGACGATTTCTAGTGTGAATACGCGTCTTTTTTCGGTAGGTAAAATTTGTAATCGGGACACCACCCGGCGGTCGGCGGCGATCTACCTCCGGGGGTAGCTTGTGCGAGACGCCGCCTCCGACGAACTTCTGGACGCCGTCACCAGTAGCAAAAACGGCACCTGTCAATTCACCTCTTCGACGTTCGGGTTAGTTGCTTTGGCTAGTGTGACAATGGTTGAAAAGTTTTTTCAGGGACGTCTCCTCCCATGCTGAGTGGGCCTTTGGCCCGAATGCCCATTTTGAGCAGCCCTAATTTAAATAATGAAAATAATAATCCCAATCGGTCGCCCAACATGCCCTATTGCACCAGAGCTGTGACCTTGCCCGAAATTTCCGAAATACGCAATTATGGGGTGTTTAATGACAGTTACGACCAGCATCCGATTACGTTCCTGGCACCAGAGCTACCAGAAGAGACTCTTTTAGAGGTTTGTACTTAAAAATAAGGTAGTGGTTATTCAATAAAGTGAGAGATGAGTGGCATTTCTCCGTAATCTTAATTATCTGGTGATAATTAATCACTGATAAAATAACTTGAAAGGTCATATTGACGCGGAGAGTTTGATCTTACTAAAAACGAGTTATTTATGTTCCAGTCGTATTTTTACACAGGAAATGAGTAAAGAAGTTCTGAATAAATAATTTAATAATGTGACAAGTTACAATTTTTGGTTTATATTTTTTTAAGTTTTCGCTAAGTAGGGTCATAAATTTTATTTTTGACAAGTAGATACTTTGAAATTATGATTGTAAATATGTCGCGCCAAGTATTATCACTAAGTCTCTTGTCAACTTTGTGTAAGTTTGTATTATATTGGCAATTTATTAAATTCAGGTGTAAAATTACATGTGTATAAACTTATGCAATATTTTGATATAACTTAATTTTAACTCCCTTTATCTTTTTTTTTTATTCGAAAATTGTTAATTTAAACACCACCTATATGTTTATATTGGTTAGATAATCGATTAAAAATGTAAAGAATAAATTGTACGTTTTTAATACATTTAAAAACACCGAAAGCAATGACTTCGTACTATACCGGGGGCCACTTGAGTTTTGTTTACAGTTTAATCTGTGACGTATTGTGTTTACGGTAGTGTGATGTCATTTTTGCATCATTATGCAATTAAACGAGTTCACAGTATACACTTATGTATAGTACAAAGGTGGGTTGAAGCAAGTGGGCACCCACTCATAACTTATCAATAAAAAAACCCAATATGTTTGTGATAGTCAACAACCGGCGCACCAGAATTTTTTAGTTTCATTTTATACTTTTGATTTTTTAATTTAAAATCTAAAACAAAGTTAATTGATGTTTAAAAAAATGATTGCTTGTGTTTCAAAAATATATTTTCCTGTCTTAGAAGTACCTTGCAAGATGCTTACAAAAATCGATTGTCTAAAAACATCTTATCTAATCTTCTTAAAATTTTGGCAGTGTGCGTTATCATTCACATTGTGTACACTGTGATAGATTGCAATAGTTTGAATTTTCCGCGTTATTTAAAATGTTCGAACAAAACATTAAATTTAATGTGTTACATATTAAGTACAACACTATTAAAAAAAAAAAGAAAAATATTGTACTTTACGCACTTAAAAAGCCATCCCATATCGTTTGAGAGAAAAAGTAAATATCACTTCCGAAAAACCAAAAACCATGTAATACTAACAAATATTTTATTCATTTTATATAATTTTTTGTGTATCGTTCTAAATTTGAAACTTCCATTTTTTTAAATATTTGAGATATTAAAGTGGAACAAGTAAACTGGAACACCCTGTATATACTATATCTGTAAAAGTAGAGAGTATAATAGTCCAACTCTAATTATTACTAATGAATTATTTCTTTCATAAAACCTAAACTTTTATTGAAACTGATAATTGTATTAAATTATATATTTAAAAAATATTTTAACTATACAGAGCGTCTTTCAGGCACGCTATACAAGTTTTTGGGACCTCATATATATTTTTGTATGCCCTAATTTGCTTCTTCTAAGGTTTTACAACATTGCTAAATGATTTGAGTTTTGTTGCTTTTTTGATAGTGGAAAATTCTTAACATTGGTTTGCAATGTTTTATGGGTAGATAAACAAATATTTGCGCGTTGATAATATAATATACAGCGTATTATTGAAAAGTTTGTACAAAATAAAATCGGCAATTGGTCGGGAAGTATGGGTGCTAAAAGTAAAAAAAAGTTCAGGTAAATGTATTCTCCTTTTAGAGATAAAAATTATTAAAATTCATGTCCAAATTCTTTGTACGCCTCGGATAAAAAGATCGTCTTTTTTATTTTTATTGTTACAGTTGCTGGGATTTACTAAAATAAATTAATTTTACCTATTTATCCTTCAGTAGCGTCTAAAAAGGTTGGATAAGGGTACATTTTCCCCTTACAATTTTGATAACCCAAAATAAGTTTTTCAGACTTCTTAGACTTCGCGAATGACTGTCAATTTTGTTGTACCTACCTTTCAATAACATCCTGTATAAACAATTTTTAAATAAGCCTACTTCATTTTTTCCACATAGACCACCCCGTATTTTAGTACGGCATCTTAATGTGTTTCTGCGTTTTTCACTTTGTTAAGATAAAACGCAAGACAGTAAAAACGGAATAAGATGCAATAATAAAAAACAGGTGTTCCATTTGAAAATTAAAAAAAAAATCCTAGGAATAACCGTGGCGACATCGGACCAGAATTTCAAATAAACATGCTTCTTGTCTAGTCCCATTAAAAAAAGAAAAACAAGTTGTATGTAGCCGCTCCAAAAAAGAACATCCTGTACAGTATAACTTTGGTTTTGAATTTTTCTATTTCTAACAGTTACCAAAGTCGATCAGTGCATCCATACTTGCCAGGTATAATTTAAGAAAAAAATTCATTGAAAATTATTTCGACAGAACTACCTCACCTCTGAAGTATAATAAAACATATCCAACTTTTTCGAAAAATTACAAAATTTGATGTTGCGAATTTTATTTTATTATTATTAAAATAATGAGATGTATTGCATGTAATGTTAAAGTAAATGGAAAGAAGCTTGCAACGCTTATGTTTCAAATGAGTTTTTCCTTTACAAAATCAGTAACAGTATTTAATTCCCAAATTTTCGGGAAAATGGAGTGAACCGTTCTTAATTTAATCAGAAAAATAAATTTTCTCATTCATTAATTTTTAAGTCACTCTATATAAGCAATTCTAAAATATATGAATGTAATTATAAATCACGAGTCATCATATTTGCACATTTTTGATAGGACTTATTCATTAATTTATCCGAGTCACCCTGCATAAACAATTCCAAAAAATATGAATGAACTGATAAATCACAAGTAAAAACTCATCATATTTTGCACGTTTTAGATAGGATTTATTTGGCAAAATAAAATAGGAAAAATAGTATTTATTGAGATAAGACTAATTTTGGTAAATGACTGAACAATATCAAGAGTAGTCACTGGAATGAAGAGGGGGTGGGTGGGCGGGGCTACTATTTTCTTATAAAAGAAAAAGGTAAACTTACCCCCGCCCACCCACCCGTTCTCTAGTATACCGAAAAAATTACGTAAAGGATAGGTGGGCGGGGCTAGTAGTTGCCAAGATAAGACTTTTGGTAAATGACATACCCTCTAAAATTTTGAGATGACGTCGCCTTCAGTGTTTAGGGGGGTCGTAAACGGATAAATTTTGATCAATTTACCATGTTTTCGATAACCTTAAAATAATTTTAATTTTTTTTCCCAAAAATCGAGATGCCAGGGGTAAAAACTCAAGAAACGATTCATAAACTACAAGTGAAGGAGTTTATTATATAGGAGATTATTTTATAAATTTTAAGTAACATGTACTACTGTAAAAGTTAGAGATGACGTCATATTATCGTTGATTAGCGTTTTACACACATACAAAATTTGACAGACCCGGACAGGCGACAGACGAGAGATGGCAGACAGACAGACAGATGGACAGACGGAAACCAGAGACCTATGTTTTCGTAATTTAGGGGTCATGAACGTCGAGAAAACATAAAAGTAGCGAGTCGCCCGATGGATTCGGAAAGTAAAATGTTTCAATTCCGTTAAAAAATAGAATAAACAAGAAAAATCTAAAACTGACATAATGATTACGTTTTTAGTTTACGCATTTGGTTGTTATTGTTTTTAATACATGTACATATTTTTTGGTTATATTTATTTTCTGCAAAAGTAAAATTTTTCATCTTTTGACTTATCAAATGTGTACATTTTCTGTTTCCCTATTTCTGCGGTTAACTTATCAGAATTTGCTTTAAGCTTTTCTTATCTTTTCTAAACACAAAAATTGTGTACTTTGTACAATGTCAATCACATTTAGCTTTATTGTAGTCCGGCATCAAATGTTTCGATTTTTCATTTCCCGGGCTTAAGCTAAGAAAGTTTGGTAATATAGGGTCCATCGAACGAATGACCACTTTCATGGCCCCTAGAGTATGAAAAATTAGGTTTCGCGTATCCGTCTGTCGATCTGTCTTCTGTGTCGATTTTTATTAAACAGATAATCTCCGAAATTATCGAACCGATTGTTGTCTAATTTTATATCCATGTTACGAATGTAGTGCAGATGGTAAAACACTAACAAAAGTGTGTCCCGACGAACATTTGGATGAACGTCATCTCAAAATTTTGCATAGTGTATGCCATATAAATATTCTAAAATAACGTATTCATGTACCTTTAGTTTATGAATGTGCCTTGATTTTGTTTGTTATTATTCTAATTTTTATTATTCAGTATTTCTCAAAATAAAGCCTGCGATATATTGTACTCTAGCAGTCCATACATATATGTACTCAATATATATAATAGGGTGTCTTAAATTTTATCTTCGAAGAAGCTGAGTTTGTTGGACTCTTCAGGGCTTGTATTAAGAAAACCTCATTTTTTCTTTAATCACAAAATTCTACGAAATATATTTTTTTACGTTCAAAAAATTAGGCAAATTATCGAATAAGCAGAAACAATAGTGAATTGTAACCGTCAACCGTCTCCGATTTCTGTTCTGAGTTTATGGTTTCTTAGAGTAATGTAAAGAGCCATTAAATAATAATATATAAATAAATTCCATCGCTTCCAAATTCTACACCGAAGACGTTTCCTGTAATCCTGGCAATTTTATTTCCAGCTGTCAAAAAAATTAGAGATCTACGTCCGAATAGCAGTAAATTTTTGGATTAGCCTCGTCTAAACCGATTTATTTTATCGATTATCTTAGAAAAAGTTAATCCGATTTTCTTGGCCTTCTGCTGACACAATAACATTATAGTTAGTCATAATCTTAATTGCACATATTAAATTTAATATATTTATCTCGCCTAAAAATCATGACGTCATCGTATATAATCTTGGGGAAAAACGCCTGTTAAAGTGCACGCGAGTTTGGTTGTGAAATTAAGAACATGTTTTTGAGTATCAAGTTGTTCAAAGAATACTATGTATATTAAGAAAAAAAAGCAAATTATAAACCCCGCCCACCCACCCCGATCTCAATTGTGATGATTTTTTTTATTCTTCGAAACTTAAAACACGTTTAAAATGGTACATTTTTGTAAGGAAATATGGATTTTGCAATTAGGCTCCGCTCCTAGATCTGCCAACGAATGAAAACTTCATTACTATTTAGATCAGGGCAGGTGTGGGTGGGGCTTAATATTTATATTTTTAAATTTTTTCTTAATATGCATAGTATTCTTTGAATAACACGTTACTTAAAAACATGTCTTACATGGTAATTCTTGCAGAGAAATAATAAGAATTTTGCAATTAAATTCCGCTCCTTTGGCTCTCGACGATTAAAAAAAAATCATCACAATTGAGATAGGGCGGATGATATTTTGCTTTTTTTCGTAATATACGGAGTCGTCTTTTCGGAACAAGACACTTAAAACATGTTTAAAATGCATTTAAAATTCTTGTAGACAAATATGGATCTTGTAATTAAGCCCCGCCGCTCGATCTGACAACGAATGAAAAAGTCATCACAATTGAGAATTGAGAAGGGACGGGTATGGGTGGGGCCCAATCTTTGGCTTTATTTTTTTCTTATTATACAGGTATTGTTTGAACAACATGATACTCAAAACCATGTTTTTTGTTTCTCGTAGAGAAATAAGGGTTTTGCAGTTAAGCTCCGCCCCCTTGGCTCACGACGAATAAAAAAATCATCACAATTGAGATAGGGCGGGGCTACATTTTGCCTTTTTTTTTTTTCTTAATATGTGTAGACTTATTTCGACAACAAGATAATTAAAACATAACTAAAATGGTAAATTTTTGTGGTAATCAACTTAAATCGTCCACTTTTCTTCTACAACCCCTTTAAAAACGCCAGCGGGAACTTCAACGTCAACAGCAAGTTTATAAATCCCACTTAAATTGTATTGGAAAGCTTTTTAAACTCTGCATGGTAATGGTACAGAAAAGAGAATTTACGATTTTTAGCCTTCACAATATTCATACCTACATGAAACAAGCGACATTAAATTTTTGACACGATTGAATGCGTTTATAAATTTTTTATCTAATTTATGCGTATTTAGGTCTTTATGTGGAAAGAAAAATGTAAAGAATTTAAATTGTTTCTGTTTGCATGTTAGAAAATTGGCAACAATTAGAACGCTGTATTATTATCAAATACCCCATTAATTTCTAGTATAATTTTGTATTTAAAATTTCCTAGAAATATCATTTAAAAATTTGACTCGTAATTGTAAATTCTTCAAACTTAATTTTTACTTTTAAACGGCGAATTTTTTCATGAGTTAATTATCTGCATGTATGTTTTTAATATAATTTAAACTTCAGTTTATAAATAGTTACATGCATACAATGCGAATTAAGCTTTCAGACACACAAAACTTGATAACGCTTATGTAATTGTTTAGTTAACCGCTCGTTAAATAATTGCAAGTGTTTAAAATTATTTACTCAGAACTTTTAATAGCAGGATACGATGTGTTTAATTATACAGTAAAACCTATATTTAGACTTTGTGATAACACATTCCGACCTTTTTTGCTTGACTGTAATTCATACCTTGAAGCGATTGATATCTTATTGATCACGCACTCACAAAACTTAATCACCATAAAAAACCCTGTCTAAAGGAATAAAGAATAATTTTTTATAACTTTTCATGGCAAATAACAAAAGACAGGCGTCGAATTACCCATCACAAAAAACTCCTTTCTGAAACAATAAACGAATATTTGTTTTTTGCTTAAGTTATTCATTATAAGTAACAAAATACAGGAGTCGAATCCCACAGCACTTCGTCCTCCCTCACCGCCTACTTTCTTTTTCCAGAAAGAGCACAACGAAACTCTAGCCAAAATCAATTTCGTATTGGCCCTTTGTAACTGCATCCTAGACCTGGCCGCCGTGCGTTCGACACCAATCGGAGCCCTTCACGACTCCGTGCACCTCCAAACCCAAATACAAAACGAACTGGTGAAAAGGGCCGAGCGGTTCGTCCTTTTGGTCCGAGCTTTGCAGCTTCTGGGCTCGGGATTAGCGCTGGCCACCACACAAATGAAGTCCGGCCAATTGCGGCCGAGTTCGAAAGTAAAAAATGGTAACCGAGGTACTATTGCTCGACTCGGTTTAGAATGATCGTTTTCGTTGCAGTCATGTCGAGTCTGAACAGCAAGTTCAGGACGACCTTGGCCGAATGCAAGCAGATGAACAGCACGGAGCTCATGGCGAAGGTTGCGGATATCACGGCGGATAAGCTGCTGTATGATCACGCTGTACAAATCGTGAGTGGTTGTGGGCGATTTTTGATTGGTGGGTTATTTTTTGTGTTGTAGTGTCAGGCCGCTGCGCTCGACGAGCTCTTCGATAATCCGCAGCAGTGTTTTGAGCGGTATCAAACTGCGCAGATTCTGCTGCATAGTTTGTCACAGCAAGTACCTCAGCAGGATAGGGCGCTGCTCATCAAATGTAAGTTGCTCTGTTTAATGACATTACATTAGTAATTAATTAAAGGTGTGTTAACACAAGAATTTTATTTAAAAATAATTTATTTTGTTTTTTTTGAAGGTAATTTTAATTTTAAAAAATTGGTCGAAAAAACGAAATATGTATTGTAAAATCGAAATACTGAAAATTAAAAGAAATGGGAAAATGGTGTATAATTGGAAAACTGAAAAATCTAAGATTGAGAATCTTAAAAAGTGGATCAACAAAAATGATAAAATTAAAAGAAAAATTGTACATTAAAGAAAATGTAAAAACGAAAAATTGTGATATAAAATCGAGAAAATGAAAATTGAAAAATAGGTAAAATGAAAAATAAATTCCAAGAACTTGAAAAATTGAGGAAACATAAAAATGAAAAATCGAAAAATTAAAAATTCAGAAAGTGAAAAATCAAAAAATGAAAAAAAAAAACAAATTAAAAAATTGAAGAAATTTAAAGTTGAAAAAACGAAAATGCAACCGAAACATGAAAAAATGGAAAATTTGAAAAATGAAAAAATGAAAACACGAAAATGTATAAAATAAAAAATTTGGAAATTCTAAAAATTGGAATAAAGAACTTAAAAATGGAACAAACTAAAAATTCAAAAATCGAAAGATTAAAATTAAGAAACTTAAAAATCGAAAAAACAAAATATGTATTGCAAAATCGAAATATTGAAAATTAAAACAATCGGAAAATCTTGTATAACTGGAAATCCAAAAATTACAAAATTAAAAATGGGAAAAGCGAGGAACTGAAAAATCTAAGATTGAAAATGTGAAAAACTTTATAAATCGAAAGAAACTTTGTAAAAAAGAACGAAATGAAAAATTGTGATGTAAAATCGAGAAAATGAAACTTAAAAACCAAGAATTTGAACAATTGAGAAATTGAAAAACTAAAGAAACGAAAAATTGAAACATTTGAAAGTCGAAAAATTGAAAAAATTAAAGCTGAAGAAACAATTATGAAATCAAAACATGTTAAAATGGAAGAAATGAAAAATGAAAGAAAATGGAAAAACAAAAAATTCTGATAAAAAATCGAGAAACTGGAAACCAAGAACTTGAAAAAGTTAAAACGAAAAATTTTGAAACCGAAACATGGAAAAATTGAAAAATGAAAGAAAATGAAAAAACGGAAAATTTTGATAAAAAATGGGGAAAATGAAAAATAAAAGATGAAAGAAACTGAAAAAACGAAAAATTGTGATAAAAAATCGGTAAAATGAAGAACAAAAACCAAGAACTTGAAAAATTGAGAAAACGAAACAGTGAAAAATTGAAAATTAAAAGAACGAAAAATTTGGAGGTCAAGAAATTCAAGAATCGAAAAAATTAAAGTTGAAAAATCAAAAAATTATGAAAGCGAAAAAAATTAAAAATTGCGATAAAAAATCGGGAAAATAAAAAATAAAGACCAAGAACTTGAAAAATTGAGGAAACGGAAAAATGAAAAATTACAGAAACGAAAAATTGAAAAATTTGGAAGTCGAGAAATTGAAAAATTGAAAAAATTAAAGTTTAAAAACCGAAAAATTATGAAACCGAAACAAGTAAAAATGGAAACATTGTGATAAAAAATCAGGAGAATGAAAAATAAAAACCAAGAACTTGAAAAATTTCGGAGAGGAAATAAAACGAAAAATGAAAAAAATGGAAAAATTGAAAAATGAAAGAAAATGAAAGCATGAAAATCTATAAAACAAAAAATTTGGAAATTCCAAAAATTGGAAATCAAGAACTTCAAAAATTGTACAAACTAAAAATTCAAAAATCGAAATACTGAAAATTAAAACAATCGGAAAATCTTGTATAACTGGAAATCCAAAAATTATAAAATTAAAAATGAGAAAGCGGGAAACTGAAAAATCTAAGACTGAAAATTTGAAAAACTGAATAAAGAAAAATGATAAAATCGAAAGAAACATTGTAAAAATACAGGAAAAGAAAAAACGAAAAATTGTGATGTAAAATCCAGAAAAAGAAAATTAAAAAATCGGAAGTCGAGAAATTGAAAAATTGAAAAAATCAAAGTTGAAAAAACGAAAAATTATTAAATCGAAATATGTAAAAATGGAAACATTTAAGAATGAAAGAAAATGAAAAAAAACGGAAAATTGTTATTAAAAAAAAACGGGAAAAAGAAAAATAAAAAACCAAGAACTTGAAAAATTGAGGAAAGGAATAAAAATTGAAAAATTTGAAAGTCAAGAAATTGAAGAATTGAAAAAATAGAAGTTGAAAAAAGGAAAAAATGGAAAAATTTGGAAATTCCAAAAATTGAAAATTAAGAAACTTAAAATCAAAACAACGAAATATGTATTGTAAAATCGAAATATTGAAAATTAAAACAATCGGAAAATCTTGTATAACTGGAAATCCAAAAATTATGAAATTAAAAATAGGGAAAGCGGGAAACTGAAAAATCTAAAACTGAAAATTTGAAAAACTGAATATCGAAAAATAATAAAATCGAAAGAAACATTGTAAAAATACAGGAAATGAAAATACGAATAATTGTGATGTAAAATCGAGAAACTGAAAATTGAAAAATAAAAACCAAGAATTTAAAAAATTAAGGAAACGAAAAAATGAAAAAATTAAACTTGAAAAAACGAAAAATTATGAAATCGAAACATGTTAAAGTGGAAAAAATGAATAATGGAAGAAAATGAAAAAACAAAAAATCGTGATACAAAATTGGGAAAATGAAAAATAAAAACCAAAAACTAGAAAATACGAAAAATCGAAAAATTACAGAAACGAAAAATAAAATAATTTGGAAGTTCAGAAATTGAAAAATTGAAAAGATTAAAGTTGAAAAAACGAAAAATTATGATATCGAAATATGTAAAACTTGAAAAATTGAAAAATGAAAGAAAATGAAAAAAACGGAAAATTGTGATAAAAAAAAACGAAAAAATGAAAAATGAAAATGAAAAGTACGAAAGCCACAGTAAAATGTGTCCTGAAGGGAAATTTTACTCACAATTGACAACAAAATGGTAGGATATAAGAAGTGAAATAACTACAAGGACACAAACGAAAACAAAAAATCTTGAACCTCCCCCAATTCCGAGTATTATCAGTAATAAAAATATTACGAATACAATCCAAAATTGGGGTTCTACGTAAAATATATATTCATAAAGCAAACAAAACCAACAAAATCTGTTCTACTAACAAGGATTTCATATAAGTGAATTAAATTAACACTGTAATGTATCAATTTTTGGTAATAATTTTATTCTCTGATTAGAAGGGCCTCTAAACCCTATTTCCAGAAACAAATCAGCCAAATTTTTTTTTTTTGACGACTAGTCAAAGAACTGCGAAAACGCGTATTTACAGAGCTAATTAAACACAAAAAGCAACCCGGAAAATAATTTTAACTAGATTAACCAAACTTTGTACGAAACCGTCACGTGCAAAACCGACGTTTGTTGACGGTGAACAAACAAGTAGGATTATGAAATTTCAACTAAGACAGTGTTCTCGTTTAAAACTATTATTTTAAGACCACTACCATGACATTTCATGTAGGGGAGAATTGCTAATATGGTCCAAGCTCAACACTACAGTGCAATTCTTATAATTTTAGCAAGGTGTTGTAAAACTATTACATGTAGTATATTTCGGTTTCTGCGTAAAAACTGATACTTGCATACTTATGTACTTACACTGTGTCTGACGAAGACAGAAACAGAAACATACCGTTTTACAACAAATTTTATACTATGTACATTCATTCATGCATCTACATTTGGAAAATACATTTTCATGAATAAAAAATCCGAAAAACTGGAAAAAGTGTTGGCGTTTTCTAGGTACTTTTTCTTTGTTTGTTGCGGTTTGCACAAGTTATTGAACATCCACAATGCGGTTTAATATCTGTTCAAACATTGTTACAAAATATGGAAATTAGGTAAACTATCGGACTTTCGCCTCCAATAATAATTCTTGCCAATGTGGACATAGAAATATGTTCTTGAGTTGGGTAAATACTGAATAAACTTATTAATAATTACTTAATATATGATTGTGAAATATGTAATCAAACAAATTATTATGCAAAGTGATAATAAAAGATTATGCATCAAGTTAGTTCTGGAACATCGATCACTGAATGTTTAGTAAGGAATTATTCTTTTTACCGTTTGACAGTTGATATCAAATCATTCGAGTCGAATTATGGGTTGCCTATCTATCGGACAGCACAGACATTAAAAAAAGGTTAAAAAAGTAGATTATGTGTATATGTAATAAGCGAGGAGTTGTCATCAGCGATCAAAATGGGGTGGCAAATTTCCGAAATTTCAAAGGCAACTTGATGAATTCTATAATCATTTGTATACAAAATGTGATAAAAATCACATTGAACTGTCGAAAAAAAAATCACATGTAGCGGGTAATTAAAAACTTTCAGATCGGGGTGGGCTATAGAAAAATTTTGTTTTTTTTTTTATTAAATCTCATCCGTCAAAATTAGAAGTTTTCAATCACCCATTACTCGGTAGTATAAAGCATTCCGGGAATATAAAAATATCCCACTTTGGCATTACAGTGAACTCACGAATTATTTCCTTAGCGGAACTAAATTTAATAACCAGTGCATATAGATTCACTTGAAGTTCTAATTTCGAAAATATTTTTGGGGCGTATTTTCAATAATGTTTATTTAGTAGTTTTTTGCTTCTGGAGCGTAAGTTAAGGAAGTCTTGTAATCGGGTCCATCGGGCGCCTGATTACTTTAATATTTTCTTGACGTTGCATGGTCTCTGGTGTACTAAAAAAGTGGTCTTTCGTTTCCGTCTGTTTATCGAATGTGTTAATTTTTATTAGACAGATAATCTACGAACTACTGGACCGGATCTTGTCAAATTTGACTAATCATCATCCCCACTACCAATGTAATGACGCCATATCCAAAGTTTACAATAGTAAATTTGCTTTTAATTTTCTAAAATACGATACTCCTGCTTTTGTGGTGTATAAATCCGTGTCAAATTTTCACCCTAGACGTCTAGAGTTTTGGAAAAAAAAAACAAAATTGTATAAAAACATTTTACAATTGGATTTTGAAACTGCAAAACCGTTTGCTCTGAAATCTTGCAAACGTTTTAGGATTATTGTAATCATGATAAAATAAACCGTTGATCAAAATTTATTTGTTTATCCCTTCACAAAAACTTGATGACGTCATGTCAAAATTTTGTCCAATAAATCCTCTCTGCTAAATATGCAAAATATTATGACTCTATACATACTTGCGGCTTATCAATGCACTCCTTATCCAGGGTGACTCAAAAAATTAAGAATTAGATTCGCTCACTCCATTTTCCAGAAAATTTGGGATTACAATACTGTTATTATTAGTAGTACACTACACTATCCAAATTGATATACGTGTCCTTGAAAAAATGTTGATGACGTCATTGCAAAATTTTATAATGGAAAAATTCGCTTGAGACACACGCTTCTTTACCTTTACTTTAACGTTAATTTTAACTTACAAGGGTTGTCACAAAAATAAAACTGGTAAAATCAAATCTTATATATTTTTTTGCCTCAGTATACCGTAAAATCAATAAAAATCAGCCTCTACTTCGGGTTCCTCATTGTAATTAACACACTTTGAAGTACTTATCCAACATTTCGAAAATATATAAAATCTGATTTTGCGATTTTTTTTATGGTAACCCTAATAAGTTAAAATAAAAATTAATGAAGCAACAATAACAATAATTAAATAAGAAATTGCCCCATTCCTTAAGCTTCTTGAGTCATTCTGTGTAAGCAATTCTAACTAAATAAGGTGACACTCAAAACATCGAAATATCAAAGAAAACAGTGGATCTGCTATCGAGGACTCGATTTTTCTAAGAAACCATAAACTCAGAACAGAAAGCGGAGACTGCGGACGGTAAGAATTTACGATTGTTTCTGATAACTTGCTTAATTGTTTGAAAGCAAAAAAAATATTTCTTCGGAGTTTGTGAGATTTTCTTAATGCGAAAACATTGTCCAAAGTAACAATCCAACAAATTCAGCTTCTTCGAAAAATTATAAAATTAAAATAACACCTAAAATTTAGAGTAGAGATATGTACGAACTGCTAAAATACATTGAAACATATCCAGCATTTTTGAGTTGAATTTTTACTTTACAGAATTTTGCGATGACGTCATCAACATTTTTGCAAGGACACCTAGGTTTGGTGCACTGTAATACTAAAAAACAGTATTATATTCCCAAAATTTTCTGGGCAAATGGAGTGAGCCGTCCCTGATTTAATCAATAAAATAAATTGACACATTCATTAATTTTTTTGAGCCACCTGTATAAGCATATCTAAAAAATATGAATGCAATGATAAATCACACGTAAAAATTCATCATGTTTTGCACATTTCGGGTAGATTTAGGAATTTAACTCGTTACTATGGAAACGATTTACCATGATTACGATAACCTTAAAATATTTGCAAGATTTCCGAGCAATCGGCTTTGTAGTTTGAAAGTTATATTGCAATTATTCTATTCAGTTTTAAATTTTTTCTAAAAATTCTGGATGTCTAGGGTGAAAATTCGCACTTTTAACTATATATTTTGGAGATAACGTCATCAAATTGTTGGTGGGCAATTAACCAAATTTTGGTTACTATTTAACCATCTACAAGATATTTCTAACATGTGCAAAATTTGACAACAATCGGTCCAGCAGTTTCGGAGATTACGTGTCCAATAAAAATGGATACAGATAGACAGACGGAAACGGAAGATCATTTTTTTCGTACTCTAGAGTCATGACACGTCGAGAAACTATGAAAGTGGCAATTCGCCCGATGGACTCGATTACGATACTTCCTGAGCTTACGCTCGGGAAGTAAAAAATTGATAAAGCCGAGATTGAATGAATCCTGGACCCTTCAGATGATGTAAAGTCATGTTTCGTATAGTTAGCATTATGCGTAGCTTAATTAGGAAAAATTGTACAATTAAAATTATAATAATAACAAATAAAATCCAACCAAATTCATAAACCTCAAGTAGAGGATTATGTTATTTTATAAAAAAAAATTGAGATGACCTCATTAAATTGTTGTGGGAGATGATCAGAGAGTTTTACCATCAACGCGATATTCGTAATATACATACAAAATTTGACAACAATTGATCAGGCAGTTTAGAATCTGTGTAATAAAAGTAGACACAGACGCGGACAAACGACAGACAGACGGAAACGAAAGACCTATATTTTGGTATTCTAGGGGTCATGAAACGTTGAGAAAACGTAAAAGTGGCGAATCGCCCGATGAACTGGATTACAATACTTCCTTAGCTTACGCTCGGAAAGTGAAAAATGTCCCGTGAGGAAATCGAACCGTCTACCATCGCTCTAATGAAATGCGCTACAACCGGTCGATACTATGTATATTACTATAAAACGTTCCTATGTCGGGTGATTTTTTAAATTTCTGCTATAATTGGCCATGACGCTGTTGCAATTGCGCTGATGACGTACCCGTCGTGGCCAACGAGAGCAGACATTTAAAAAATCACACGGTAAAATTATATTTTTTGGTGGAATATCCGGATCCCTGGGGTAAAACTCAAAGCGGATTCATAAACCTCGAGTACATTGCATTTTATGTTATAAAATTTATCATTTATCAAATTGTTGGTGGGGATGATTGGACAAATTTTTGTTAGCATTTTACCATCTAGACGATATTCCTAAAATAGGTGACTAATGTGGCCTTCTTCATGGAATACTTAATTAAATATTAAAAAAGTGAGAGGAGTAACGCGACTTAAAAAACGTGTCAAAATTGAAATTTGGGACATGCAATAAAACTATGATGTGGCGACACAAATTACCGTATGATAAAAGCTCTCATGTTTTGAGACCAAGAATAATAATCACCTTGACCTCCAACAATTTGATCACAGAGCAAATTTGTTTACTACAATTTCAAAAACACGCTCAACTCTAAACACTTTTTTAATCCCACTGTCTTGCTTCAGAAAAAATATCAGTTTGTGTTTTTAACTAAGGTGAATCTATGTAATTTCCCACACGAGGAAAGAGTACGTTGTAAGTTTTTTCAAAAACGAGGATATAAGATGCATTTACAAACAGGAAAACATATTTTCAAGTTTTTTGAGCTTGAACGCTCACTTTGTAGGCACTCGAAACGCACGTGATCACTCCATCTCTTCGGTAAACGAACTAAAGACGGGACCTAGGTTGCTATTTTCAAGTATGTTGTAAAACCGGCTTCAAAACTTGTGTTTTCTAACTAACAGGAACGGCAGGTTCATTATACACACTTTTATTATTGCATCTGCTCGATTCTAGTGCAGTAACCTTAATTCGTTTACTTATTAGGCGGCATCTTGCGGATGAAAACACTATATCGATGTCCCGTTTACGTCTATTTATCCGGTCGTCCACCTTGCTTCTCAATCACACAACTAAACGCAATAATACAGTTATTATGTTTTTTGTTCCAGATAAAGAAGCGGTGGAAAAACGCCTCTTCGTTCTCCAGCAAAAAGGATACGTATATTCGACGGATCTCAGTCAGATGAACTAAAGAAAATCTGTTTCGGCGCCAATTTATTCCAGATATAAAGTATAATGTAGTGATAATTAGGCAATTTTGCTGTTATAAGTCGACTTTATTTCTACACCAATATTGTGATTATTTGTATTAATATTATTTAGGTATTGTTGATTCTAACCATATCGCTTTATATATAGCAACCGTTTCACCGACGGAGTAGAAGATGATTGAAACTGGGTATTTTGTTTTGTGTTGGTACCAGATCGACCCATGACGAACGGATACGCCCAGAATTATTCCGACTTTTTTGCGGGCATCCCACTCGTGTTTTCATTACTTGATTGAATTCTTTAATTTCGATATGTACGCCAACGCGATTGATGAATAATGTGAGGTGTGTTCGAATTGGGTAATCCCTTGTTTCGGTTATGCATTCGCGCAACTGGATAAAACAAAACAGTTGATATCGAAAACTGAAAGCTTGTCGTAAAAATGTAAATATTAAGAGAAACCGTTGCGTAGTCTACAATTGTCGATTCTTCTCTTCCGCCAGATTGCATGTTGGGCATGACAGGTGCGATTACAAAGACTTGAGAGTATAGTGATTTATCATTTTTGTGTTTAATTGTATACAGAAACTCATTAAATATGCAATAAAAGTAAATTTGTAGCGAATTCTCTCGCAAAACCCTTTCATTCCCCGTATTTCCGTGGTGGGGTAAGGCAGACGGGTAGGTCTATTTATGAGCATATCTTTTACGGTGACAGAGCATTAGACATATTAAAAGAGTGAAAAGCACGCGAGAGGTCCATTTTCAGCTTAATGCATGCATAGCATGCACTTTTTTTATGTGCGTTTTCATACGTGAGATGAACTCGGCGGAGTTGATTTAGTAGATGGACTTTTTTAGCGGAGAGCATTCCACGTTCGGTTGACCCGTTTTTACTTTTGTTTACTTTTTTTGTGTCAACTGAGACGGCTTCACTGGCTGGGTGAAAGTGTCGCTAAAATTGGCCGTTCGCGTGACTAGGACAAGCGTATTTGACTTGTGGATCACATGACGTGTGAAATATAGCGGTGATTGCGATGGACCACATTTAGGACGGAGTTTTAGGCAAATAGGTCGTCCGTTTATGTGATAAGCTTTACTAAACTTGCATGAGTTTATTAAATTCTGGTACGAGAAGACAAATGGAGATCAATAGTTTTGACGAGGAGGTGGGTAATCAGCCATAATTTTACTTGTAATGGTATATCAGACGATGTATTCGTCGAGTGGTTGCTATGCGTGAGTGTCTATTTGTTCAGAAAACATTTGTTTAAGGTTGCACACCTTCAAGTAGGTAGTTTTGTTGCTTTACCATAATTTCCTAATTCTTGATATAACGTATACAGGGTCGCTAAAAAGTTTGGAAGCAGTTGAATATTGCGAGTACGGTTTGCCGAATATTTTTGAAATTTGGGCTGTTCCTAGGAATTCTCAACTTCTATTTTCTGCAATTTTTTCAAATTTATGCTTCAATTATTTTTGAGATGCAGGGCTAACTTGATTTTTTTAAAATAGCACTGGTAGTCAAATATTCCGTTTTTAAATTGTGCATTTTTTTGTGAATTCAGAAATGTAACGCATGTATTATTTTTCCCAACATAGTAAAATAAATTATCAAAATAAAAATACTGAAAATCTGAAAATCGTAGCTAGCCTTAACAATACTATCACCTGTCATAGTCTTACGTAGGACAGTTTTCAAATATTATACTAATGCCCAATCACATAATCTATACTTCTATACTTATATTATAAAGCTGAAGTGTTTGTTTAATTGAACACGCTAATCTCAGAAACTACTGGTTCGAATTCAAAAAATCTTTTTGTGTTGAATAGTCCATTTATCGTATCTACATATAGGCTATACAACATCACGCTACGATCAATAGGAGCGAAGTAGCAATGAAAAATTCGGAAAAACTGGAAAATTATTCCTCCTTTTACAGCTTCCGTTGCTTACGCTGCTTAAACGGTTAAAGTTACGTAAAAATCATGTATGACGAAATTGTTCCCCTCTAAAAGTTCTAAAGAAAAGTCCTAGGCAGCATATGTCTATCTTTTAAGGTCGAATCAGTATAACCTTTTTTATGGTACTGAAATTTGTTCTAAAATAACAATGCATTTATGTATAAAATTCTGGCGTCACAATGTTTGTAACCGAATTCCTCCGAAATGGGTTGACCGATTTGTATGAAATTTTTTATGTATATTCGGTAGATCTGAGAATAGGTTGTAAACTACTTTTTATACCCCTAAGTGACAAGGGTGGCCCACCCTAAAAAATTGTTGTTTATTTTTTGCCCAAAATTTTTTATTTTTATTTTTTTAAGATTTGGCATCAAAAATACATATAACCCTAAATTTTCACCTTTCTACCACCAACCCCCATTTTTTAATCTTCTATATTATAATAAAAATCAATTACTGTTCCTGTTATTAGTCTCGCTAAAACTCAAAAACGGCTTGACCGATTTGAAGAATTTTTTATATTACGGGGATAGTTTATAAATAAATAAATAGGGAAAACTTAAAAGAACAGCTAAAAAATCAAAAAATTCTAAAAAATTTGTATGGGAATCGCCACTTAGTATTAATTTCAATAGTTGGCGTTTCTGACGGACCTGTCGTCTAACTGAGGTGTCATACAAAACTAATTCTTCCGTGCAATTGTGAGAAGTATATTGCATTTCAAATCGTTCTTTGTTTTTTCATAAAAAAAAAACGTTTATTTTAAGAAAAGTCTTGGTTAAAGTGAATTTAATTACACATTGCGAAAGTTTCTTATTAATTTTGATCTGCCATTCTATTTACCTATATTCACTTTGTTGGTTTCGACAAAACCTCAAACTTTACCGTTATTCGAGGATTTAATTTGAAGATTTCAATATTTTCAAATTCTCAAGACAAAATTTACAGATTTGATTGACTGTGAAAATAATTCTGTGTCGTTTTATGAAGTTCATTAAAATGCCGAGAAGACGACAACCTCACATAGGTCCACGAAGTCAATCAAATGTGCGACGAACTACCTCAGGTGCAAACCGCAATGATTTATTTCATGGGTAATTCGGATAGCGTTGTGTATAATCAACATAATCAAACATTGAAGCAAGACATTGGGTGGTATGAATAAAACTGAGTAGAAACTAATATTCGAAGTACGAAGTACCTACTTCATTATTACTCTTATATACCTGAGCATCCACTCTATGTACTGAGTACCTACTTGGAAACAATGTATCTCCCCGGACACAAATTGAACATCTACGCGTTTTGTGAGCATTTAATCTAAAAATGAGCATCGGCGTGGCAAATGACTGAGCTGTCTGTAAAGCAGCTTAGAAAACGAGTAAGATCGTTGTAAGAGTGAATTTTGACTAAACATGGCGACTTTCATGAACGTGGAACGTCGTTAAAAGGTGCATTCAATTTGAAAAACACATTTGGAGCGCGAATATCAAAAAATTTTCAGGTAATTAGCTTTTATTTATGCATAAATTGTGCAGTGCGTTTTTTCTAACACTGGCCATAGAGATTCCCATCTCAAGGTGTCTACCTTAGATCATATAATAAATAGATACCAATACTCAAACTGAAAGCTGTGACTAGACATGAAGCTATCTGTTGTCGTTTTCTACGTCAAGGGGAGTAGTATAATGCTATCCTTGTGTGATCACCACATCTTCATCTTTGTTATATGCATTTCATCTGTATATGTCTATTTCACTTCCATCCTTGTACCGCACCAGCGCAACAAATCGCTTTTGACAGATGTTTCTTCTAACCTCTCTTTCGAGTTGTTGTACAAAAAACAATTTTAGAATTTAGAACAAAGACCCTATTTTAAGTGATGTAGTCATAAAGGATCACAATTGCTGCCCAATAATTTACTATTCCTTTCGTTATCTACTGTGAATTATTTATAAAATCAAGCTGTCAACATCTTTCTTGCGAAGTTAGTTCAGACATACTTCCTAAAATTTAGGCGCGCAAAATTCAAATAGTGATCAAGGATAGCTTCATTGTAATTCCTCCATGCACGAGAGAGATATGTGACAGGAGGATGTCGTCACAGGCTGTCCTAGGGAAAGAACACGGCATGGTGGTATCTATTTATTATATGATCTAAGGTGTCTACCCCATACCAGCTTATATTTTCGTGACTCGATTTTTGCTTTGATGGTTGAACACTGTCACTGTTGTCCTTTTTTTGTTGTATCGAGATGCTACTTGAGCATCAACTGTTACCTACTGAAGCATCATCTAGAAAAACTAGAAATATGTTGATTTGATATTCAAGTAGATACTTCGTATTTCGAGTATGAGCATCTACTGAGTTTTATTTATATCAACCATTGTCAAAAAATTGATCGAACGTTATTTCGACACAACCTCCTTCGCACCAAAAGTATAATGAAGCATATTCAGCATTTTCGAGTTGAGTCTTTTCTTCACACAATTTTGTGATGACCTAATCAACATTTACGACCAATACGTACACCACCTTGGATTTTTGCAGTGTAATCTAAAAATAACTGTATTGTATTCCCAAAATTATCTGCGAAAATCGAGTGAGCCGTTCCATAAATTTCTTGGGGGCAATAAATAAATATTCTTAACAATTTACCATGCTTACAATAACTTTAAAACGTCTGCAAGATCTCAAAGTATGCATTTTTACAACTCTTGAGTTATTCACTAAAATAAATTGACTGATCCATATATTTTTTTGAGTCACTGTAAAAGCAAATCTAAAAAATATGAATGCAATGATAAATTACGAAAATACACTGATGATATTTTGCACATTTTAGATAGGATTTATTCGGCAAAATCTTGAGATGACGTCAAGTTTTTGGGCTTGATAAACAGATATATTTTGATTAAAAACCTACCATGTCAAACAGTAACTTCAAAACGTCTGCAATATTTCAAAATTCAGTCTTGCAATTCTTGATTCAATCAATAAAATAAATTGACTCAGTGATTAATTTTTTTGAGACACCCCCTATAAGCAAAACTAAAAAATATGAATGGAATGATAAATCACAAGTATAGTCTCATCCTATTTTGGACATTTTAGATAGGATTCATTTGGAAAAATTTTGGGCTGACGTCATCAATTTTTTGGAGGGGATAAGTAAATATATTTTGAATAAAAATTTATTATGCTTATCATATGTTTGCAACATCTGCAAGATTTCAAAGCATTCATTTTTGCAGATTCAAAATTAAATTGTAGGTGAAACGAAGTTCACGGGGTCAGCTAGTCTGAAATAAAGGTGCCAGATTGAGTTAAATGCTGTTTCCAAATAGTTTACAAAATATTCTAGAAATAACAATGTTATTTGAATGAGGTCATTGGTAGGAAAGCTTTTTGAAAAATTTAAATAAAAAATTACATCAATTAAAAAAATCAAATTAACATTTAAAAAACAACAATTTTACAACGAATGTTCGAAATATTCTCCATTTACTTCCTGGCAATAGTAAATACGTTGCACAAAGTTTACAAATGAATCTATTAGAATATTGGGAGGAATATCACCAATCACTACTATTCTTTGTTGGAGTTCTCCGATGCTTTGTGGTCTATTAACATAAGCTCGATTTTTACATAACCCT